GTCGGCGCGTCCATGCGTACGAGCGACGGAGCGTCGTGTGCGAGGGCCGTCGCGGGTGGTGCGTGTAGGAGGGGATGGATAGTGCGCTGGAAGCATGATATCCAGAGGCGATGAAACAGGGCAGACGCTGCACAGGGGAAGGGGGGACAGGCACCGCCAGCCATATCAGAGATGGATTGCCCCATTCGGGTTCTCCGATCTCGTCTGCCGTCGTCTATACGCAGGCTGACAGCTGACAGCTGAGAGGTGACAGCTGAGAGGTGAGAGGTGACAACAGCGCTCGTTCAAGCATGCAAACAAGCCGAGGACACCTCGAGCTCAGGGCTTGACAAGTGCATCCAGCCCACCCATGCAGCCCAGGAGGATGACACCTCGGTGCCTGGACTTTGGTGGGAGCGTCAGCGTGAATGTGGTTGGCTGGGTGACCCTGATTGCCCTGAGAATCGCCGTTAGGGACATCCCGGGGAGATGAGGTGGTCGACGGCGGCGGCGGCGGCGGCGGCGTTGATTAGCCGGTTCAAAGAGATGTCTGTTACGCGTTGCTGCCTGCTGCCTGCTGCGATGGTGCAATGCTGCAATGCTGCAATGCTGCGACTCCCACGATGTCCTCCGATGCCCAGGCCATTGCCCAGGCCATTGCCCCGACCAATGCATCAATGGCAGATGACCTCGTCTATCCTCGGTCTCGTCTGTCGTCCAGACCCGACCTCGCATCATGCAGCCGTTCCTCTCTCTCCTCCCCTCCTCTGCACTCGGCTGCAGCGAGCAGTCAGCAACCAGTCCAACTCTCACAGCCCGCAGCGGCTCACTCCCCCCCCCCCCACACCTCCCACCCCCAGCTCAATTGCTCCCACAGCTCACAACATCTCCCACTCTGGCCATCTACCCCTTGCCAACACCCTTGCCACCCCCTGCCCATCCCCCTGCCAATCCCCCCCGGTGCTCCAGGTGTCGTAGCCCTGGGCCAGGTCCCCCGCCCAACAACCCCTAGAGGTTGAGAGTTTGACTGTGTTTGTGCCCTGCCGACCCCTAGGTGGACCCTGTGCTCCCTCGACTGGACGGCAGTCGTCGTTGCTCGTCGTCGTCTCTTGGTCCTCGTCGCTTCGTCGCTTCATCCTCCTCTTGTTCTTGTTACTGTTACACTCAACTACTGTAGCATCCTCCCATCAACACGTACTCGATCTTGATTCCCTCCCTTTCTCAGTCGCCCGCGCCGCTCTTCACAGGCTGCCGCCATTTGGAGGGTTTTTGGCCAGCCATTAAACAGTCGATCAGTCGAGTTCTTGCTCCGTTTGGCCGACTGCCCCCCACCCCCCAACCCCCAACCCCTTGCTCCCCCCCATTTAGCAACCCACCCATCATCATCCAGTACACACTCCATCCACTCGTCATCTGTTTCTCTCTCTCTCTCTCTCTCTCTCTCTCTCTCTCTCTCTCTTTCCGCATCATCAATCAACAAGCCATCTCTCTCGCACAAGTCGCGTCTCCCACCAGACTTGGACTCTCTCATCGCCCTTTATCCACGCTGCGCTGCCGTTGCATAACCCTCCATCCCCTCCCCCCTCTCTCTCTCTCTCTCTCTCTTTCCGCATCATCAATCAACAAGCCATCTCTCTCGCACAAGTCGCGTCTCCCACCAGACTTGGACTCTCTCATCGCCCTTTATCCACGCTGCGCTGCCGTTGCATAACCCTCCATCCCCTCCCCCCTCCGCCGTCATCCGCCCACCCGCACCACCACCACCACCAGCACCAACACCAGCACCAGCACCAGCACCAACACAACGCGCGCTCCAACAATTGCCGCTAATCATCTCGGCGTAACCGCGCGACTCTAGTCGGTACCTGGTCAGTCGTCTATCTCTCCCTGTCTTTGGACTCACGGGCCTGGGGCCTGTCTTTTCCCTCTTTCGGAACCCCATCATCCCCTCCCCCCCCCCACCTCGTTCATCATCCATCATCACCGCGCGCACGCACCATGCACTCTTTTTCCTCCCCATCCACTACTCAGGCGTTGCATGCGTCCATGGTGGATGGATGACATTCATGCTCAGATGTTGTCTCTACGACACACACGACCATTTTCATCTTGCATCGCGCAGGCGGATGGGAGGAGCGATGGACATGGCCATGCGTGGCTGCACGTATCCCCCCCACCCCACCATCCCCACCTCGCTCCCCCGCTTTTCCTTTTCTTTCTCTTTTTCTTCTTCTCCTCTTCCTCCCTTCTCCTTCCACTTTCTGTTGCTCCCAACATCCATCCAGGCCTCATCAACGCCTTGCAATTGCTGACATGACCTAGACATAACAAAGGCGCCCATAGCGACCGTGCAAAAGCGTCTGAGCGCCAACAGGGTAAGTGTTCACATGATATTCCCAGCATTCCTCATTGCCGCCGAGAGACACAAAACCGAGCTCCCCATTGTCGCCTCGACATGGCCAGCGAGCCCTCCTACTTTGGCGTTGCCCGTCATATGCTGCGCCCAGACCCAGACCGCGGATGGATCAACCATCTACCTTCCCCCACTCTTGACAGAGCCCGCTCCCCCACGGGCTATCTCGTCGTGAGCACAGGTATCCACTCCCATTATCGTCCTCTCCTCGAGCACAGTCGCGAGAACACCAAAGCCGTGGGCACTCGCCTCCCTGGGACGGCCCACGGCCTCGCCAGTCGCTCGGACCCTCCCTGCTCGCCCCGCCTTGTGTCGTTGTGCCTCTTAGTGCTTGGACATCATCCTCGCACCTCCGAGTATCCGTCCAGTCCCCGGGCCGGTCAGTGCACTCTTGTCTGTGTGCGACAGATGACCTGCGACGTCCAAGACGTTGTCCAGAATTGGCCGCCCCCCCCCCCCCCCCCCCCCCCCCCCCGCCACCGCCAATGGCCGATGATCGCATCGGCGTTGTTGTTGAGCACAGTCTCCCCACTCCCTTCCTGTCCTCGTGTGCACCTTTTCCTGTATCCCACCCAACCTTGCTTCTCTCTCTCTCTCTACCTACCTCTTTACCATTCCTTCATTTCAACTCCAACTACGTTTCTCTAACCCCCCTACCCAAATGCTGACTCGACAGCCAACATTGTTCAGACGACACCTCACTCTCTAACACTTGCTAGCCAACGCTCATAGCAAAAGGTCCACTTCCAGACCATCTCCCCACCCCCCAACCCCCCCATCCCCCCCCCCTCACCACCGCTTGATGTCTCTCACGACAACAGCGCCTTTGAGCTATTCCGACCGTCCCCCGTCCTCGCACCTGTCCTACCCTCCAGCGGACGACCGCGCATACCAATCCCACCAAGCTCGTCCGGGCTCTGCGCACGGCGTCCCTCCCTTTGACGTATCGTCTTCCGAGCGTCTCCACTCGTACGGCGCCGGCGCCAGCGTCATTCCTAGAGTTTCAGTACACGACATGGGCCCCGCTCCCGGCTCATCTCACGGATACCCTCCTCAGCCCGTCCCTCAGATGGGTGCCGCTGCCCCCTATCCTCCCCAGCCCGCTGCTGGTCAACCATACTATGGTATGCCCCCTCAGCCTGCCGACACTACACCACCCACGTCGGCTGGCAATGGCCGGCCACCCGCGGGCAGCTTTACTACCGAAGGAGCTCCCATTGTTCCCGTAGGCATTAGTGGTGGCAAGATGTTCCGGTGCCGCGGCTTTGGCGACTGTGACAAGGTCTTCACTCGCTCCGAGCATCTAGCTCGTCACGTTCGGTGAGTCATCTTATGCTTCATGACCTACAGCTCACCCAGCAGCAAGCACACCGGAGAACGTCCCTTCCCTTGCCACTGTGGCAAGGCCTTTTCGCGTCTCGACAATCTGCGTCAGCACGCTGCCACCGTCCACGCAGACCAGACCACCCTCAACGAGGCAATGTTGGCCTCACTCGCTTCAGTTCACGCCGCATTATCACAGCGCGCCAATCGTGAGCAGAGGCGCCGTGGCGAGGTTGTCGAGGTTCCAAAGAACGCCGTCGAGAGGCCCCGTGGCGAACGCAACAAGGCTGCGCAGCAGCAAGCCGCCGCAGCAGCAGCTGATGGCGTTCCTCCCCCTGGCTACCCTCCCGGAGCCGTCTACCACCCCCCGCCACACGGTCAGTGGGCGCCTCCTCCCCCTCACCATGATGGTCGCCCACACACCGCAGGCAGCGGCGCCGCCCCCGGTTGGGGAATGGAGTACCCTGGCTATTCTGGTCAGCCGCCAGTCAGTGACGGTCGCCCCCCTACCGCCGGCTCGGCCACATTTGCTGATGACGCTGGACCAAGCCGACGCCCTCAGTCGTCAGCAGGCTACCCGCCTCACGGTGACTACTACCCGGGCGGACCCCCTGGCTCGTCTCACGGTCGCCCACCCACCGCCGACGCTCCTCCTGGCACCGCTGGTTCCGGCGACTCGAACGCCGCCGCTGGCTATCCGTACCGACCCGTGTCGTCGAACGGACCCCCGGGTCACTACGCCGACTCGGAGCCTCCGAGCTCGTCTCACGGCCCGCCACCTCATTCCCCGATGTACCCCCACCCTGGAGCAGCAGGCGTAGCGCCCGGTGGCAACTGGGCATCCCCATCTACTCCTCACTCGGCGTACCAGTCTGGTGACCCCGGCATGTACCAGAACCCAGCAGCGCTAGCGGGTCAGGATGGTGCGCACCCGTACCCGCCTGGCCACCCACAAGATGGTCAATACGGCCCGCCCCCGCCCGGATCGTCTGGTGGCTACCCCTATCCTCAACAGGGCTACCCGTACTACGGCCAGCAGTCACCTGCGCAGCCGCAGGCTGCTCAGTTCGCTAACGCTCCTCCTCCCCCGGGGTCCGGACCTGTGCAGCCTGGTGCGTACCCTCCTGGCGCTCCTCCCAACGAGTCGCCGTTCCAGTACAATGCTCCAGGGACCTACCCTTACGGACCAGGGTACGATGGCCGCAAGCGCCGCGCCGACGAGGAAGCGGGAGGCGACCGCAAGCACCTTCGCAGCAGTGATGGCACAAATACGGGTGACCATCGCCCCGCTACAGCCGGTAGCCAAGCAGGTGAGAACCCCCCTATCTGGCTTCCGCCAACCACCGAGCGTCGCCCATCTCTGTCAATAAACGCCCTGGTGGACACGCATGACGGTCGCACGTCGCGTCCACAGACGGGTGACGCTTCCAGTCAGCCTGGCGCGTACCCGTACCCATATCCAGGCGCACCAACTGGTGCGACCGACGCGGTGGGCGCTCGCAGACCTACCGAAGACAAGAAGCCCTTGGCGGCCGAATAGGCAAACGACCCTCTATCACTTCTCCAACTGCCCTCAAGAACAATCGGCATCTCCTCGTACCCCCTCATCATTGTGATTCAAGTCACTCTCAGCATCTGTCCCGTGGACTGCGCTGGCGCCGGGCGCTATGAAGTGTGTTTCGTTTCGTGTTTTTTTTTAAACGCCTTTTTCTTTCTCTCTCTCTCTCTTTCTCTGGCTCCATCATAATCGCATCAGTGCCTGAGGAGCTGCGCGTGAAAATGTCCATAGTTACTCCATAGTCCATAGCCTTTTTTTGTTTTTGCTGCCTCGTAGTACGCGCTGGGTGCGTTCACATGAATCAAGTAGGGTATGCCACGCTGATGACTGGAGCCGGCAGCTAGAGCCAGGGCGAGAGACGGAGCAAGGGGGTGTGGGTGTGCGGCGTTGCACGTGCACGTCGCGACGATATATGAGCAGCGAGGAACGAGTGGAACGTGATGATGGAGGGGCAGGAGGTATGTGATCATATGTGATGGTTGGAAGCAGTCGCCGTACCCAGCGGCCTTTCGGCGTCTGCAAAACGTCACTGGAGGGCTGGGTGTGGTGCGCGTGCGCGTGCAGCGAGCAACGAGCAACGAGCGCAGCGAGCGCAACGAGCACAACGAGTGCACAGGAGTGCGTATGGCCGGTGGAGCTCGGAGCCCGTCCGCACGCATGCAGGCCTGGCCGCTGGCCAGTCGTACGATGGAGCAAGGCACGTCTGCTGCATGCTATCAGATAGCCCTGGCGGCTGGCGGCTGGCGGCTGCTCACATGACAGGATGACAGCCGAAGCGAGTGAGCGATGGCACATGACGGTGCCTGCGGCCTTCGTGGCGGCACGTGAGGGGGTTGGCTTTGGGTGGGTTGGGAGCATTGCAGCGGTGAGCGTGGCAGAAAGACACGCCTCGCCACTGTGGGCTTTACTCTGGACCTGAGAGGAGACGACTTGCGACGAATCGAGGACAGCTGATGAGACAAGAGAGGTGCATAACGTGCAACGTGCAACGTAGCTGCGGGATGGGGATGGAGGACGGTATCGCCCACTTGCTGTGACACGCACTCACAACGCATCGAGCGACGGCGCGACGACCCGTGTTGGCCATGGTGCTTGACTTGCACTAATCCACGGCCTCAGTGGTACGGCCTGCGGATCAGTGCTACGAAGCAGAATCCGAAGCTGACCAAGCGATGCGAGGAGAGATCGGAGAGACGAACGACGGCCGACGGCCGCAGAAACAAGTGGCCTGTGCGTAGTCGCACCGCAACACCGCGCACTGTCCTCGCACCAAACATTACGCGCCTCTCCTCGTCTCACCGCATCTCTCTCGCCCACTACACTGCCACCATGTCCTATCCCCCCCGCATGCTCCTCCTCACTCTCTGGGGCACCGAGCATTTCTGCGCCCTCCCCTTGTCATACGATGTAAACCCGCCGCCGGCCGCCCGCCCGTCCTCGCTGACGACAGAAAGCCATCGCCGTCGCCACGGAAAAGTTCATGGTGCCCAACACGCACGTCGTGCGGCTCCGGTGTCCGGTCCGCGACATGCCGCCGTACGTTGCGCCGTTCTCGCACACCGGCTGCATCACCATGTGAGTCGGGCGGGAGGACGCCGCTGACGGCGAGCACGGACAACGACTCGTACATGTACGCGTGTGCGGGCAAGCATGTGGTGTGTCTTGAAGTCACTATCCACGAGAAGGCGGTGGGTATCGATATGTGGGCGATTGGCGAGCTGACGGACAGGGTAAAGGCGGGGCAGGCGGCGGCGGCGGCGGCGGCGCAGGTGCAGTAGCGGGCGGCGGCGGAGGGGAGGGCGGCGACAAGGCCAAGGGAGGCGACAAAGGCAAAGAGAAGAAGGAGGCCGCTCCTGCTAGTTTGTGAGGCGCCGAAGCCAGCTCACGCCAGGCAAGACTGTACACCAGCAGCTTATTGTGGACACGACGGCTGGCAAGACGATCAATCTTACCACGAATGTCACCGGGTGAGTGTGGCGGCTTTTGCTGCGGTTACTGATAGCAGAGACATGGCCAAGGGCCCACCTCCAGGAAGTCCGTCGCTTCCATCCAAGCCCACACTGACGCCAGACTACCTCGGCACGCTGACTGTGAACGTGAGTCTCTAGAGTCTCCCCATCGCTGATGCCACTAGGATTCGTTCGGCCAAAAGTTCCACGGCAAGCAGCTCGGCCCCCACGAGGTGCTCACGAAGTGTGAGATCTGCCGTGGACTCACTCATTCCAGTCTTTGTGCAAGAAAAGACCACCGCACGCCTCCTCTTCCGTCCCCGCACTGTGCGGCCGCAGATTGACATCTTGCACCCAGAGGAGTCAAGCGTGGGCAGTCCGCGATGACATCGCTGACACACAGTTGGAAGTTCACCTTTCGCTCAAGAGCTGGAAGGTCACGGCCGCGTATCCTCTTGTCGACCTGCGGCCAGACGGCGATCGCACGCGCCTCCGCTGGTTCCTGCGGGTGAAGAAAGGCGGTGTTGTCGAAGACCTGCTGACGGGTGCCGAGGCGCATGGCTTGTTCACGGAGATGCTGTGAGTTTCGTTCTGAGCAGCCCCACGCTTGGCTGACAGCAGACCGGAAACAGGACCACGTCCCACCATCACTACGAGCCCCGAAGCCCCTCTGACCCCTGCCTATCCCGACGTGCGGCCAGCCAACGCGTTTCTTCTCGAGCAATCCCAGTTCCTGTACCACATGGACCGCGTCCTCCAGACCCTCGGGCTTCCGCCACCGAGCCGCTCGACGCTCATCACGTCGTGGCTCCCCGGCGTGACGCACCACAAATTCATCGTGAGTGTCTCTCGTGACGTAGGTAGCTAACCGCAGGCGTATCGGTGAGTGCGCGCTTGACCAACTAATCGCAGCATTTTGAACAATGCACAGCTCGAGCCTTCGTGGCGCCTGCAGCTCATCCCGGCGCCGCAAGTCCTCATGCGCCTCCTCATCCTCTATCGCGGTGTGCCCGAGAGCGAGCGCAACGAGTGGCCGGCAGACCGCGTCGTCAGCTCGCCAGAGCAAGGCGTGCCTTGGCGTGAGACGTGAGTTGGGGGACCAAGAAAAGACATGCGGAGACGCGATCGGGCTCTTGGCAGGGAACCGGACTGACACGAAGCGTGGGCTGGACGCCGCACCTGAACGACGAGTCGCTCTTCCGCGTCATCGAGTACGGGACCATGTGAGTGAGCGAGCAGTGTGTGTCTGACAGCAGGGAGGTGTTCGATGCCTAGCGTCGGGCCGTGTCTGCGCAGTGAATGCTGTGGCCTGTATCTTTTAATAGCGAATGGCCAAACGTGTGATGGCAAGATGCACTGCCACTGGCCTCGGGCGCTCAGGAACGAGCAGGGGACAGATCTGCAGATCAGTGACGTTGGGGACGGGACGTGCTCTCAGGCACAACATCAACACCGCCGCCGCCATCACTTCTCCTTCTTAAGTCTCACTCTCCTCCTCATCCCCCCCCCCCCTTCACCCTCCACGATGCTGCTACTAGCAGCCCTCGCGCTCACCTCCGCCCGGGCGCAACTGACCCCCGAGCAGCCGTACAGCCCCCCCTCGCCCGCAGCGGGCACGACGCCGTCGTCGGGCACCCCAAACGCCCAGTGGTCCGCGGTGCTCGGCAACGCGCTGTGGTTCTACGACGCGCAGCGCTCCGGCCGCCTCGACACAGGGAGCTACCCGAACCGCGTGCCGTGGCGGCAAGACTCGGCCGTCGACGACGGCGCGACCGTCGGCGTCGACCTCGGCGGCGGGTGGTACGATGCGGGTGATGTGAGTGGTGGCGCGGTTGTACGGTGCTTCGCCGAGCTCGCGCTCGCGCTCGCTCTCGCTCTTGTGCGCTCGCCCGCTGACATCAGTGGATCAAGGCCACTTATCCCCTCGGCATGACGATGTGGGCGCTGTCCTGGTCTGCGATGTCGTACGGGCCAGGGTTCGAGGCGGCGAAGCAGACCGCGTACATGGACAGCACGTTGCGCTGGGGCTACGACTGGCTCATGAAGGTGAGTTGGTAGGCACCGCCCCATCCGCCTGGTGTGCTCCCCTCCTCCCTCACGTCGCTCCGAGACGTCATCCTCCCCCCGGGCTTTCCTAACCCCAGGCCCACCCCGCCGACGACGTCCTCTACGTGCAAACCGGCAGCTCGGCGCACGACGGCGGCAACGCCTACTGGGGCCCGGACAGCGGTTTGCCGGGCAACCGCGCATGCTACGCGGTGAACGCGAGCTATCCGGGCACAGACGCGTGGGCGTCGACGGCCGGCGCGTTCGCCATGGGCGCCCTCGCATACCAAGGCACACAATGGAACACGTCCTCGTCCGCGTGGGGCCCGGCGCCGCTCGCGAACGCGAGCTACGCGCAAACACTGTTGAGGCACGCCGAAACCCTCTACCGCGTCGCGAAAGAGAACGAGCGCAAGTCCTTCGCGGACTCGGTCAAAGCCATCGGGCCGGCATACACGCCCTCGTCGTTCGGCGACGACTTGTGCACCGCCGCACTCGCGCTCGCAGCCGCGACGAACAACAGCGCATACTACGCCGAAGCGTACAACCACTACACGAACTATACGCTCTCGAAAAGCGGCGCGGTGTGGAACTGGGACTCGCGCACGCCCGCCGCATACGTGTTCTTCGTGGAGCTCGCGGCCGCGCGCCCCGCCCTGGCCGCCGGCGCCGGCCTCGCCCCCAACCTCACGGGATGGCAGGCCGAGGTCGAGGGCTGGATCGAGCGCTCGATCTCGGGCGACGGCGGGCGCACGTACACGTCCCATGCCGGCCTCCTCCTCTGGACGGGCGACAGCGACCAAGCGAGCCTGAACCCCGCCATGTCTTTCGCGTCTCTTCTGCTGCGCTACGCGCCGCTCGCGAGCGCCGACAAGGCGGACACATACCGCCGCTTCGCACAGTCCCAGATCGACTACTTGATGGGCAAGAACCCGATGAACGGTGCGTCTCCCCCCACGCCGACTAACACCAGTGCCGTACATCGTCGGGATGCACCCGAACTCGCCGGCGGCGCCGCACGTCGTGCGCGGCTCGGGGCTCACGGACGAAAGCAACCTCCGCGACCCCCCCGCAAACAAGGAGACGCTGTACGGCGCCGTGCCCGGCGGCCCGCGCCCCAGCGACCTGTGGTGGCCGTGGCGCGACGACTGGGTCCAGAACGAGATTGCGCTCGACTACAACGCCAACCTCCCCGCGCTCGCCGCGTACCAGCTCGCGAGCGGCGCGGGCGATCCGTACTATGTCGGCGTGACGCAGGCGTATACCGTGCCCAGCGGGCAGCCGTGCGACGACGCGCTGCCGTGTAAGCGCGGTCTTAGTGGGGGCGCGATTGCGGGGATTGTCATCGGGTGTCTCGCCGCGGTCGTTATTGCTGGCGTCGCGCTGTGGTGGTGGCTCCGCCGGAGATAGATCTGATATATGGACTTTGGATCTCGATGTGGTGGGCGGAGGCTGTGGTGTGGGGCTGGATCCAGCTTCCTTGTCGTCGATACACTTTGTGGCCGCTGCCGTCATGTCATAAGTTCATCGCGTTCATCAATGTACATATGTTGCTTCTATGCGGCTAGACCCGCTAGCCTTTGCGCGCCTTGCGCGGGCTCAGCCCGAAAAGACTGAGCGTGTTTCGGCGAGCCTGGGTAGGCGGGCTCGCGAGGCCCGGCGCCGTCGGGGACGGCGCGGTCTTGGGCTGCGTCTGGACCGGGATCTGGGCCGGAATAGGCAAGGGTTTCGCCGAAGTCTGGGGCGGCTGCACCGAGGCCGACGCCGCGGACCCGTCCTTGTGGCTGCTGTCGCTTGACGCCTGCTCGCTCGCGCTTGTACTGCTCCCGCTCGCGTGGGGGGGGAGGAGTGGCGACACGGGCGCCGACTTGGGGTCCAGACTCAGCTCGCTCACGGCCGGGCTGCATGGTATCGTGTCAGGCGAGGGAGCTGCCGAGCGACTGTCCCGCGACGAGCTTGATGGACGGAGGAGTGTGTGGAGCGTGTCCGATTCCTCCTCGTTGAACGGGGGGAGGAAGGCAAAGGTGTGCAGACCCTTGGCCGAAGTCTCCGTCACGGGGGTCGTTAGCACGCTCCAGTCAAAACTGTTGCGCGGCTGGCTGAGGGGCGACGTGACCTCGCGGGCGATGCCGAATGCGCCGCTCGGCAGCCAGGTGATTCGGGCCGGAGGGGCGTCCACGTCGTCGTCCAGCAGTGCTGCCCACGCCGCGGCTCGCACGGACGGCCCGCCGGCCCACCACGCCTCAGGCATGCGCCGGGTCGTGGGTGAGGTCACAGATAGCGGCAGGGTTAAAGGAGGGGGAGTGAGAGGCGGCATACCGGGTGTCTTGGGCATGGGGGGGATACCAGAGATAGAACTCGCGCGTGAGTGCAGGCGGCTCGACGCGGGGGCTTGAGATGTGCCGTTGGATGCAGAGGTGGGGCCGAGTACCGGCGCAGGCTCGTCCGGGACGAGCGCAAGGGGTAGAAGCGAGGGCGAGGCGCGCGGGCTTAGCCATGGCGAAAGCAGCGGCTCAGCAGCGAGATGTGCCACCAGCCGCGCCGCTAGGTCTGGGCCGAAGACACCACCGGGGACCGTCCGGTAGATGATGGTATGCTTTCCGCCCCCGCCAGTGGGGTGAAACGAGACAGTCGGGAAGTGCGCAAAGTCAGCCCCAGCGGTGGCCATGGCGCGGAGGGTGTCGAGCGGGACCGTGGGGAGTTCGTCCAGAGGTTCAGGCTGGGGCGGGTCCGGACGCGGCGTCGCTAGCGGAAGGGACCCGCGGCGACCGAAGTGCTCGTCGAAAAAGGCGAGCGGGGCGCGGGGCCGGGACCGAGAGCGGGCCTGCGGGGTGTGCGGCGGCGAGGGAGGGGGTGTTCCTTCCGACGCAAGTGCATCGGGCTGTTCAGAGTCAGGGGGTGCAGTTCCTTCCGAGTCGGGCAGCGCATTGCGCAGCTCGCGCATGTCAAGCGACCTGCTCGTTCTCTCGCGGTGTGGCGAAGGATTCGAGGGCCGTCTGATGGGCGAGGGGGCGCGTAGGGGCGTTGGCGACGGGCTGAGCGGCTGCGAGAGGCGCCGCGCCACTGGGCGGTGGACTGGCACCTCCTTGGGCTCAGACTCGACACTGGACGAGGGAGAGAGCGGGTGTTGTGGCAGGCTGATGGAGAGCGGCGGCCGTGGCATTCCTCTGTGGGTGGTGGGAATGTAATGTTGATTTGAAGGCCTTGAAGGGATGCAGTTTGGGTGGGGGACAAGTTGTCCGTGTGGCTGGGCGGGTGCAGTGGGGGCGGGGCAAGGTGCTTGCTTCTTGTGAGGTCAGTTGGATCCAGGTGGTGGCGCTGTGCAGCTAAGGTGCGACGTTGAACGAGGGGGTGAGAATGCTAAAGTCAAGATGAATGAGAACGAAGATGCCGATGAGAGTAAGAAGGAGGACGAGAAATCAGTGAGTGAGGAAATCGATGAAGGAGACTGAAGAGCTGGAGAGACGGAGGGACGTGGAGCGTGGAGAGGGAATGGAAACACCTTCATGTCGATGCACTCGGGCGCAGGTCCATGCGCGCCCTTCGCTCCCTTGCGCACGCCGGCGCCAGCGGATCGGGATTCCGCTCGCTCTGTTGCGCCGCACAGTCCACGCTACTGGTGATGGGCTGATGGACTGATGGGCTGATGGCCATGAGCGGCAGATCGCTGCCGGAGTACGTGACGGCTGTTCATGCGAATCGTCGGCGCTGCTGACGGAGGGCGACGGTGAGACCGCGCAGCTCTCAGCATTGGAGGAGTGAGCAGTTGAGATCGTGCGTGCGAGCGAGGCGTGTGCAAGTGAAGAATGAGAGAAGCGGGTCAGAGCGTGGCTGCACAGACGAGTGGAGACGGGTTGTGCGGACTCGACTTCATCACAACCTGGCATTTTGTATCTGGGTTTGTTGGAATCGGGGCTGGAATGTGCAACGTCCTTCAAGCAGCAATCGACTCCTCCACCCACTGCCGCTCACTCTCCAGCCACACCAGCCCACCCATGCCACTCATGCATTTTCCAGCTACATATGTACAACAAATTATATGTGTCCGCCGAGGTTCCGGCGCTCGAGGGCCGCAATGCGCGCCGCGACGCCCGTGAGCTTGCCCGGCTCCTTCTCGGCCTCAACGTGCGTCCGACTGATCGCGACGGCCGTCGCGCCCTTCTGCTGCTCGAGCGGCACTTCCTCCTCGCGCCTGAGCGCCTGCACGTCGACATGCGCGACATGCGCGAGCTGTCCTACGTTCTCCTTGCCCGCCGCCGCCTTGCCGCTTGCGCTGCTCGCGTCGCTCATCTTGTCCTTGCCGTTCGCGGCGTCCGCGAGCGGCTCACGCTCGCTCGCACTGCTTCGCGACCGCGCTGCCGCACTCTCCGGCCGCTTCGGGCGGACCTGCGTAGCCGAGGGCGGGCGTACCTTCTCCGTAACCGAAGGGGGGCGCACCTTCTCAGTGACAGAGGGTGGGCGTACCTTCTCCATCTCGCGCTCCTCGCGCGCTGACATGGGCCGCATCGAGTTGTTCCATGGCGGCCTCTGAGCAGGTGTCGTAGTTCGCCGTCCACCGGCAGGTGTGAGTGCCATCGCGGGCGGGAGCGAGCGCCGCACCCGGCTGGCAGGGCGTACCGTCGGCGCCGCCTGCGCAAGTTCGTCGCTCGAGCGCAAACGGTGCGCAAACTTGGCGTTCGCGGCAGCCGTGGACGTCATGCTGCCCGAGGCGCGGCGCTCAGCCGTCGTCATGCTCGCACTGGCGCGTCGCTCCGCAATTGTAGACGTCGTCCGGCTCGGACCGCCCATCATCCCGCCACGCGCGCGGCCAAAGCTGCCGCGAGCGAGAGGACGCGCCTCCCCACGGAAGGCAAACGACATGACGCTCATGACCTCGCTCTGCGCATCGTCCGTGCGCGCCGGCGAGCCCGCACGCCGACGGGGCGTGAGCTTGCTCGGGCTCCCGTCCACTGTCTTCATGGGAACCTTGCGCGGCGTCACGGCGGAACCCGTTGCGCGGGGAGTCTCGAGCAGGTTGTCAAGCGTTGGGTGATGGTCTAGCGACGGGCGGCGGTAGTGGTCGATACTCGCCCTGCGCATCGCATCGAGACTGGTACGCTTGTAGTCGAGGCTGAGACGCGGGGGCGGCGTCTCAGGCTTGGGCGCACGCTCGTGCCACTCATACACCTTAAGGAAGCGGTACATGTTGCGTTGCTTGATACTCTGGCCGCGTTTGGACGAGCTCATACGCTTTATGCTCAAGTCCGTCTGAGACTCGGATTTGAGACGGCTCTTGCTGGACATCGGAAGCGAAGTGTATCCCGTCCGCTCACAGAGCAGCGACACGTCAGTAAAGCGTACAATCCACTGCTCCATGTTGCGGTGTTTGAGCATGTCACTGAGGCGGTGCGACGCCTTGCCCTTCTTCTCCTTGGGCGGGACGATCGTCTCGGACATGAGCAGGCGCGTCGGCTTGGGCGCCATCAGCTGCTTGTTACGCTCAATGCCCTCAACGCGCGCCCAGGCATCGCGCGCCCGCTCACGCTCCTCGGATGACGACTTCTCGTCTTCAATGCTGCGCACAATTGTTTCAACCTCATCCACCATCGCCAAAGTCGCCTCGTACTCGCGCGTAGAAGGCGACGTGTTGAACAGCAAGTTCTGGAAAAGAAGCGGGTATTTGAGCAAACGCTGGAACGGCTTGGATAGGGAAATGGCCAGCCCTGCCTCGCCACGCTGAGCAGCAAGTTCCTCAAGCTGCGCGAGAGTCTTACTTAGCCGACCCAACTGCGTCTCCTCGAGGCGTCGCGAGCTGCGGCGGCTACGGCTGCCTGTCGCGATCGATGCAGACAGGGCCGCGGCCTCGTCGATCTGCGCAAGCGCGCGCTCGAGGTGCAAGATGTACGTGGCATATTCGCGGAGAATGTCGGACTGCGATAAGTTTCTGTATAACCACTTCTAACTCACATGTGAAGTGAACACGTCCGCCAGCGAGCGCACGAGGGGAAACTGCTCGTCGTACCGCTTGCGCAGGGCGGTGACAAGCTTGACGTGCCCTTGGAGAATACCCGATGAGATGACGGTGAGTACCTGTTCAAGGTCGTCTGGTAGTGTCACCGGCCCGTTAAGCACCGACGAGATGCTTGATCGTGACGTGATGCGCGAGTGACCGTCACTCTTGCTCTGAAGGCTGCTGCGCGACGCCTTTTTGAGGGGCAGGGTACGCGCCTGCGCAAGAGAGCGGCCACCATGGTTGCGGTCGTGCGACTGTGCGTGCGAGTGCGAATGCGAGATGGTTTGCGGGTGGTGCGAGGGATGCGTACCGGCACTTCTAGTCAGAGCGGCGAGGGCCGACATTCTAGCCGCAGACGACTCGTCGTCGGAGCGGAAGGAATCGGTGCTCCGGCGCGGCGCGGAATACTGGGAGGCAATCGGTAGGAAATCTTGCAGGTCGTGCGAGCCCACGCTCGTGCCAGAGGTCGTCGTCCGTGTCAAGCCTAGTGGGTCGGGGAGACCTAGGGGCTCGGACTCGCGCGCGGGCAACAGGGCCAGGCAAAACGTTTCGTTGAGCTTTGCAAGATCCTGTACATAGCTTCGCGTCAGCCAGAATTGCCCCAGTAACATACCGTTCTTCCGAGTTGACGATCTCCCACAACACTTCTTGGCGTGCGCGCTCGCGTGGACCGAGGTTGGCGATGAGTTCGTCGTCCATTGCCGCGCTCCAACTTTCGGGCAGGGGAATGTAGCTCTGTGCGCTCGTTGCACTGCTCTCGCTCGGAGCGAGGGTCACCTGGGAGAGGGTGCTTCTTGTGGGCGAATGCGCCATGTGCGTGAGGCTCGCTTGCGAGGTCGAGGCAGAGCCCCGGCGCATAACCTGGTGCGTCGTGCCGTGCAAGGAGTTGCGCGAGGAAGATCGCGACATTTCCTTGTCCTTTCCGCCTGGCGAGTGGCCGCGATAGCGCTCGAAGTCAGCCCGGGTTGAATGGCGCATGCTTACTGATGGGCCGGCGCTGGCGGCCGCTCTCCCGCGCAGGTCGCCGTCAGAGTTTGTGCCGCCATGTGATCTCTGCGGAGACTGAAACGCGACCTTCTTGACATTCTCGGTTGAGTGCGAGGCGTGTGCGTGATGAGCTCGCCACTCCTCGATCGCAGTTGGTAACTGGTGGCGGTCCTTCGGCGGTACTGGTGGGCTGAGGTCGGCAAGAGCTCCAGGAGTCACGGGTCGAGGAGGGAGCTCCTTGGTGACGGACGAGTGAGATGTGGTCGAGTAGTCGTGTGAATGGGAGTGATCTTCTGTAGCGCTCGTCGGTGTCGGAGGGTGGACGTCGGAGATTCTGGGACGGCGGAATGAGCGCGTCTTGCTGACCTTGACGGTATCGTCGGAACGGTCCGCGACGTGGTCGAGTGACGGGCGTGACGAGCTTGGGCCAGCTTGCGCGGGCTTGAAGCGACCCCAGAGCGACTTCATTGATCGATTGGGAGATGAGGAGTGAGGAGTGAGATGTTGGGGTGACGGGAGATGGTCACCCCGGGTGTTGTGAGGGTGAGGGGCTGGACGAGCTGGCGATGAATGTCGTAAGCTAGTGGGGAGTAGTAGTTGATGTTGATGACGGTATGAGAGCAAGAGTCAAGAGTGCGGATGGAGGATTGAAACGCCGCCGAGGGCCAGAGGGGTGAGGGTAGGCAGCGCGTTTGTTTTGGGCGGCGGAGGCTGAATTTAAACCTTGTGTAGATGAGATGGAGAGTAATGTCGTGCACAGAGTAGAGATGAGAGCGATGAGAGTGAGTGTCGAGAGATGACAGAAGAGAGACGAGAAAGAGAAAGAGAGATGCAAACGAGTTGTCAAGACGCTGCATGAGGGGGAGTGTGGTACGTGCATCACGCTCGGTGAGAGCATGAGAGAGAGACCCATCCAGACCCATCCATACAGACGTTTGTTGATGCACGTTACGTTACATCCCAGGGTTTCCGCCTACTCCGTCTGCAGGCCATGTAGGCCACTTACTTCCTCCCAACACCCAACACCTCTTGACTTTCACTTCATGAACCAAGTTCATGCCGTGTACAGTAGTCCCTCAGCCTTGTCGTATTCTCCACATGCATGCTCTAAGCAGCAGGCGCTCAACAGTGATAGAATTGCCCGCCTGCCAGTTGACTCTCAGGAGATAAGGAGATGCCAGGAGAGCGGCAGAGCGGCATGGGTGGCGTCCCGGTTGGCGCGGAGAGACAAGAGTTGCGCTCGGACCGCCCTGGTCAGGGGGGATTGGCCACCCGCGACGCGACAAGTTGCCTGTTTCAGAAAGACAAACACGCGCGTCCAAATCCTCCTCCCGTCTATTCCTCTTTCGGACATCATCTACGGTACATGTTCAAATCCACCCGCATTCGCGCATGTTCAGCCAGCTGCATATGAAGCGAGCGGGCAACCTGAGCGCAAGAATGCGCCGATGGGCATGCCCGTCGGCTGCGATGCAGGGCGAGCAATCGTGTGGCCGTGCGCACCGCTACTGCTGCGCCCCCCTGCGCATGTGTAGGTATACAGGTGCCTTGGCAGGTTTCCTTTCCTTGAATTGGGCCGAGAGAGCCATTGTCGCAGTGGACAGAGGTTCAGGCTCTCTGGCCTCTGGCACAAGTGGTGAAAGGCAGTTGGGTTGTCGACTATCGAGGAGCAAAGAGGCTCATGGAGTGCGTCTGTCAGTCTTCCGCATCAATATATCAGTTCTTATACATCCTTAGATCTCTACCATCATCCAAACAGTTAGGGTCGCGTGGCGAAATGGCATCGCGTCTGACTACGATTAATCATCGTTCCTAATCAGGAGATCGCGGGTTCGACCCCCGTCGTGACCTAATTATTCTTTTGCCTCTTTGAAATAGAGGTCGCCTGCCTTTTTGGAGGACTCGGTACTGAGTTGGTGCGTTTGAACCCCCAAGCCAGGTGGAACCGACGGATCGGCGACGTTGTACGCTGTGTGGTTGACGACGCCTGCATCGCCTGCCCTTCTCCTGCTCCGGCAGAGCACAGGACAATCCTCATGGTGGCTCCTCAACAACTCGATCATTGCCGCTACGAGCCCCCTCGCTTGCGTTTGTCCGAAATGTCGCCCTCGTGGCATCCTCTGAGTCTGGACCGGTATGCGCATGCCCATGCCCGAGCTCCACGGCGGAAAGCATGCTCAGAAACGACGTTCACCCAGTGGTTAGTGGGGGAAAGAGGTGACGCAGACGGGGAGGGCTAAATGTTTGTTGTAATGCTCCACTGTTTTGCAGTTAATTGCAATGAAATGAATGGATATGAGAGTGGTAATAATCAAGCGAAAGGCGTCATGAATGGAGATGACGTCAGTAGGGACGGGAGTTCTGGTCCCGCCGTCATGTCGGTCGCCCAACGCTGCCCAGGCGAGATATTTGCGGGGGTACGGTGGGGTGAGGGGTATGAGGGGAATTAAGGTGCCGGGCGCCGAGCCTTGAGGGCCCACGCCGCAGTAGTCTCGCCTCCCAATCCTCCTCCTAGTCTCCTAATCCTCACCACCGCCATCAACTCGCTCCTCGTCGTCGTCGTCGTCGTCGTCGTCACTCATCCTCATCCTCAACGTCTCAACACTGCACTCTCCCTCAGCCTCATTCAACATTTGCATACACCCTTTATCCAGCTTATCATCAATCACATCCATTCTCTAACAGCACTCCCCTCTCGCTAGCCCTCCCCGTCTCCTCTACTCAAATCTAGTTGTGAACATCAACCCCATCCCCCCCTTCCGCCATTCGAGGCGCAGGCGCCCCTTTCTCCACATCCAACAGTCCGACGCTCCTCACCATCCCCGCTTGCCGCTTGGCCCGCTTCACCTCGCTTGTGCATCTCTAGACGTCATCCATCCCCTCGCCCGCAACCACCCCGACATTCAAAGCAGGGTGCATTTCCTAGCGCGTTTCTTGTCTCCTTCTCACCCTTCCCCGGCGCAGGCGCCTGTTTCCACCGATCCACCGAGTCTTGACAACACATATCAGCAGCTCACCAGCTCTCGCACACAACAAACACCTCGTGCGGCCATTCCCATCTTGCCACTCAGTTCCATCTCAGCGCCCAGCATCTCTTTCGACTTGCGCACACCAGTAATCCCTTCCCCCTCCATCACTTAGCATCGCGGCACCGCATCCGCCGGGCAAGATGACCTTCCTCAGCAGGCCATCGCGCTCGTACAAGGATGTCGGGCACGATGCAGATGGCCTATCCGCCATCGGCACAACACCATATGCCATGCGCGGGCCCAGTGTCCCCAGGCAACAACAACCACCACCAGATAGACTCCTCAAGACCTTTCGGCCATGTGCGTCCAGGCTTCGGCCTACGAGCAACACTGACCAACAGCCTACACTGACATGCACTTTCGCCGGCAAGCATTGCAAGACCCACATGCCGGTTCATCAACATTCGCTCCATTACCCAGTCGCAAGCAGAAGAAGGAACAGGCGGCTCTCGGGCATAGGAACGAGATCAACCACATCCTCGAGCCCGGCTACAAATCGACCGGAGCCGCAGCGCGTGACGACGATGCTGCTTCCATCGCTGGCCCAAGCAGGTTATCGGGTCGAACAGCGGGCGGCTTCGCGGCTCTCACCGGTCGCAGGAAAGACAAAGACGAGGTCGCGCGAGCCAATGCGTCTACCACCAGCTTTCAACGCGACACTAAAGGCCCAGGTGTCTACATAGACTCCTCTGGACGCATGCACGACACCGAGTTCGACCCCTTCGCTGGTGTCGCCGCAGTGTCGCGGCGCAAGTCCAAACGAAGGAGCGCTTTCGGCCGCGACCAGAGGCGTGGGTCCAGCTCAAGTAGCTCCTCGTCCGGCAGCTCGGTGGGGTACGGGCAGAGAATGAATACGGCTGAGCGCGCGCTGCTCGAGGAACCGGAACGGGAGTACCGCCGCCGCACTGAGGCCGAGCGCCGTCAGCTCGATGAAGTGTCTCTGCATGCTGCCGCCCGGCGGCGAAGCGTAATGAGCGATCGCGCGAGCGGCTTCTATTCCGGACGAGGGACGCCGAGTATCAGGTCCGGCCGCGACTACGATGATGCCCTCTCACTCGCCAACGGCCGCGCGGCATCGCGCCTGAGCCAGTCTCACCTCCCGACGTCGCCCACACTGGACGAGAAGTCGGCCGTGTCCGGTGGGTCGTCGCATACGACAAATAGAAGGTCCAACCTGGCCAATAGTGAGGAGTCTCCGCGAAAACACACAGAGACAGTCCAAACTTCTCCTTCACCGCAAGGACATGACCGGACCGCCTCAACCTCGTCCTCAAGACTTCAGCGACCCATCGTTAAGATTGCGCCACCAGAACCGGAGAACGATGCGGAGGCGGTTGAGGAAGAGGGCGAGGAAGATTACGAGGAGGCTTACCAGCCAGATGGTGCACTGGAAGATACGCCCGAGGAAGGGTCTGAAGTCGCCTCTGAGGAGTACGCATCTTTTGACGAAGCTCCACCAGTGTACCAAGAAACAGACCGAGGCATCACGCCACAGCTCCGCCTCAAAAAGAGTGAGCTCCCTACACTGGTCCCACAGCCTGTGCGTCCGAAGAAGGTGGTGAACGGCGACGCACGACATCAAGTCATGTTGTTGCCTAAAGCGCCTATCATTGTGGTCGAGAAGCGGCTACCCGATACTCCCGTGCCGTCGCGAGTGGAGCGCGCGCCCAGCGGTGCTACACGCGTTATGGGCTTCGACGCAGGTCCGGCACGACCAATGCCTGTTCCGCAGTCGGTTCAGAAGGCGGGGCGGCTTGCATCAGAATCCGTTTTCAGCGCTGCGACGTCGCGCAGCTCGGAGGCTGACCGCGCCGAGGCGCGTCAACGACCGAAACCTCGGCCTCGGGAGCAGCTGTTTCCTGAGACGCCCGCGCAAGCGAAGAAGCGCGAGGAGAGAGAGCGGCGTAACCTGCGCGCGGGGAGAACACGGGCAGGCGAGCTTGCGGCAGACTCGAAGCCGGGTTCAAGCAGTCGGTCACGGATTCTTCCCGAGATTGAGATCGTAGACGATGACGACCCGCGGATAGTCTTCCCTCCCAATGGCCCAGCCACCAGAATACAAACGCGCTTCGACCACGTTATACGCACGCCCTCCGGCTCGCACACAACGCGGCGGGCGGACGACAACGGCTCCAGTACAAGGAGTGTGGGGCACGGCAGCAGCAAGGAGCCGTCGGCGATCATTGAAGAAAGTGGCGGCGGTTACCTGCCGTCTCGATGGGCCAGCGGCGACAGGCACCTCCGCCTCACGGAACAAGACAAGGAGCAGTACAGGCCTCGCGAAGGGGGTGGGCGGCACGGCGATCTCGGCGGACGCCCTGAAGAGTGGCGGTGGGTGAAGCGTGCGCGGTGCGCACAGCAGTGCTGACTTGCAGGCCTTCGGTCAAGGAAGGATTCAAGAAGGAAATGAAGGACATGTCGACGAACGCGCGGTTTGGCCTGTTCCGGGCCAAGAAGAAGGTCTTGCGCGGCGTCTAGTCTTGCATCTCCGTTCCAACGTTGTCATCTGTTGTAACCAGACCCGGCAACCCCGCGCGGGGTATAGATTTAGAGCTGTAGTGCTGTAGATTGCACGTTGCGTTGCAAGAGAATCAGGGGAACGGCGGGGGGGGGGAGGTAGATCGAGTGGAGATATTGCGCGCTCCATCCACACATCATGCATGCTGTCGTGTTGACTCGTGCTTGTCGTAAGCATGTCACATGCTGTGATGGCCGTGATGAGGAGCTGTGCTGTGTTGTGGCGCTTGGCGCTTGGCGGCGTAGTAAGCGTCATGATGATCTGCGCACAAGCCAGCCTGCAGCCAGGGTCATGCACCACGCGACGCGTCTTGAGATTCATTTCGCCTCACGCGACAGTCCCACATTCCCCGTTTCCTTGTCTCTCAAGACATCTTTCGCCATTTCTCTTTTCCATCTGTGCACGCCCACTCTGCTGCCATGAGCACGCCTACGTGAGTCGACTTTGCGCATTTTGTGCTCTCTCACAACGGCGCCGTCTCTTCTCCCTCCCTCTGCTCCTCGTCTCCTGACCTAATCATCATGGCCTGTCTGCTAACACCAGCCTCCGCGACGCCCTCGCGTCCCACCTCGCATCGCTACCAAACTCGTCCGAACTCGGCCTCACTGTCCTAACCTCCATGCCGAAGCGCACGACCGCCATCTTCCCACACTCTCCCAGCGCGGGCGTGCGCTGCTGGGAGACCGAGTATCTGGTGGTGGTGCACTCGGGCGTGCCAGGCGAGACCGCGAACGGCACCTCGTCACACCCTCCATCTCAGCCTGAGCCTTCCACCTCCAATCCCACTTCCCAGACGCCAACCGACCCCTCTCCCACCGCTCCCGCTTCCTCCCCCTCACAGCCTACATCTAACGGCGCGCCATCAACCCCCGCCACCCCGCACGTCCTCGCGGCCGCCATCTCCTGCCACCTCTACACCCTCCCCTCTCCCCCCGATGCCCCCTCCTCGATCCTGTACATCTCCAAAGTCGACTCGTCCGGCTACGCCCCGCCGTCACCCATCACGCGCGTCCTCGCCTCTGGCCTCCTAGCCTACTTCCTCGACCCCGCGACACGGCCGGGCAGCGCAAGCGGCAGCGTGACCGCGACGCTCTTCGCCCGCTCGCAGGGGCAGTACCTCTTCCCAAACTCTGTCGAGGGCGGGGGCAAGCGCGTCCTCGGCGGCCTCGGCCTCTGCCAATGGTGGAAGAGCGTGTACGAGGACGCGGCGCGCCTCGCGCCCGCCGACCTCGCCTTCCTCCTCCCCTCGTACTCGGCGTCCGAAGCCAAGGGGATCTTGGGCGCGCCCCGCCGCCCGCCCCCGTCCGAATGGGAGTACGCGCCGCCCTTCCGCGCCCCGCTGTTCCGCGCGCGCCGCAGCCTTGCGACCCTCATCCCGAGTCTCCCGGACGACCCCAAAACCCGCTTTTTGGAGGAGCTCGTCAGCGCCGCGCTCGACACGCCCGCGCCGCACGAGAAGGAGAAAGACAAGGAGAAGGAGAAGGAGAAGGGGAAGGAAAAGCAGAAATCGCGCAAAAACGTCGAGGCAGCGGAAGACGAGGCCGACCGCCGCCGCGCACATGCCGCGCTGGCCAAGATTCCCGCCGGCGAGTTTTGGGAACGCATGGGGTTCCGGCAAGAATGCGCCAGCGGGGACGTCACGGGGTTCTTTAGTGCCTCCGTCGGGCCGAAGCGCGACGGCGGGGGCGAGAAAGAGACGAGCCCCGCGTCCAGTGACGACGGGGAGCGCGCGCGCTACGAGCCGCCCCGCGCGCCGCACTCTATTTCCAAGCCCCTCGTTGAACGCATCCTTACTTCGATGCTCAACACCGACTTCGGGACGCGCGCACTCGCATACGCTGGTACGGAGCAGTGGCTCGCAAGTACGCGCGCACTCGTGCTGGACGAGGTGGGAGAGGCTGGGTGGGACGCGAGCACAGCGACGATCGCCTTTAAAAAAGTTGCTGCCACGCCTCCTCCGCCGAAGCGCAAGGAGGAGACGGTGACGATGCTTCAGCCGCGTAAGAAAAAGCGAGTGTGAGATCATGCCCATGTTTCGTTCTCTCCATATCTGCCTCATCCCATCACATGTAGCATCTACAACCATGCATAACTGTCCCGTCTGCTACACCTCTCGCTATCTACTGATGGACGGAGGGCCGACGCGGCCCATCGCCACCCGCCTATGCTGCTTTGTTAGCCGGCGGCACGAACGAGCCGGCAACCATGCACAGATTGCGCGGCGTATAATGTGTCTTGATGACGGGCGTTCGCTTGGTCGTAAACGTGCTCAACAAATCGGCAGTCTGGCTCATGCCCTCCCATTCACTCGGGCCCATCGGCAGCGCGCCACTGCTGAGCGGTGCGTCGTACCCGCGCGGCCTAGGCCCGCCGGCACCCTTCACATCCCACACGCGGACGGTGCAGTCCAATCCGCCGGACACGAGGACGCTGCTCTCGGCCGAGAACGAAAGACTCTCGACGGGCCCCGTGTGCCCGCTCATCTTCTTGATGGGCCGGGCCGAGCCCAGGTCCCACAGATAGATTGAGCAGTCAAGGCCAGAAGACGCCATCATCTTGCCGTCTGGAGAGATCGCCAGGGTCGTCACGGCGTCCGTGTGGCCCAGGAAAAGGCGAAGGCATGCGCCGCGCTGCACGTCCCACAGGCGGCACGAGTTGTCACTCGAACCCGTTGCGAGGTACATCGTGTTGGGGTGGAACTTGACGCACTTTTGTCAGCTCCCGCGTGTCTGCTCGACTTACGTTCACGTCTCCAAGGTGCCCGGTGTACATTCGCAGAGGGGTCAGCCGGTCCGAGCTCCACAGCCGCGCTGTGCGGTCGCGGGACCCGGTCGCGAAATACACGCCGAATGGCCCCCACTCGACGTCCCAGACGGGTTCCCTTCCGTGGCCCCGGTAAACCACAAGATTCGAGTACGTATCCATTGACCAGAGGCGCACCGTGCCGTCTTGGCTCGAGGAGAGTAGTGCGTGTGGCGGCCCACCGCTACCCGCTATTGGGTCGAAGGATAACCCATACACTGGTCCCGAATGCCCCACAAGCTTGCGCATCGCCATGCCCTCGTCTTCAACGACGTTACCAAGGGGGTCTGGAATGAGCTTTGCCAGCATGTGACTTACCTAGTGACTTGGCCTTTAGCTTCTCGTCCCTCAGACTCCACAGCCGCACAGTGCTCTCTGCTGAGCCCGCCGCTATCAGACTCGAGTCGGGGCTGAACTGAACACTCGTGATATTTTCCCCGCCGTCAAACATCGTGAACGCGACGATGGAGGGCAGCGTTGCCACAGACGCACTCGTGCCCTCCCCAGGCGGACCCAGACGGATCATCTTGCGCTTGTCCCGCACCGCCTCCACCTCACGCTTCACGTCCGTCACCTTGTAGAATGTGGGCTGCGGCGGCAACGTCTCGGTTGCGTCCGGCGCGATCACATCCGGGTCCGCTTCAGGCTCAAGCTTGACCGCCTTCTTGGGCGAGGCGTCGCCCATCATCACGTCGCCATTTGCGTCGGTGCCGTTCACGTGTCCGTTGACAGTTGAGGCACCCGGCGAATCAGGTGCGCCGTTGATAGCCTCGTCTTCTTCCCGCACCACCCGCAGCACTTCCTCCTTTAACTTGTCCAGCATGGCCGGCTGCCCGAGCTTCAACTGCGTCGCGCCATTGAAGTCCTCCGCCGACGTCGCCGGGGGCAACAATCCTGCCAGCAACCCCGAGGACGACGCGATCGAGATTTTGTCCACTGGCATGCCAGAGTCGGATACTGGCGTCAGCCTGCGCCACACTCAACCTCACCTTTCACATCCAGGCGCTGGTGCACGATTGCGCGGACAGCCTCCTTCGCCCGCCCTGGCGCACTATGCAGACCAGCCTCCCACTCCTCATCCAGCCCCGACCCGCTGAGCCACTGTACGAGCAGCGCGAACGAGTTGCGTGACATTGGCACTTGATACCGCTCCGACCGCAAGCGCTGGCAGTAGGGATCAAGAAGAATCTGGTGTGGCGCGTTGATGCCCGCGAGGTACGAAAGCTCTGAAGGATGATAAACGCGGTGGTGCTCAGCGTTGTCCTGATAGAACTTCTGCGCAGCCTCTGTGAACCCGAAGTCGATGAGGTCGAGGAACGTATGCGCGAAAAGCGGGAATGAGACGTTGTCGAGCTCAAACTGGTAGTGTCAGCCCCTCGCAGCTCCTTCTCAGCTCTCTCCAGCTTCAGATAATCACCTTCCACATGTCGAGACCGTCGCTGACCCATCGTCGGTAGCGCTTGTACCCTTCCACGCGGTCGGATGGGTCGATGAAGCTGGTCTGGGAGAGACCAGGCGCCCGACCTTCTTCGACGTCTGCTTGCTCCTCCAGCCGCGCCTGCAGCTTCTCAATGATGTATTTGCTCTGTGCAATGAACTCCGGTGTAATCCGGTCGCTCATTGTTGAGACGGACACTGTTGTCGCTTGAGGGATGTTGCGTTTGACCATGGTCTCGAGCGGGATGGCGCCAGGTGCGCGGATGACGGCCTCCAGAGGTGCATCCCGCTCGCCCTCCGCGTCTCCATCCTCTTTTTCTCCCCCTGCTTGCTGCAGTTCCGTTTGCAGCGCCTGCAAAGCCTTGTCGAAGCCGTGCTGTTGCAGGTACTCCATCACTGCAGAGGGAAGGAGCTCGGCGCCGGCGCGCGCCGGACCAGCGCCTGGGGGGGAGTCGGACATGATGAATGAACCCTGGCGTGCGTTTCGAGTGTGGATGCGCTGGATAACTGGAGCAGCAGTGATGGATGTAGAAGTCGAGGTGGATGGAGTATCGTCAAACGCGTGCAAAGCCAAGTGTGGAGGGGTGGGATGTGTTGATGTCACGTGACTGGGTACTGTTGTGGTCCGATGCTTTGGACGGGATTGACTGCGCTGCACATCCCACCTTCCTTTGCTTCCTCTAGGCTGCTGGCGATTGCTGACCGGAGCGACAGGAGTCTGGTTGAGTCACCTTTCCTCCTTACCTTCCTTTCACTGCATCACTGATCTCCGGTCTTCAGTCTCCAGCTTTGGTCTCTCGTCGCTCTCACTCGCGCTCGTACTCAACAGCTGACCTTTCCCCTCATCAGACTCACCGATGCCTCACGACGAGGATGACCCGTGGAGCACCGGTATCCTCCGCTCTCCCTCGCCTCCTTCCGACGCAGAAGATGATGAGCTCGTCGCTTTCAATGGCTTCATCCAACTCTCACGAGACACAGACCTCGCGTCAGAGCTCGACCTCTCCCGTCGGCAGGACAGCGCTGTGGTCAGAGAGACGCCGTTCACGCTCGCCAAGCTCCGCGCTCAGCAGCAGGACATGTATACCGGAAGCGAAAGGCGCAGCGGTGGACCCGTCCGCACGGCCGCCGACGACGCCGAGCCAACCCCTGCCCCGGCGCCGAAGAGGAAGCGAAAGATCGTCAACACGGGGTGGACGGACAGCAATGGCGAAGCACTGGACGCCGGCCCCATCACCAAGAAGGGAAAGCGCGGTGTTCAGAGCGAGACAACAGCACCTGTAATGTCGAGGAAGGAGTCTGCGCCCACGCCCACCCTCGCTAAGAAGGCAGTCAAGGCACCTCCGAAACGCGGAAGTAAGAGGATCTTGGACGCCGACAAGGTGGAGTTTCACAAGCTCCGTATGTTGCTTTAGATAGACATTTGCTGACTGTAGCAACGATCACCTCGCACTCTGACTTTCCTATTCTCGCCGGCCTCGAGCGTCAACGTCAGTTGTCTAAGAAAAAGGCGGCTAAAATTGATGCATCTACACGTACCCCGAGGAGCACGGTGGCCGGCCCCTCTAAACCTCGTCAAAATCTTGACCTTGATGCCCTCATTGGCAGCCACTCATTCAAGAGAAAAGGCAAAGCAAGGAGGCGTTCACCGCCGCCATCTCCTCCGAGCTCTGAAGCGCCTCTCACTCTCGCAGAAGCCCTCGAGAAAGAGTTTGGGCCGCCGAAGGTGGCGGTAATCAAGCCGCCACCTGCCCAAACCAAGGTGCTTCCCGCCCCCAAGCGTATCGTCAAACAGTCAAGCCCTCAAACTTCAATCGCTGACCACACTTGCGCGAGAGGTTCGGACGCGTTGGATCTGACGACGCTACACTCCACTAGTACGAATCACTCGCCCGTGAAGGACATCTCTTCAACCGAAGCCGGAGGCAAGTTAAAGGCTCCCGCCCCTCCGATCGTTGCAACCGCTCTTAACGCATCTTGCACCTCTTCCACCATCCCCGTTAAGCCTAGTCTGATGCGCCCGGTTGCTGTGCGCCCCAGCAACGTGCAGCTACTGGAAACCCTCGCCGCCGGTCATGGGTTGCCGGACTCTAACCTCAAGCCAGCTCATCCACATGGTGTACGCAGGGTTCTCTCCTCCCCGACAGATGGTATGTGCCTCCTTGGCTATCATGGAATATCTTTTCCTCGAAGCTGACTTCCAGTATTTCGTATCAAGCAAGCAGACGCTCTACCTCCTAGTGAAGATGTGGAGACCGTCCTTCTCATGCGACGTGATCCACACAACCGCCGACAACTGGAGGTGAGCGCTGCCTCGAGTGGACCTCCACCTTTCGACCGCCACGGCACTTCTCCCTTCGAGCAAGCCGTCCAGCCAGACGACGGGTGCCGACCAATTCGCTCGAGCTACCAGCCGTGTCATGACAAACATGATGTCAAAGGCTCTCATCGTTACAGCGCACGCGAGCTAGACCGCCACCGAAGCTATGATGTGGCTCCTACCCAACCGCATCAGGCTTGGCGCTCGGGTCCCCAGCGCAATAATCTCGACTACTCGGACTTCGGGTTGCAGTCGCCCCCCGGCAACAAGGTGTACCACCGCCAATGGAATCCGAGCCCGGAGAGAAGAATCAGCGGCGTCTCTTATAGGCGGACTCTAGACGGCCATTACCGCTCTCAGTCGCCGGGGGACACTCACAATGGCTGCGGAGGGGATGTGTACAGTGGCCTGAGTACAGCCCCTGCGATGGAGCCTCGCGAGTCGCCGTTCAGCGACACAGGTGCAATACTTGACAACGTCGGAGGGACAGCACTCACCAGTCTGCCTTTCAGCCCTAGCCGCGCGTACGGCACCCCCCTCAAGCCGTCAGCTTATCACCCACCTCCGAACCTGAGTCCTCCTTCTATCGCCAACCGCCGCTCTCCGTTCACCCTACCCATCTCAAATAACCGGAGTAGGCGACATCCACCTCTAACTGGCCCGTGGCACAAAGTTCTTGGCTCTCCCAGCCCCCCCGCTGTGGCTGAGGAGTGGTCAACACTTCCTAAGCGTCCCCATCGCATGACGCTCCACCCGGATGCCTCGCATCCTAAGAGATCCAAATTCCGCTTGCCTATCAACCTCCTGTCAGGTCGTAAGATGCCCCAGGGTCGCTCCCAATCGCCTTCGCCGTCGAATGGATTGTACTCTGGCGCGGTAACGATCACAAAGTGGTCGCCCAGCGCGCTGTCTCAGCCTCCGGAGAGGAGTGTTCCCCAGTGTCGTTATGTGCCTCCCGGCATGCGTGCGCTGGAGATGGGATCCAGCCGCGAGCCACCCCGCGACCATCAGCTTCCCCGTGCAGTGAACACGTCCTACATCACCCCGCGGTCGAGTCGTGTCCACCCTGACTCGTATGCGCCCTCTGATCATCCTCATCTGGACTTAAATCGAGTGCAGTCTCGCACAACGGCTGCGTACCCGACACCGCGTTCCATCATGCCAAGCCCAGCGAGTGAGGCGGGAGAGGAGCGCGACAAGGACGACGATTGGGCCATGGCGTGGCGTTTGAGCGCAAACGGGAGAGGTGCGATAAGGCCTTCGCGCTGAGAGAACGGCCAGTGAAGGAGAGGAGTTCCACCTGCGCACGTAGGCATGGTGATCTATCTGAGATGTGTAGTATTTAGTAACTGGACGCCATGAGATGTGTGCGATAGATTAGGACTGATTAAGCACAGACAGCAGTGAGCGCTGCTTTTGAATGCAGCACTGACGCATGACGATAGCGTTATGCATGTCGCATGTCTACTAGATTCACACCTAAACAACGATGGAGAGCAATCCGAAGCGCTTCCCTGGCCTCGCGACTGCGAGGGGGCTCTTGAATTCCGCCCCAACACCGCCTCTAAGCGTGGGCGCACCGAGACGCAATAGCGCACCACCGCGCTCCCGCTTGCCCTGCTCCGCCTGCGGAAGGTGCACAACAAGGGGATAAAGGACGACCTGGGTCCGCCGGAGCGCTTCACCCGCCAGCTCGGGCAATCGCTGGGCGAAGTCGCCGAGCGCGACGTCGTCGAGCAGGCTCTTGATGACCTCATCAGAGGCTATGTCGTCCTGCGTCAGGAGATCGAGGAAGGCGAGATCGAATGCGGCCTGCGATGCGAGCTCGCCTGCCCCTTCGCCGCTGCTCGCCTCCCAGCCGTCGAGGTCGCGCGCCTCCGCTCTGAAGGCCTTGAGAAGGCGGGGGACTGTCTCAAGCGACACGCCTGGCGGAGTGCCCAATCGGCGCACTTCCGACACCAGACGCGTCAAGGCGGCCAAGAGCTGCGGGCTGGGTGCGATCGGATGCGGGCCCTGCCAGCTCGCGCGAACTTGGGCAGGCCCTCTGTGATGGTCGAAAAGAGGGAGGAGGGCAGCCAGGGCGGCGTCGATCGCGGCAGCCTGCCACTGAATCGTGCTCTCGGTGTGCGTTTCCATGAGGGCCGTACGAGCGCGCTCCAGCTCTGCGCCACTAGACCCAAGGTCAGAGAGGAAGCTGGACCCGTGTGCCAAGAACAGAGCGACGCGGCCGACGAAGAGCTCGGCTTCAACGCTCCCCGTCTTGTCTCTATGCCCACCGGCTTCAGAGAGCACATCGTAGAGTGCGTGCACGAGCGCGCCGAGCGCTCCGCCCAACCTGCCGCCATCGCCCATAGCCAGGCCGGCCAAGTCGGCTGCAATGTCCGCAGCAGCCTCCTCCAACCCGCCCAGAACGGAGTCTAGGAGTGGAGTGCGCTGCGCCGCCCTCTTCTTGAGGTTGCCCAGGAAACTGGTAAAACCTGCTCCACTCGACCCGGCGAGCGTTGAAGCGGAGGGGAAGGTGATGTCCGAGAAGGTGTAGCTGGCGGGATTGTTGTCTGGCACTTCCACACCTGACCGGATCTTGTCCGCAGCCGCCTGCACTGCATCCCGCGCGCCCGTAACGAGGGCATCGAGTTTGGCCGTCCAGATGGCCTGCACCCTCCCACCCCACTCGGCCTCCATTGCTTCGCTAATGCGCGCTCCCATGCCCTTGGCGGGAAGAAGATCGCATGTCGAGGAGCGGAGCGCCCACACGTCCGCCACCGAGGTGAGGCCCGCGAGCCAGGAAGGCACCGCGTCCCGCAAGATGGCCACGACTTGTGTCTCCCATGGACTCAGGCGATCAGAGAGTGACGGGGTGGGAGATGGTGCGATGAACGGCGTGAATCCGGTCACGGCCGGCGGGAGGTAACGAAGAAGGATCTGGGAAGCAGGCATGGTCGAGAGCACGCGTGAAGCGCTGGTTGGTGGGCCCGCGGCGCTACGAACAACGGGCGGAAGCGGGAGGGAGATGGATGCAATGCGGGACGCACGGCGGTTGTGGGTCTTGGGTGTGGGCTTAGGTGCTTCTTCCCCAGCCTGGATCAGTCGGATCGCGTCCTCGATGACGCTGCTGTCGCGGCGGCGCTCGAAAAGAGCGTGCGCGAGGGTCTCCGTGTCGAGGATGCACCTAAGTGCTTCCGCTAATGTCTTGTCAACGTCTCCTTCCTTTCGCGCTTGGGAGAAGGACTCGCGCCGGGTTGAAGACCGCCGCCGACCGGTGCCATGAGCCAGGATGTCTCGCAAGGAGCGCAGACGCTGGGATAGAAGCAGCTCAAGCGCGTCGTCTATACTCAAGCCGTCCAGCAATATCAGAGACAGCAGTGTGTCTGCTGTTTGCTGTTTCTCTAAGGGTTCGCGGGATCGTAGGGCCGTTGTCGCTCGCGAGACAATCTGTCCGCGGAACGGGAGGAGCACCTCCCACTGCTTCTGCATGAGGGCAACGTATGGCTAGTGTGAGCGTGTTTATGCAGTGCAAGGAGGTGACAACGAGCGCGTGTAGTTGGCCAGACTGAAACTTACGCCCTTGACATCATCTGGCATCTCGTTCAGCCCGTCCTTGACTACGCGCGCGAGTAGCCACAGCATCGCTGCGTTCAAATACGCATGGTGGGCGAGATGGGAGTACAGCGCCTCAGGCGCGTCGAGGAGGAGCTTGACGTGTGCGGCCACTGGCAAGAGATCGCTGACGCCTTCGCCCTCGACTTCGGGCACCTCAACGTTGGGATTGGCACAGGCGGCGCCCACTGCTTTAAGACTTGCACTCAGCCGCAGGGAAGAACTGTGGAGGGCAGTGATCTGCGAGGCAGAAGTCAGAAGGTCGCGATACCGAGTCCCGACCATAGACCGAAGTTCGGACTGCTTGTTCAACGCATCCGCGCGCATCTTAGCCTCGACGCGTTTCACTTCGTGCACCGGCAAGCGGCGGAAGACCTCGTCCGGGTCAACTGTGGCCCAGTCCACCTCCTCCTCTTTGCCGACCAGAGCGGCGCGACGTCTATGCCCGCGGCCGGACGGGGCGAGGGAGGAAGGCGTATCGGACGTTTGAGTCATGTTGCTTGACCGCCGGGGAAGGGGAGACCGCCGGAACGACGACGGCCCGGGGTGCGCTGACATTAGAGACGCCGCGCTCTGCCGGCGGGGCGTCGCTGTTGCCATGGCGCCTAGTGTCGAGGAGGATGTTATGAGTGATGCGAAGTTAAAGGTGGATGGTCATCGGTCGACTTGCGGGCGTGGAGGCGGAGATGACCGTGGGAAAGCAGAGGTGGAGGTGGTCGATCACCGAGATTGTTGACACCGACATCCCTTCAACTTCCCCAACATGGCCATCATCGAGGAGGCCGGCTCTCCCCACCCTCGGCAGGCGCCCGTGACGATAGAGGAGCTCCCAGACTCCCGATTTTCACAACCCGGTCCATCCACGCAGCCGGCGTCGGCGCAGGCACCGAGCAATCTCGCGGGGAAGCTCCCTTCACTAGCGGCCCGACTTCAGCCAGGTGAAGATAGTGAGCCTGTGCGTGTGGTTGCGGGCTAACAGAAGCTTCAGAACCGACATTCCAACGCACCGCTGAATCTGCTCTTCGTGAGCTTGGAGTGGCCGTGGCCTCGCCGGAATGGGATCAGCTCAGCCGTGAGCAGCAAGCGGTCGTCTTCCTCCCAGCTATCCGTCTTTACTCCTCCTCTTCCTCCACACTCACCCCTCTTATTCCTACTCCTCCCGCTGCTTCCTCCCTCGCCATCTATCTCCTCTCCCATCCTCTCCGCTCGTTCTTCACCTCACACCCGCACCTCTCGGCATCCACACGTGCGCGGACGCGGCCACATGGCGGCACAGGCGCTTTGGACGATATGCACGATGATGAGTCCTGGAAGGTCTCCGGCATCGACAACGCGCTGGCGTGGTGTGCTACTCAGCTCTCGTCCTCGGACGTGGAAAGACACCTCAACTTGTTGCTGCCCCCGACGCTGACCATGATGGACAACTACCAGCCTCCATGGCGAGACGCTGGCAGTCGTGTTCTGGGAGAATGGATCGACAAAATCGATCCGGCTGAGCTGAGGCGACGTGGGCTCGACACGCTCCTTCTCAAGTCGCTCACGCATACCCTGTCGCTCCATCACGACCCACCATTGAGCCATGTCTTCGCCGTCACGCTGAAGATCGCCGGAAATTTGGATGGCGAGAAGAAGGCAGAGGCCTACGCCGACATAGTGGACCGTGCGCTCGTCGCGGGGTGGACATATGCGTCGTCCTCCGCCATCTCCGTTCTTGTCGACATCGCGCGAAACACCGAGGTTCTAATCGGCATTCTGGGGGTGGGGATCGCCCGCTGGCTGAAGTCCATCATCCCTGCTCTTCTCGCTCCTCTGCAACACGAGCCCACACCAAACAGGCTGGGCTTGTACGTTGCCAACCTTAACGCCCTACTTGTTCTCCTCCGCGGACTCCGAGGGAGTGGACGTGTGGATAGGTGGCGGGGACAGGTGCTTGACGTTGTGGCGCGCGTCTGGATTCAGGTGGGCGACTACGGATATTCGGGAACGGACAAGGGTAAGCTCACAGCTCCGGGCTCGAGCTGACCTCCAGAAACAGCGGACACAGTCCTGTCCCTCACAAGAGTAGTATACGAGGAGATTGGCACACAGTGTCCCTCTGTAAAAGCGCACGAGTTCGCACAGCTTCGTGCGCTGGACCAACGCTTCGCCCCCCTCGTTATGTAGCATATGCATTGGTACAGCTGATTCGCCCTGGGCATTGGAGCCATACGCATTAGAGCCGTACCCAGTACACACTCAGTGCTGACGCCCTCTGCGATCCAAATATATGCATGCAATGCTCTATGCTCTCCTCACTACAGGTCGTCTCGCCGGCTCAGCCGCGGGTATCGGCAAAACCTGTCGCTTACGCTCGTGACAAAGTAGTCACCAGGTGCGCTAGACGAGATAGCGTACTCATACGCCCAGATGTCCGTGATCGTCTGCGTCTCGACTACACGCGCGCGTCCTCCATGAGTCTCCGAGCGCGTGTAGCTGAAGGTGAACGGCGGCGTGCCAGTGAATTTGACGGCAAACACAGCCGGCAGGTCCCCCTCGCGGAGGTGGTCCACGCCGTCCTGGATGCGTGCGCGCGGCAGCGGGTGGATCACGCGCTCGAGGCCCTCCACCGCACGCCTGCACTGTGCGTTGCCCGCGCGGTCCTTGAGCGCAATGCTCGTGATCGAGAACGTGCCGGGCGCGTCGGCTGAGCGCGAGAAACGTGCTGCGCTCGACGTCACGGCGTACGTCCGCCTGTCCCAGGTGTACTCGACGATCCAGGGAGCTGTTCCTTGCAGAAGGAAGTCAAGCGTGTCGCCCACGCACACGTCCACGTCGTGGCTTATAGGCACGACGCGCGCCGTCTCCACCACGTCCACGAACGTTGAGAGGACGGCCGCGTCCTCGAACACGTACGCGCACCCACTCGAGTCGCTCATCTCCAGGAGCGACACCTCGTACCGCCCGACATCGCTCAAGATCAGCTCAGGCAGCTCGACCTTCCACTCGTGACCAGACACCTTGACGGTGTGGGGAACCACTTCAGCGGATGCGGGGCGACGCACACCGAGCTGCAGCACAAACGGCGCCTTGCCCGTCATCTTGATCCGCGCGTTGGTGAGCAGCGCAGCGTCGCGACAGAGGCTGTGCGTATTCTGCTTCGCAAATGTCGCAGACGGGCGAGAGTGCACCTCGTGCTCGAGGCTGAACTTCACATGAGTCTTCGCGTAATTGCTGTCGCTGATCGTGCCAAACTCGTAAACATGATGGCCCGGCATCGTCTCCAGGTGCAGTATGCCCTTGTTTTGCGCCGAATATAGAGTGCGCTCCTTCCCATGATGACCGTCGAATCTATACTTGTAGGAGAGAGCGAACGGCGACGCGCCTGTAAACGCCACCGCCACCGCGTCGCTCTCGTCCGCGCAGAAACCCTTGTGCTTGAACACTGTACCATCGCTGGTGATGAGGTCGGAGGCAGTGAGCGACGCCGTCGGGCGCGGCTTGTGAGCGATAGAAAACAGCGAGCCGTCCGCCTCGCCCGCGCAGTGCGCGTCTTCGACCTTGACGAGCTCATACGTTCCTTTCTCCGTGAAGATGAGCGGAGAGTTGGACGAGCGCACGGAGGCAGGTCTCTGCCGCTTGCCATCGAGTGTGTACGTCACTGTCCACGGCCCATTTCCGGTAAGACGCAGCGGCACCTCGACCTTCTCGCCCTCCTTCACAGTCACCTCTTGAGGCCGCGAGAACTGCACGGTGGGCAGCTGTCGGTCGATGTCGACGTCGATCTGGTGAGACGGAAGGCGCTTGACGCACCCCTTGGCATCCTCGATCGACACGAGGGTCACAGTCATGGTGCCTACATTGCCCGACCTCGAGTCGAGCTGCTGCGGTACAGGCACCGTTAAGCGCCGGCTGCCTGACTTGACGTTTTCGGTCATGTTATGCGAATTACCCTCCCACGAGGCGCGGTACGTGAGCAGCAGAGGGTCGTTCCCCTGGGCATTAGCAGGATGTTTGGCAAGGCTGACGCACCTTGATAGCGAGGTCAATAGCGATCTCGTCAGGTGAGCAGGCCCAATACTTGAGGCTGCGCTGACTGAGAATCTCGACGCTTGCTGGCGGATGAACGACCTGTGTGAACGGCGCGCGTTTGAGCGCAATCTTTTCATAACGCTTGTCGGACAGCGAGTCGAACGTGTAGGTGTACTTGCCCTCGCGGTCGGGTCGAAGGTCGAGTTGGCCGACTGGCGTGTTGAAGACATTGCGCCTCTCTGTGGGCTTTTCGCCCTGACGCTTCTCGGTCCAGTGAACCGTGAACGGTGGAGTTCCGGTAAACTCGAACGTGACACTGAGGCCAACGTCGACGGCACTGGTGTTAGTTGAGTTCCGAAGGGAAAAGCGTGCAATCACGTACCACTCGTGGATCGTTTCAACGTTTATATCGACGGTCGGCTGCTGCACGAGCTGGACAGAGCACTTCGCTGGCTCAAGAATTGTACCGGGACATGTGCCACTGACGTCCAGCAGCACAAAGGAGCCGGGCTTGTCGACCACGATGTCGCTGTTGCGGGAGTCGACCGTGATGCTCTTGACTTCCTGATCGCCGTTGGGCGCAATGAAGCGGTAGCTAACTTCGACGGGATGCTCCATCGGTCCATCGGCCTTGATGGGCAGTCTTGCCGTTCCGCCAACGAGAAGCTGGATGGGGCGAGGGCAGTCAAATGAAACTGAGCGACGGTTTAGGATCTGGAAGTCGACGCTCGAGGCATTCCCGCTTGGCGTGTACGTATTACCAAGCGCGTCGACGACGCTAGTCAATGTGACGCGCGACTTGCCGGCTTTCTTGTGTTCGACGCGCAGAGGAACGACATGCGACTTGGACACCTTGTCACGGCGGAAGTGACCCTTCTCAGCGTCCAAAATCGTCTCAGTGTCCTCAATACCTTCGACGGCGCCCTGGTCGACAGGCACATCATTGATCCACTGCTTCCACATCGCCTTGAGCGGCGCGACGCCGCGCGCGGAGAACATGACAACTTCCTCTTGGCCTATGCAGCGCACAAGCGGCTTAGGTTTGGGCTTGTACAGCACAAGCTTCCCTCCCTTGCTCTCCTCGTCGTGGATGAAGTCGCCACCAGACGGGCATTCGATGACGACCGCCTCGCGGTGCGGTGCGAGATTGAACTGGTCCCCACGGCGATCCACCACTTGCTTGAGCGTAATGACGCTCGGCTTGCGTACAACCAGGAAGAGGAGTGTTTCGGAGGCGGTAAGGTCGGGCGGAATGACACTCAGAGCCTCGCTCGGCCGCACCGAGTGGTAGCGCTCGAGCTCTAGCGCCTTGTTTCGTTTGACCATCTTCTGGAGATGATGAGCGTCGGCCTCCTCATCGTCGTCACCCTCAAGGCGCAGGCTGCGCCATCCAGGCGGGACAACCATCTTGTCCGCCAAGACGCTCTCCATGGTGGATTCCTGCGTCTCCAGCGAGCGCACGTTGAACGAGACCTGGTATGGTGCTGAGTTGTTGAACACGACGGGGATGTAGGTCGGCTCACGCGAGCCGGGTGGTAGGCAGTACGTGAGTGAGAGGGGGTTGAGAGTCGCAGTCGAGTAGGGGAGCAGGCGAATCTTGTGCACACCGCTGATGTTCTCTGGCGGCCCAAATACGAGGGGCGAGATCAAGTGTCGTGTCATGTAAATCCATCCCCAGAAGAAGCCTTCCTCGCCTAGGTGGACCGGGCCTGTGGTCAGACGGATGTGTTACGTTGCATGCTCACCAAACATCGAGACCTTGGGGATGAATGCTGCGGGCTGAGGTCAGCACGATCCTTTCACTGTGTAGCCTACGTCTGAAAGGAACCAGCACGCAATGTTCCACAACGCGAATAGGGGAACCATGAGTGCCAAACTCCTAGGTTCTGGTGAAAGGTTCGGGATCCTCAACAATGCAATGGCGAGCACGGCGCCAACCTCAACTGCTGTCCAGATGCCTGCGCTCCAAGGGCCCCGCACGCGCGTTGCCGTACTAAAAGCAGTAGGAAGTTCTGTAAAGTGCGGCGCGATCGCGTCCCACACCTTCATCACCTGATGTCAGCAGCGTTGCTGGAATGACGCACCTCGACCAGCCCGACAGTCCACAGCACAAGGCGGCGCTGCTCGTCCGGAGCAAGCCACGATGTTGGTATCACAGGTGCGAGCTGCGCCTGAGCTGGCGGAGGAGGCGCCTGTTTGATTGGCGTGCCCTGTTTGACAGGTGTTGAGACGCTCATGGCTGCGGCATCTGTCGTGTGGAGTTGTTGATGTTGTTCAGCGTGACGCCAACTTTGAGATGATATGGGATGGGCCCCGGCGGGAGCAAATACACGTGGGTGTTAGGCGTCTCATCTCCTGCTCAGTTAGGCAATAGCCAGCATCCCCTCGCCTAGTCAAGGTGGAATGGATATCCGGGTAAGACGGGCCTACGCCACGTGGACTACACCCAGATCCGGCCCCGCCCATCCCGCACGGTGTTGACCGAGCTCCGAAGATGGTCACCGCTGGGCCCAGCTCGGTTACACAGCTTCCGCGAGCCGGTAGGCTCCCACCAGCACACCATATTATCTGCCCACCACGTCTTCTGCTCTCTCAACTTCTCTCACTTTCACAGAAACAATGTCCAACCCCGGCGTCGGCTTCCAGTACCCTGCGGTCCCCGTGACCTGGCTTAAGCGCGATGTTCTGCTCTTCGCCAACTCGATCGGCGCGACCGCTGACGAGCTGCACTTCCTCTACGTGAGTCAGCGAGACGCCTTTGCTGGCGAGGGCACAATAGTAGCGCCATCGCCTTACTTAGCGTTGTCTGTGGGGAGACACTGGCACGCAGGGCTCAACGGCTCTTGCTATGGTGGACGACATTAGCGAAGGGCGCTCCCAGAAGACGCTGCAGCGAAGCAGAGCCCCTCCCCTCAGGCCCCACTGACATCGCAGGAGCTCCACCCCAAGTTCCAGGTCTTCCCCACCTACCCCATCATCCTCCCCTTCAAGAAGGACACCGCTGAGGTGACCGACTTCTACGCTGGCCAGCGTGCCGTCCCCATCCCCGATGTGCCGAAGTTCGACGCTCGCCGCGTCGTCGATGGCCAGCGCCACATCAAGGTCTTCAAGCAGCTCCCCACCTCGTCCGAGGGGCGCAAGTTCGAGATCCGCCAGACCGTTACCGGCGTGTGGGACAAGGGCAAGCCCGGATCGGTCGTCGACACCCGCAGCGACATCGTTGACGCTACCAACGGCGAGATCTACGCTTCCATCGACAGCTCGTCCTTCTTCGTCGGCCAGGGTGGCTGGGGCGGCCCCAAGGGCCCCTCGAACCCCGCCTTCCCTCCCCCCAAGGGCAAGGCGCCGGATGCCACCTTCTCTGACCAGACCGACGCCAACACCGCTCTCCTCTACCGCCTGAACGGCGACTACAACCCCCTTCACGCCGACCCCGAGCCCGGAAAGAAGATGGGCTTCGGCGACAAGACCATCATCCACGGTCTTTACTCATGGAACACCACCGCCCACGGCCTCCTCAAGGCTTTCGGCGGAAGCGACGCGGCCAACTTCAAGGAGTACCAGTGCCGCTTTGCCTCCCCCGTTATCCCCGGCGCCAAGGTCGTCACTAACGCCTGGAAGACCGGCAAGGTCGACAAGGACGGCCTCGAGGAGATCATCTTTGAGTCGAAGATTGAGGGCGGCAAGGTCTGCCTGTCCAACGGCCGCGCGCTCATCCGCCCCGCGTCCAAGGCCAAGCTTTAAGCTGCAGTGTTGTCGTAGGGATTCAGCGATTTAGGGATGTAAGCATTGAAGGTTCTTGTGGCTCCCAGATATTCATTCGTCTGAAGCTGCTCCCCCCCTTTGAACTCCCGTGCTGCACACTCATTGCGGTGGCCATCTGTCCTAATGGCGCAATACTGGCTCTTTACACTGGCGATCACCACTGATGACCGGATGGGAAGTTGAACGATCTTTCCAGGATATTCACTTTCGATCAAGACCGCTTTTTGACGGGACTCGTACCGACTGCATAGTTTGTGACGTTGTGGAGAGTACATCTACAGTCCCATACACCCTTGCTCGGGGAAACTGACCCTCTCTGAAAGGATGCGAACACCACCAAGGCCGCGTGGTGTCTCCCTGTGACCTCCATTGCATGCATATTGGTGGTGCTCTTGCCAGACACTCCGATAATGACTACCCTTCCAACCCATCAAACATCGAAGGCTTCTTGGTCCAGGGGTACGATAAGCGCTTCGGGTTACGTCAGCTTCGGCTGTCCCGTCGTGAACACGACTGTGCTTGACCCGGGTTCGAGTCCCGGAGAAGCCCTCATTTTGATTTTTGCGCATTTTCGGCCAACTGTAATCGAGCGGTTTCGAGGCCCTCCTCTCTGCATGTTGCATTCGTAGCTGCAGCCCAAGGAGATTGGGTGGGAGGGAGAATCCGTTATGGGGATTGTTGACGAGATTGAGGTCCGGGACATCGAGGTACCTTCATCTGCGACGCGGTTGGCGTCTCCTGCAGGCCACGATGTGCTGGCGAAGGACCCAGACGGGCGTTGCCCAGTTGCCCTTCAATGCGGGCCAGATGTTTGGTGTTGAACGAAGAGAGGACTGGGCCTCACGTGCATTGGGATCGCGCCAGATATACGGACAACCACCTGCCGAGTGCGCGCCCATGCTAGAGCCAAGCACAACTGCTTACCCAAGCATATCTCTGACAGCGAAATGTGGTCTGCAGTCGGAACGTGTGGGCCATCAGTGCGAAACACACTGCAGTAGAGTAGTGAGGTGTGCGATTGGGAACAGTTACGTGATTGGGAGCAAAACACGCACCTCGCTATATCTGTATTCACCTGCCATGGTCACAGGACACCTCGTGTTCATAGACTGGCCTGCGTGGGACTCACTGGTTGTATGCAAGTGGTGGTTCGATGCATGCTGAGGAGTAGTCATGCTGGGATCGCCACTCAAGACACTTCCTGGACGAGAACGAGAACAGCATCACTCCCTTGGCCTCAGCGTTCGCAATTAATGTCCTCGCCGTCTTTGAAAATGAAAAGAGCAAACGGTCATTCTCGCCAACAGCATGCAGCGTCTTCGCGACAATTGAGACTAGGAGATATAACTCACGACGGAACGACGGAAAATCCCGACCGCCACAGAGCGCGAACAGACTGTTGTCCCGATCTCAAACGCCCTCTACGTCCCACGGCGCTCCCATCCTCATCGTCATAGATGCGCAGCGAGCCAAGTCAAGAAGTAAGTCTCACCCCATCCATGTACTGTACTATCCGCTCAGCACTGCTTCTCCACGTGCCGATACGCGGCCGGCGCGCGCTCTCCCCTCGCGCTCTCGCCGATCACTTGGCGGGGTGCTTGGCATGCTCACACCCAGATGTCAGAGGGGATAGCGGGAGATGTGGCTAGCACTTGGTTTATCCATCCCATGCACAACACTACAGCCCGCTCCCGTTTGTTTGTCCCTTCCGGAACGGAGTAACAGGAGTGCCACTAGGTTCAGCAGACGGCCTTGCACGCAACCTGCCACACCCAGAATCCACCTTGTGGCCGCTCGGCTCAGGCGAACTTCCGAAAGCTAGGAGCTAATACGTCGTAGTCTAATGGCCCTATTAGAGATCCCGCGGATTGAATTGCCACACTCGGCTTAACGCCGTAGTCCGTGCCACAACTGTCCTGTGCCTGGTCAGGTGGCCCAGACCCCAGCTCCCATGCCGCGCGTGCCACCCTCTCCATCCGCCAACACGACGTTAGGGCGCTGTGCCTCCGGCTCCACATTGCGAGTGCCAAGCCGAGCCAAGCCTTGGCAACTTGGCACCTTGGCAGCGGCGGTATGTGTTGTACTGACGTGAGGTCGTGCATTGGTGCATTGGGCGTACGGAGATGACACGTTCTCCGAGCATCATCCGCGGCTGCACGGCCCCCGAATGGCCGAAGTGAAATCACGCATCTCTTCGGAAGCCGGCGGTGGCGAGCACCAGAAGCGCCGACTGCGCAGAGCGCAAAGATAGAAAGTGCGAAAGCAGCGCGCAGAGCATCTGCGCAGGCCCGAGATTTTTATGGTCCTGCCAAACTGCGGGTCTACGGCTCTGCGGCTTGCGGGCACTCTATTTGTGACGGCATGTGCCAGCATGTGTCCACGCAGACGTGGCATGGACGTAAATACACCCAGTCGAGGATCGAGGATTGAGGAGTCGAGACTGTGAGAGATCAGAGGCCGACCCGAACCGAGCCAACTCCGAGAGTGGAGTGGGGGCTGGGGAGCCAGGATCAGGCGGCGATGCGCCGGTGATGCACACTGGCTTGCATTTCATGCGTTGCATGTGATGCGGGCGCCCCGGGCAAAGCGGGCGGGCAAAACATGAATGCATGGATGGCGTCAAATGCCACGCATGCTGATGATATATGGGATTACAATTGGAGTGGATAATGTTAATGAGGTAAGAAAGGAGACGGAGCGGGATCTAAATGACGATGAGGGGTGGGTTTCTGGGTGCCTGGTGAGATGCCCAGGGCCTCCCTGAGCCGCTTGGCAACAGGCTTTCTCTCTTGGCACTTTCTTGGCTCTCGGCCGCCTTCCTTCCCTGCCCTTCCCTCTTCCTCCCTCTCCCACTCCCACTACTCCCAACTCATCCACACCGCCACTCCTCTTCTTCTCTTCTCTCTCTCTCTATCTCTCTTCTTCATCGTTGACACTACTCTCTTCCACGTCGTCGATTACATTCTGTCTCAGATCCCCATCGTCGCATCTTCATCGTCTCCCAACTCCGCCCCGTCGACTAGCACCGCCCCCACCGCTCTCCGGCCTACGTCGACCGCAGCACGCCGCCTGCGTCGCTCCCCCTTCCAACATCATTCTTCCCGAATCGATCCTCCAGCCCCCCATCGCATCTTCGCTTATCGCTAGCCATGGCTTACCCTCCTCTGCCAACATCTCAGTACCTGCATACACCGACGGGCTCGTCGGCGTCCGACTCTGCCTCCTCCGTTGACCCTCTTACCCCCAATTCGGCCGTCACCGCGATGTCGCGTACCTCCCCCCCTGATGTCGAGGAGCGCGACGAGCTTGACCCCGACGTCCCAGAACGTGCCGTTCCCATCAAGGAGCCGGCGCAGGATGAGGGCATCAGATGCAAGTGGAAGGACTGCACCTACTCGGCACCAGGTGCCGAGGATCTGTACACCCACCTTTGCGAGACCCACATTGGTCGCAAGTCGACCAACAACCTTTGCCTGACCTGTGGTTGGGAGGGCTGTGGCGTCAAGTGCGTCAAGCGTGACCATATTACGTCCCATCTTCGTGGTGAGTATAGTGCATGCCCAGTCTGGCCCATCGTCCGTCACCGCCAATTCGGACTCGGCACAACTCTCGGAGTTTAAGCGTCACTACCCTCGATTGCTGACTTAACCAGTCCACACCCCGCTCAAGCCCCACCCTTGCTCGGTCTGCGGCAAGACGTTCAAGCGTCCTCAAGACCTCAAGAAGCACGAGCGTATCCACACCCAGGAGCACCACCAGCTGCACAAGCTCTCCAAGGCCACCACTTCAACCGACCCGGACTTCAATGCGCGCTACCCGTCTGCACGCGACGAGCGCCGCATTTCCAATGGCGGTCTTCCCCACCAGCGCTCGCCTGCGTTCTCGCTGTCGCCCTCCTCGTCCGCTCATGACCCGCACTCGCCCAACGACTACCTTGGTCTGCCTCCTTCCGGGCATGGTTTCACCACGCCGTCGCCCCTCGCCATTGCTGCTCTCCACAAGAAGCAGCATGAGGAGCTCGCCGCCTACCAGCAGCGTGAGCTCTTCGCCCTCCAGCAGCTCGCATACCAGCAGCAGCAGTCGTCGGCTCTTGCCGCTCAGCTGCAGTCTGAAGCCCTCGGCAAGGGCGTCAAGCGCGGCAATGAGGATGCCTTTGACAACTTCATCGAGGACATGAAGCGCCGCAAGATGGATCCCGTTTACGATGTCGAGATGATTTCGCGTCTTAACTCGATCATGCCCCCTGGTCTCCCAGCCGCTTATCAGTCGCTTGGCGGCAACCCGGGTCTCCCCAGCAACATCTCACCGTTCTCGTACCCATCGCTCCCGAACATCGGTCATGGACACAACGGCCAGGCCCCCTCGGTGCCTCCTATCCAGATCCCGGAGATCCGCACTGAGCAGGATCTCGCCATGTTCAACCAGTTCATGGTTTCGCTTGGCCGTGAGGCTGCCGGTGGCATGCCTGGCCACGACTCCAACTCGAGCCATTCGTCGTCACGCAACTCCCTTTCGCCCCTCTCGGCAGCTGAGAACTCGCCCATCGAGGACCTGTTCAACCCCTCGGAGCTTGCTTCCCTCGGCCTCGCTGGCATGCCTGGTATCCCGACCTCGACGCCCTCGCCCAACGGCTCGGTGTCGCTCGGCTCACTCTACCCTTCCTTGGATGGCATTGACGGTGGCCGTCCCCGCGCTGGGTCGGTTAACGAGCTCGAGCACTCGCGTCGTCCCATCGCTGGCCTTCCTCGCTCGGGGAGCCACTCGGCAGCCTCCAAGATGGGCCACGGTCAGCTTTATGGTGGTGTCTCAGCCTCGCAGTACCCTCAGGTCCCAGAGTGGAACGTTTCGCCCGCCAATGGTGACGGCCAGAACTACGCCTCGTTCGACTCGCTGGGATCGCGCTCGCGTTCTTCAATGCCCGCAGCGACTCTCGCACCCCGCGACTTCTACAAGCGTACCTTCCGGCACATTGCGCCCCTCGGTGCCGCTCCTCACACTGAAAGCAGCGAGCGCTCCACTGTGGATGACGAGGATTCGGCGTCGGACACATCGTCTGACGGTACTACCGGCCCTAGGATACCGATCGATGCGCTCTGCTCTGGCGACCCGAGCCTCAAGCTTCCGGCCATCGGCAACCACGAGTTCGAGGGCACACCGCTTCCCTCGCTCCGCAGCTTGCGCCACCGTGGCGTCTCCCCGGCCCGCAACCCGCCCGTCAAGCGGCACACGGACGACACGCTGGTGCACGGCGTCAAGCGTCTCGAGCTTGAGGACCGAACCCGCTCGGACTCGCCGGTTTCGCATGACGGTGAGAGCCGCCCGTCCACTGCCTCTCCCGAGGACGTGCGCCGCCGCCACGCCGCACTTATCCGCGCGTGGCTCGTTGCCGTCAACCTCGAGTTTAAGCGACGCCAGGTGTCTGAAATGTCCCGTTTCGACCGGGAGCGCACTCCCACCCCGGCCTCGCCCATGATCACTGCCTAGAAAGTCGCTATAGAACCCGCTGCGCGGAAGCGTTAGTTGTACAAGTATCGTGTCCTGCTGTATGAAATGAAAGCGCGTGTCTGAATGAACAAGCGGAAAGAGCGAGCAAAGAGTGTGCGGAAGCGATCTCGTAGTAGTCCGCGCCCGAAAGTGATTGGCCTTTTGACTGGAGCTGTTGATGAACTCGGCTCTTGGATTCTGGCCGATCTGGGAGGCAGTCCAAGGTGGGCGGAACGCCAATGGGTTGTACCTGGTCCCGCATGCGCCGCACTGGCCACTGAATGTGAAGTGCAACCGTCCAAGCGCGGTGGCGGGGGTATGTGGCGATGAGCTTGACTCCTGCAGGCTGCCGGTGGTGTACCTCCACGTCCGTCCCGCTTAACTGAACTGAGCTCCATCAACCTCCCACTCCATCGATCGGTGTCGTTATCGCACGACGCTGGCTACCCCCCGGCCGACAGTCGCAGTTGCCAGTTGCGCAGTTGCCAGATCCGACGAACGCGTCCAGGGCAAAAGTACGGCTTCCACGCGCCGTGCCTGTCTTCTGGAGCCAAGCCAGGGCCGACTTTCCACCCGTCGATTGCGACCTGCGTACCTCCATCTCTCGACGACTCGCTCAACTCCATCTTCTTGTTCTCTCGTTTTTCTCGCATCTCTCCTCTCTCTTTTCTCGTGTACGCGCACCCTCCCGCCCTTCTTGCGCCTTGCGCTGCTCGCTATCGCTCAGCTCGAGCTCGTCGTGCACGCAACGCCCGAAACGGAACGACGCAGCCACCACTCCTTTCTCCTCTCCTTCCTTCCTCCACTCGGGCCGTACCTCACCACTAGCAGCGTACAGTTCCCGGCGATGCAGCTCCTCCCGCCACTGGCGGCGCTGTCCGCCCGCGCCCTCCTCGTCTCGCTACCGAGGAGGTTTGACCCGGCGTTCGACCCACCTACCTCTGATAGCGCCGTCTCGGCCGCCGCAGCACTTGTCCTCTTCCGCTGTCTCTGGGCTTTGGGCTCCGAATTCGGAGGGAACAAGCGACGAAAATCCGTGGCGGACGGGCTAGGCGTCGGGCTGGGTGTGCTTCAGACAGTGTGTTGGGCGTTGGCGACACGACATGTCGGACCGCTGCGGTGAGTTGGTCATCGATCAGATGGGAACAAGCTCCAGAGGGATCGCCGGTGGTAGCTGACAGCAGCGCGAGCATGCTCGTCTTCCTTCCCTCCGCGGCCGCAAGTGCGACCACTCTCTCACCACGTCTCATGGGCGCCGCGGCCATCGTCGCAGGCCTCACCTTCTTTACGGCGTTTGGGAACGAGGCGGCCGCCGGCGCGCTCGCTGGGCTAGCCGCCATCTCAGGCGTCGCGGGCAAGCTTGGCGCCAAAAGGCGACGCGAAGACGGTTGGGCCGTGCCAGTGCTGGCGGCCATTGCGGTTGGCAGCGCCGTCATCCTAATCCTCTCCGTGAGTGCGCGAACCGCCACATACTAATCCCAGCCGCTCTCGCTCCCCATGGCGCCGCTGGCCGCGACCGCCGTGCTCGCCGCCTACCTCCCCCTCCACTCCCTCACCTCGCTCTCTCTCCCGTCGCCCAGCGGCCTCGCGTACCTGGGCCTCGCGCAGGTTTTTGCGCTTCCACCGCGCCCTCCCCTCGTCGATCTCATCGCCGTCGTTCCCGCGGTATTCTTGTCCCAGAGGCAAGCTACTTCTGGTCTGAAGGGGTGGGCGTTCCCCCGCCCCACGCCCTCCGTCTCGACCGCCCCTACGTTCTCCCTCCAGACGCCCCTCGCCGTGCTGCCGCCCGCTTGGCGGCCACACCTACTTACGATCATGCGGACGCCCGCGAGCAGGCGCATCTTTGGCTTCTTATGCCTTAACCTCGCGTACATGGGCGTGCAGATGGGGTATGGGATTGCAACAAACTCGCTGGGTCTGATTTCGGATGGTGAGCTTGGACGCTCGCGCTCGCGGGGTAGGGCTGACCTCAGCCATTCACATGCTGTTCGACTGCCTTGGCATTGGAGTTGGTTTGTGGGCCTCGGTCGCGGCTACATGGAAGTCCGACGGGCAGTATACATTTGGCTACTCGCGCATCGAGACATTGTCGGGTTTCGCGAACGGTTCGTGTCTTCCTTCTGAACATTACTTGTCTGAGCGCACCAGCTGATGCCAGGCTGCTTCCTCATCCTCATCTCGGTCTTCATCATTTTTGAGGCGATCCAGCGCGTGCTGAACCCACCCGAGATGGAGACACGCCAGCTGCTGCTCGTCAGTGGGATAGGGTTGGCGATCAACCTCTTTGGCATGTGGGCCACGGGCGGGCACCATCACCACGGCCACAGCCACGGCCACGGCCACGGCCACGGCCACTCTCATGGCCACGGACATGGGCATGACCATGGACACACGAACGGCAACGGCCATGTCCATAGCATTGTCCACGATAAGAAGACGGACATTGGCGGAGCGCACGAGCATGATGCGTGCTCTAATGGGCACTCGCACGGGCATCACGAGCACGGCCACGGGCATGATCACAAGGTCGACCACGGCCACGACGTGAACCACGGCGGTCAATGTGACCACGCCCAAGCTAACGGCAACGGGCTAGGCCACGCGCACGGGCATTCTCATGTCCATCACGCCCATCACGACCACTCTCACTCCCACGACCATGGGCATGCGCACTCGCATTCTCATGGCCACGACGCCCACGCCCATTCGCACTCACACTCGCACGAAGACCACGACCATGACCCGCACCACTCGCACAACATGCGCGGCGTCTTCCTGCACGTCATGGCCGACACGCTCGGCAGCGTCGGCGTGATAGTCTCGACCCTCCTGATCCGCTGGACGGGGTGGACGGGCTTCGACCCGCTCGCGTCGCTCTTCATCGCGACGCTCATCCTCGCCTCCGTCTTCCCGCTGGTGCTCGACGCGGCGCGTGTCCTCGTCCTCGACGTCGGGCCTTACGCCGAGCCCACCCTCCGCAAAGCCCTCGGCGACGTCGCTACCGTGCGCGGCGTCAAGTCGTACTCTGCCGCGCGCGTGTGGCCGCGCGAAGACGCGAACCTTGTCGGCAGCTTGCACATCCAGCTTGCGCCTGGGGCGGAGCCCGAGAAGGTCGCGGCGCGCGTCGAAGCTGCTATGCGCTCGCGCGTGCCGGGGCTCAAGGAGCTCGTGCTCCAGATAGAGGACGAGCGCTTCTGTACTTGCATGACGTCGTAAGATGCATAGACTATGGGATGTGGCTTCTACGTAGGACAGACTGCTCAGGGATTGAGGCTGTCACCATTTGAGTTCTCGTACACTTGCTCAGAGCGACGAGACGACTCGCCTCTAGACCTCGCTCCACGCCAGGCCTCGCCCTCACTCAAGTTGATGCATAGATATAAGTGCAGGGTATCATGCGCGCGCGCGTGCAAGCTGCGCTGAGAACAGATCCTTGCAGTGAAGATGGGTGACCTCGCCCCGGGGCGCATGCACGGCGATAGCGCTCTGCCCCAGCCGCTTCTGGCACTGCGGGCATATCCGCTGGTCCGTGACGCGCACGCGCTTGACCTCGAGGCCGACGACGAGGCGCTCTGCTTGCGCCTTGCGCGCAGCGAGCAGGCCGCGCGTGATGCGGTGCTCGTTGCGGCGTGCGCGCTCGTCGCCCAGCGTGCGCCGGAAGAAGTCCTGCAGCTCCTTCACGGGCACGAGCGGCGGGAGGAGGTCGAGCACCGCTCGCGCGTCCATCCGCGTCCCGTGCCGCGCGACTAACGCCAGAGCCGGCGCGACTAGCACCTCTTCTTTCGAGGGGCGGAGGTACAGGCGCAGAAGATGGAGAAAGAGGCCGCGCTCGGGCTCCTTGGCGTGTGCGCGCGCACAGTAGACCTCGGCGGCGGCGTAGTCCTTCAGAGTGTAGATGTAGATGCGGAGCGCCTCGTCGTGCTTCCCCAGTCGGCCTAGGAGAACAGCCTGGGCTTCTGGTGCGTCTGCATAGTTAGCTCATAGCGATTCGCAATCTCACCTTCCACAGGCAGCTTGGAGAGCAGCCGGTAAGGGCGGTAGTGTGTGGATTGGTTCAGGAAGTCGAGGAGCGTTGTCAGACTATCATCTCGTTCTGAGCCAGAAGCGCCCTTCAGTCGTCGCATGTAGAGCTCCACGAGCTTGTCGTGCAGCTCCGGTGAGGTGTCACCCAGCTCGAAGACATGTTCGAGGTACTTGATCGCGCCATTCCAGTCCACCTCTTCAAGGAAAGCGACTACCTTCTCACGTGGGAGAGCGTCGACTTCCGGCTCGTCCGCTGTGAAGATCTGTTGTCAGTTCACATTTCATTGCCCACACTGACGTGGAGGGCCCGGGCTGGGTCTTCCTCAAAGATCCAGCGTGACGAGTCAAAGATGAGCTGCAGGTGTTTCGGGCCGAGTTTCTGCAGATATCGCACTGTTGGCGGGTATCTGTCCAGCGGGTCGTCTTCCTCCTTCGCCTGCCTGTTGGTGTCAGCCATGCCGGGGCGCGGACCTACTCTAACAACATTCCCAATGCCTCGTCGTGCATCCCCTTCTGCATGTAAAGATCACGCAAGTCGTCGATACGCTTGGGTCAGCTCGGCGTAGCTTTTCCGTAAGTAACTCACCCCCTTCTCTCGCAAGAGCGGTTCCACTTCGGCCACATCCACCCAGTTTTCAATACGGCACAAACTTCCCACCAGACTTGGCCGCGCGACCAGATACACCTTCAACAGGGAGGTGTACACGACCTGCGCAGTGCGAAGGAGCTGCTCAGAGTTGAGCTCAGTCAGCGGCCCATCCGGGAGGCCGTGAATTACTGAAGCGTCAACTTCGGATAGCGGCGGGAGGTCGCTCTCCGCAGGCAATGGATCCTTGAGCGCAAGAATCGCGCCTCCAAGCTTCTGCCTCCTATCGGAAAGGTAGTAGATGAGCTCGTCAATCGCCTTACGGGGCAGCGTCTCTGCGCGAGTTAGCCCTATTTCGGCACGAACTCACCATCGTCCATCGGCGGCGGCGGCGACATGACCTTCGGTGGGCTCTCCTCGCGTTCTCTCGATGAGCTCGTGACGCTCGCGATCGTCTCGTTGCTCTTCTTTCGCGCCAGCGCCAGGTGGGCGTTACGAATGATCGAAGGTTTTGGCGTCTCAATGACTGGCGGCGCCGGGGGTTCGAGTCTCGCGCCTTCAACAGCGCCAAAGAGCTTCATCCACTCATCTCGCGGGACCGCAAGGTGACCTGATACCGCTGTCTTGGGGTATAGTGCGATGACCTTGGCAGGGTTGACGTTGAACACTGTGAAGGTCTCAAGAGCCGGCTGGTAGTCGCCGCGGGCAAACTGGGCGAGGGCATTGAGTATGCGCAGGTGTGGCAAGCGCTGAGTCTGATGTGAGAGACTGTCCGCCTTGAGTAGCTCACCTCCGCCAGCCCCGTATCTCCTACAGCCTCGACGAGGCCGATGGCGTCTGTCACTCTCCCTTCCTTGACAAGCTCGTCGACCTGTTCCCCAATGTCGGTGCCGCGCACCTCCCAGATTGTGCTCCCCTCCAGGGCGAGGGTGCGGTCTGTTGGCGTCGACACGAGAAGAAGCTTGGAGCTCTTCTTTCCTTCGCTCAACGTCGTCCCAACACTCAGTGCCGCAATGGTGAGCGAACCAGTCGCCGGCGAAGGGAACGTGATCGTGTCTCGCAATGCGAGCGTCGGCGCAAGATGCACTTGGATCGTGGGTAGAGTCGCGGATTGCCCGGCAACAGCTGTGGCTGCAGGCAGCACAGAGTAGAGGAAGGGGTTGGAGAAGGCTGATGTCAGATTGTAGTTGGGAGATGCAAGCTCACCCAGGGCTTCTGGCGCTGCAGGCCAATGAAGCGACTCGTCCCGCGTAAAGTTGCCTTCGGAGGAGAAGAACACGCCCAAGTCGTCCCGCACGAGCACGACCTCGCCTCCGACCGTCCTCGTGCCTACTGGGACGGCGGCGCTGCGCATGAAGCCGCCGAGCCGTCCCCACCCGCTATCTGGCACGGCAGCGCGCGCAACCCCGCTCTTGGCAGCGGGGTATCCGCCTATTGGGAGATCCGTCGCGACGAGACGATGTGCAGGCGCGCCATGTTTGATGTGCAAGATGGTGCTCGCTTGTGGGGAGTAGAGGAGGTGCACGGCGCCGGGGAGGTCGGCGTACACGGGCGCGGGGAAGATGACGGCTCGGGGCGTGTGCTGCAAAGACAGCTCCCATGCCTCGCCCAAGCGTGTGCCGGCGCCGTACACGACGACCTTCTTAGAGCAGCCGACGACAAGGAGGTCACGCTTAACCTTGGACGGGGTTGAGTCGCCCTCGGAGGGTGTGCCCGGCGCCATGTAGGTGGTCGCCGCCAACGCCTGTGCATAACGCGCTTGGATTAGAGCCTTGGTATTGCCCTTCGTTGCGGGATTGTCGAGCTTGTGCAAGGAAACAGTTTGGTCTATGGTTAGCGGATGGGGCGGGGAGGCGCAAGGCGATGGAAAGAGATCAACCTACCGGACAGCACTGCGAGCTGCCCCGACACAGGCAGGACAGCGAGCGCATCGATCTGCCGCCTGCTCAGCTGATGCGTCGCCTTGAGCACCATTACGCCGTCGTAGTATCGCACACTGCCGTCTGCACAGCCCACGTATAGCGTCCCATCTGCGATCAGCTGCGCCAAGACGTGGGAAGCGTACCATGCTGATGGAGGGCGGTGATGCGGACCTTTGCACCCGTAATGAGGGGATGCAAGGCGTGGCTTCCCATCGTGGATGGGGAGCGTGAATGTTAACAAGTGCAAGACGGGGTGGCGGATGACGGATGGAGAGATGAGGAATGCGGTGGTGGAGGCCGACTGACATTGAGCTGTGTGTGACGTCGTGCAGTTTGATCATCACCACACATAAATCAAGCCTTCCTCCCAGTCTCCCATCTCTTTTTCTTCTCGATGCCCCCATCGCTCAACAAGAACCCCTCCATATCAGCTTACTTCCAAAGAGCGCTACATACCTCCCCTCCGGCCAAGCGAGCACGAACCATGCCGACTACAGTTGATCCCGCCACCCTGCCGACTATTGTTGACACGCACAAGGAGGGGTCCAGTGACGCCTACAAGCCCGATGCGAAGCTGAACGCGCGCATCTCGATTTGGCGCGGGGATATCACCAAGCTCAAGGTAGATGCCTGGGCTGTGCGTGGCTGATGACAGGCCGACATGATCGTAAACGCAGCCAACAAGAGCCTCATGGGCGGTGGCGGGGTTGACGGCGCGATCCACCGCGCGGCCGGCAAGGAGCTGCTGCGCGAGTGTGCGGGTCTCGGCGGGGCTGAGACAGGCGAGACGAAGCTCACGAAGGGATACAACGTGAGTGGAGCATGGCGATGGGGCAGGGCACAGTGGCAGCGGCAGTGGCAGCGGCCAGGCGATGATGCAGACAGAGGGGCGAAGGGAGCTGTGAAGTAGTACCTAAGGAGGAAGAGAGACTGACACCAGTTGCCGGCCAAGTACATCGGTCACACTGTCGGACCCGTCTACGGCGAGGGGCGGAAGGAGAAGTGCGCGCAGCTGCTCAAGTCGTGCTACCAAAGTGCGCTCGAGCTGTGTGCGGAGAACGGCGGGGGATCTATTGGGTTCCCGAGCGTGTCGACAGGCATCTGTAAGTGTGCCCCGGGAGGGTTCAGAAGAGGCAAACTGATCGCTCATTCCAGACGGCTATCCCATCCGCGACGCGACACACATTGCGCTCAAGACGACTCGCGAGTTCCTCGAGAAGAACGACAAGGTTAGCTGATAGTGGTGCGGGAGCTGACGGCAGATCACGCGTGTTGTCTACGTCGTCTTTCAGGAGAAGGACGAGAAGGTGTACAACGAGCTCGTGACGGAGTACTTCCCGATCGAGGCGAAGGCTGGTGGGGAGGCTGGCGCAGAAGGAGGGGAGAAGGCCAAGGAGACCAAGGGGCAGGAGGGTGAGGAGGTGAGTGAGCTGACGAACGGCGACGGGTGATGTGACGGCCGTGGCATCCGCTGACGCCAGTGATCATCGGACGCGAGGTACATCATAGAGTGGGAATGTAGCATAGTTGACTCTGCTGCCGTTGTCCGAGCCGTCGCCTGCGTTGCTCGAGCACATTGCGCCCATGCGCGGCGTGATGGCCGGCCTTCGCGGCAATCTTCCAGGCTCGCGTCTGGTGTGTCCGCCGGCCGCACCACCCGCCAAAGGAGCAAAACTGCTGACCAAAGGCTGGATGCGGGCCCGCGAAGTTCCCGACTTGATGGTGTGGGAGGTGTCAGGGAGAACGAGTGGCAAGAATCGTCGAGCACAGTGCGGATACGTTGTAGACGACATATCAAAGCGATACGCAGGCGATGGACGCGTTGCCTCGGGATTGTGATGTACCCGCGTGCCCGTCGTGACTGAAACCAGAAGCATACCAGTGTCAGTAGATCAGTGGCATGATCAGCGGCGGTTTCACATGTCAGCAAATCAGCGAGACGCGAGGGGGTGAGTTATCAACGGTCTCGGTCTGGCGGTCAGCTGCTGTGAACAGCATGGAACGCGAAACGCACACAGAGGATGACGGCTGTGCGTGGTAGGTGGAGACAAACTGACCGACCTATGGCACACACGTTTCTGCACAACTGCACGTGAGCATTGTCGTCTCGGCATCACGATCGTCACGACTCACGGTCACGGTCACCGTAACCAGTTAACCCGAGTTGGCCCAGTAGCCGCGACGCTGCCCCACTCGAAAGTTGGCAACGCCACCCAGTGGCAACTCACATCGGCCTGCATACCACGATCACCATCATGCGATGCGAACACGCGTGATCATGCGACCTGCAAACGATCCGATCATGCGATCGCAGCATACCGAAGCGCAGCCGCGGCGCAGCCTTGGAGTCGATCACGATTAGCCTGCTGGGAGGTCCTCATGACGCAATGTCCTGGCTGAACACTCCCTGCGAATGTTCGAGCAATATTCGAGATGACGTCCTTTAGGCGCTAGGCCTTGTTGGCAGCTTGGGACATCAGCATTGCGTCGCCGTACCGCCGTGTCGTGCGCTGCGTCACCTTGCGCCGCGCCGTGTCAGCGCCGTTCACCCAGCGCCGTGTCCACCCAGCGCCGTGTCCACCCAGCGCCGTGTCCACCCAGCGCCGTGTCCAAGCGCTCGACTGGCGCCGAGTCAGGAGTTCCTTGCATCTCCGTACCTCGTGTACCTCGCCAAACCGCACCCGTCGTTGTCCGCGTCCGCCACGAGCCAACGGACAAGCGACGTATACCCGCTGACTCAGTCTATCTTGAGCGTGCTGCTCCGCTGACAGTAACGACAACGGCCCTCTCGCTGCTCCCTCCATGGCTCCATGACTCCAAGATTCCAGAGACTCTCCAGATAGATCGACCAAACACATGCCGCCCACGGACGGACGCTCGTGCGTACCTGTGCCTCGGCGCGGGTGCTCCGCCGGGAAGGGAGGCACGCTGGGAATGTATATGGGCGGGCAGGGCCCGCCGACGTCGACGAGCATGCGATGGCCGGGTCGGCGTAGCCGTCCCCGTGGGTACCCCAGGCGAGCTATGGGGAGGACGTGGCATGCAGAGGGCGTCAGAGGCTCAGAGGCCAAAGGCCCGAAGATCAGAGGACCAGAGGACGATCAGAAGAGATCTACAGATCGGGCCGTGGTTGGATTGCCCGTGAGCCCGGAGAGTGGAGTCGACAGGCGAGAATAGGTGAGGTGAGGTCACGGATCACGGAGATCGGAGACAGCCGTTGTCGCATGTCGCAGTCATCTGAGCTCTGAGATCTGCGGGGATGGATGTACGGCCTGAACGGCATGAACGGGGATGGAGTGGGTTGCCCACTGCGACACGGAGGCTTGTCGAAAATAGCTCGGGTGGGGCATGTTTGGAGCCAAGCCTCACGAATACACAACGCACAGACATGCCACCGCATGCCGAAATCCGGCGCGGCGGGCGGCGGCTTGGGTTTGGGCTTGGGCTTGGGCTCGACTTGGATTGGTGTCGGCTCCGATGCGATACGCTGTGCCTCTGTTTGTCCAACTTTGGTGTGCTATACTGTAGATGGGGGTGGGGCTGAGGCGTGCAATGAGTGTGTTAGTATGCGTACGTGCGTGGCTTGCTCGTTACGATGCCAACGCGGGGGGGGGGGCAACGAGGCAACAGCGAAGCCGGTGAAGAGGTTGGTCCAGTTGAACGTTGCTGTGCTGTGTGATCCTGCCATGGCCGTGATGGTGACGCCTGTCAGAATCCACAAGGGGTGAGGGAAATGTCGTCCAACCAGAATTCTGAGAATAGCCCCGAATGGGATAATGACCCCTTAATCACCGTCACTCAAAATCCAAAATCACTCATAATCACTCAAAAAGCGGAATCAAATACGAGTGTCCCAAAGTTTACCCACTCTCCCCTCGTCGCTCTGTTCCCTTGAAACCCTTAACGTTCCCCTTGGACCCCTTGCCCTCATCATGCCCTCCGATCCGACGCGCTGATCGAATGAATTCATTGACAAACAATTGCCGAGTAACCCCCGAGGCTTCAAGGCTTCCCAGCGATCGGGACGAGAAGAGGCACGGATGTATTTTCGCCCTCTCTCTCGCAGGCTCCCACCGCTCTGATGCGCCTCATACCCGCACACCCTTCACCCGCCCTCCCCCGCCCTCGACCGCCCTCACCCCGCTCAACCCGCTCACCCAAACTGCCTCTGGCCACTCGCACACTGCCATCACTTTGCCCGGTGCTGTTTTAGAGAGCCCTGTCACTCGCCTCGACCCCTCCCCCCCCCCCTCTCGCCGCTCAAAGAATTCTCTCTGTCTCTGTCTCTCTCTCTCATTCATCCATCTACTCATCCACCATCTCCCACCTCTATAGGTGCGCAAAGCATCGTTCGGCGTCTTCGTCGTGCTAGTCGCTCTGCGGCCAAGCGTGACTCTTGTCCTATCCACCAGCCACACCACAAGCCTACCCCCCGTGCGGCTTTTTTGGGCAGTCGCCTCTCAATCCTAGCAATCCTACGCCTTTATACGCATTCAACTACCGCTGCTCTTGCTCGATATCGATCCACATATCACCACACTTGAGCTGCTCGATCCACCCGATCTCCTCCCCCCCCCCCCCCCCCCCCCCACTCAGCGAGCGTCATTCTGCGTTGCTACTTTGGCTCATCCTTGGTAGCAACGTCTCTTGATTCTCCCATTCCGCCGATCTACCGAACCACCCATCTCTCTCACCCTGCATACAACTGCGAACTGTGCGCTCTCGATTCAATCGAACGCGCCCACGTTAGCCACCCGCTCGCGCCTCTCCTCCTCCTCTCCAGTCGCCTCCCAGCACTGGCCAGCCAGTAGCCACGGCGCCCCAGCACCCAGCAGCGAACAAGAGTAATACCTCATGTATGTCCCGCCGCCTCCTCTCTATATCTCTCGATCTCCACTTCTCCCCTCCCCCATCTTCTTATCTTCTACTTCTTATTTCTCCACCTCCTCCGCCCTCGGCTTCTTGTGTCTACCCTGGTGGTGACTGACAACCAGACCGTTATTCTTCTTCTCTCTCAACTCTTCCCCCCCCCCCCCCCCAATTCATCGGCCTTTTACTCTACACTTTCCCCCCTCCACGCGATGACTTTGCATTTCTAGAACGCTCAGTCGACTTTGTCGGCAACTGCACTCGATCTCGGATCAACAAGCTCGAGTTCATCTCGTGTTCTAGCCTACCATCAACCCCGGCACCGAGTTACCAACGTGCTTCATCACCACACTACTTCGACTTTGTTCTCCCCTATTCTTAATCTACCTCCTCACCACAACAGTCTCAATCAGTCATCCACCATGTCGACTCATCTCCTCCCTCACTCTCCCGAGCCTTCCCCGTCCAAGAAGCTCCGATCATGTCTCTCTCCTCACCGCCGCTCTGAAGATCCCATCGGCTTCCGCCCCTCATCTGCCATGTCGTCCTCCAGTGGCTACACTGAGGACTCTAACGGCGAGTGGGTCGAGCGGAGGTCCAAGACTGTCCACTGGATCGACTCTGAGGACGGCTCCTTTGTCACTGTGAGTGGCTAGTGTGCAACCTATCGCAAGAGCACAAAAGTAGCTGACACTTGCAGAGCTACTTTGACACGTATGCTGTCGACGAGTATGACCGCACCCCCCTTGCTCCTCCCTCGGAGCAGGAGCGCGCTTGTGTTCTGCCTGCCCGTGGCTCGCGTTGCCTGTCATTTAGCGACCTTGCCCACGAGGAAGTCGACGACGAGGACGACTCCACCGACGAAGAAGAAGTTCTCCGCCGCCTCCCGCCCTCGCCCTTTGCTACACCCGAAGATTCTGATTCGGAGCGCGAGGACGACGACGAGTGGGACGAATGTTTTGAGCGCCGCCGCATGATGTTTGCTCGCATGTGCCCTCTCGACAGCGACGCCCATCCCCAGTTCGAGGGCTACCGCTCCCTGTCCGCCACGCTCGTCTCCCTCCTCCAGTCTGTCCAGGCTGAATCAGACGACGAGGACGCGTCTGCGACCCCTCGTGCCTCATTCCATGAGGGCGAGGATGACGACACCGCCAGCGAAGGTGACGATGAGCGCGACGACTTCGTGTCTCGCGACCTGCCCTTCCCCCTCTTCTCGCGCCTGCGCGAGTCGAGCACCGACTCTGACGAGGTTGGCACCCCGAGCCTCATCTCGAGTGCCGACTCTGACACTGAATGTTCTGGCCTCATGAGCCCGCGTGGCTCGGCCGTCGAGTTCCTCCCCTCCACTCGCTTGCTCTCCTCCTCCAACGAACAAGTGCCGTCAACATGGAAGGGCGTGTCTCCTGTCCGCTACAATGTTGCCCCCAACGAGCAGGCACTATCGATTGAGCTCTAAAGCATTGACCGCCAGCTCGCGAGCGAGTGAATGAGGGGCGCCACTCGTTGAGGCCTGGCGCCTTGACCCCCCTCCAACCCCCTCCAACCCCACCCAACCCCCCCACGCCATCCCATCCATCCATTACTACATCCCCATTTGGTCTTTAGCATTAGCACGGTCCAGTACATAGCTTTTCTTTGTACTACAGATGACCCACATCGGATAACCCTGCATGCAGCTGGTCTACACTGTCCTGAGAGAAGGTGCCACATTCGGAGGGAAGCGCCAAGTGATGAGCCATGAGTTAGTCCGAGGAATGGGGGCGTTGCAGGCGAACCAAGGCCGTGGAATGGGCGGGTGTCCGAGGAGAAGGCGCGACCGAGGAGCGTACCGGACGCACTGTGTTCCGGTGGATAGCGTGGAATGATCATGGGACGCAAGGACGCCATGTGTGTGTCTGCCGAGATCGGATTGAGCACAGAGCTGGTGATCGAGATGAGTGTGGCGGTCGTGGCGGTGTGTCTGAGTGACGCATGACGTGATGTTGATGGGTAGAAGTCGAGAAGAGTTCTGCAGCACGGTTGTTGTCGAATTGTCTGTGATTGTGCTCGCATGCTCGCTGCTCGTGCAATGCCACAGTGCCGCCAATGGCCCATGTGCATGTTCCACCTCACTGCCGTTCGCCACTGGCCTCTTGCGAAAACCACCTCTCGCGCGTGCGACAGTGAACGCCGGCTAAGCCATTCACGTCCTATGCCCATCTATCACCTTGCACCTGGCACCTATCACCTCACCGCGTTCCTCGAGCCACGGCTGTCGCATCATCCTCGGCCGACGACCACGACCACAGACCACAGAGCACACGACCACGCCTTGCACCCGACGCATCCCCGCAGGCCCCGCACCAGCAAGGCCCACATATCGTGCACGATGCTTCACACATGCCACCGCCTGCCCTGTCACAGCCCACCAGCAGCCGGCAGCCTGCTCGACCGAAGCAGCCGAGAAGCAAGAAGAGGTAACGTGAGTCGGCGTCTAAGCACGAACAGAACAAAACGCGATCCGATCTTGGCCCACAGCTCCCCCAGATGATGAGCGTGCCTCGTCCAACGCCCGCGCAGAGCTCCCACCGTATGCCACTGTAGATCGAGCAACGGCCTTGTCCGAACAGTGAGGTCCAACGAACACACCACACACTTCTCGCGTGCTCGCCCCTGATTCCCCCACGCCCTGGCTTGTCGCCACTGTGGGGCAGATCAGCTTTTACCCGCCACCCAGCGTCGCCGCTCGCCCACCCCGGCCGTCCACCGCGCCGCCTGAAGCCTCCACTCTGATCTGATCCACCTCTGTCTGTTGACAACTCCTCCATCACGATGAACACGACCGGCCGCGAGGACTCGCTCTCTCTTCTCGAGCAAGACCTCGCAAAGGCCACTCTCTCCTCATTCACCTCCCCGTCTCCGACCGATCCTGCCTCCGATGCTACCGCCGAATCCTCCGCCGCTGAGTCATCCCTCCTCGCCGACCTTCCCTCCGAGCTCGTCCATGTCATCCTCGACCACGTCCCGCCCGAGGAGCAACAGCGCGCGGCCCTCGCACTCCGCCGCGTCCTCCCCCACCACCCCGTTAGCAGCGCGCATCTTTGGAACCATCTCGTCGTGCACCACCCACGCCAGCTCCTCCCGCTCTACCGCAAGCTCAAAGAGGAGGCGGGGCGCGAGGGCGGCGGCGCGACGACGCTCGTCAAGACCTTTGCGCAGGTGAGTCGACAAAAGCGAGCTGCCCACTTCCCACCTTTCCCACCATCCTCCCCTTTGCCCCCCTTCCCAGCATCCCGTACCCGCCCCCCCCGTGGAGACGCGTCGCAACTCGAGCCCAGCTGATGCCCAGGAATCATGGCGCGGCGATGCGGACGTGATGAACAAGTAAGTGCACCGACGCGTCCGAGCGCCCCGCATGCACGACACTGACCTCAGCGTGCTGCGCTGGCTGCCTGACGTGCGCACGCTCATGCTCAATGTCGGTACGAACTTTGTGCCCGAGCACCTGCAGGAGCTGTTCCACGAGCCCAGGCCCGGCATCGAGCGCATGGAGATGCGCTTCCGACCGTATGTCGAGCAGGCGTCTTACTACCAGTTCCTCAAGGGTGAGTCAATTGACATCACGCGCGGAGGAAGCTAACGTCAGGCTCGTACTTTGACAGTGCGGTCGAGACGTTGCGCTCTTGGCCCGAGACACCTTCCTTCACCCACTTGAGTCTCGTGCAGGACCTCCCCCCGCGCGGCACCGAGCCACCCACGCGCAACACCTCCGAGGTTTCTCTCATCGACGACGTTGAGAGCCTCGGCTGGCAGAGCCGGTATCCGTCCCGTTTCCCCTCGCGCCTGGGCAGTGCTGTGCCCACTGCTGCGCCCAGCGTTGCGGCCAGTGCGATTGAGTCTGCGCCTGCGAGCACCATTGCCAGCGCCGCTACGTCGACGCTCACTAGCGCGGCAGCATCAACAGCTTCTTCTCCCGCCTCATCCGACACCGAGAGTGCCTCTGAAGCGTCCACCCCGCCGACCTCAATTGATGAGGACGAGTCACCGGCGTGCAAGGAGTACACGCGCAAGGCCCCGTTCCCGTTCTTCTCAGAGCGCATGCAGAAGTTTCGCCCCAAGACCTTCGCGCAACCCATTGTCTTCTTCGACATCAAGTGCATTGCACGCTTCGGCGCCTCGCCCGCTGCCAAGCACATCACCCACTTCCGCCTGCACGTGCCTTCTCGCGACATTGCCAGTGTCCTCATTCCCGCGCAGACCCGCATCTTCCCCTCGCTCCGCTACCTCGACATCTCCACGACCAATGTGCGCCTCGACGCTGTGCTCTCTACGCTGCTGCGCACGCACGAGCGCCTGGAGCACCTCGTGCTGGACCGCGTCAACCTCTTTGGGTTCAAGGCCCGTGAGTCTGGCGGCCCGCTGTGCAAGGAGCTCGGCACGATGTGTGTTACGGCCGGTCTCGCGCGCGGCAAGGAGCGCGAGCGCCAGATCCTCGCATGGGATGCGGCCGAGCGCACACGCCAGGCTGAGCGCGCCGCGGCTGCTCGCCGTGCGATTCACGACAGCGACGCAGAGGACGAGGAGACGAGGGAACAGCGGCGTGCTGAGCAGGAGGCACAGGCAATGCGGGATGAGATGCAGCGCCAGATTGCACTGGCCCGCTCCCGCAGAGGTCATAGATCTGCGGGCCAGGCTCCCTTCTCCCTCCGCGATCGCCCCTCGAGACGCACCGCTGTCGTTCCTACGGCCGACCTTCCCCCGAGTGAAAGAGCGTACTTTGTGCTGCCTGCTCTCCCTACGCTCAAGAGCGTGAGCATTGGCGGCGAGACGCCCAACCTGTCGCGCTTCAAGGCAAGCGGGTGGGAGGATGAGTTTCATTCTGGCTGGCGCGCGGGTCTGGCAACCCTGCACGGGTGGGCGGTGCATGTGGCGGAAAAGTACGAGCGCGCTCTGAAGAAGGCGGAGGAGTGGCGCGAGACGCAGGCGCGCAAGTCGGCATCTGCCAACAACATGTCGAAGGGCAAGGGCAAGGGGAAGGCTATGGTGGCTCCCAAGATTACCGCCAAGCCGCCCCCGCTTGACGTTCGCCTCTTCCGCTTCGCAGCACCTGACGAGCCGCTGCCCGACTATGACGCGTCTGACCCCACGACCGGGCTTATTGAGCTTCACCCCGAATCTCCGCGCGACTACCTCGACGGCTACAAGCAGGCTATCGCCGACGCGGAGCTATACACGCACACGCAGGCCGTGCGCCCGCCGTGTGTGCTCTGCACTGTGCCAGAGGTTGAGGGACCGCGGCGGCGGGGTGCCGACGGTGAACGGATCGACGGACGCGGCGGTATGGACCGCGACCACCGCCCTGGCTGTGGGCACCAGGTTGGACGCGCTGCTTGGGGTTGGGAAGGTGTTGAGGCGCGCGGCAAGTAGTTGCTGCGTGCTATGTGTTACGTGCACCGCCTGCTGCGTGCTGCGTACTGTGTGCTGCCAATGTGTTTGTTTGGATTACTGTGGGATGCTATGCGTTGTACCTTAGGCGGGAGGTTGCACGAGATACCGCGAGGGGCGTCATGCAGAAGGCGTCGCGAGTCGCGTGCTGGCGGTGGCAGAGTCGCGAGCCGTTCATTAAGCGCTTCGCGCCTCCACTTCGTCATATTGTCATCAACCTCCACCTCCAACTTTTGTTGCCACCGACATCCTCTCCCCACCCCTCTGCTGCCCTCGCTGCTTCCCCGCCATGGAAACATACACACTCCCCTTTATCCCGCCGAACGTCGGCACGCTGCACATCGCGTACTTTGAAGACGTGACCAATGCCGCGGCCATCAAGCAGCGGCTGGTAGACGCTGCGCGCACAGAAGGGCCTGATGGCGAGCGCGCGCGCGCCGACGTCGATTTTGCATTCATCGATGCCGACTTGGTGCGTCTCTCCTCTCGTTTGGTCGCTCACATCAGCTCGTCTCCAAACAGCACCTCGTCACCGCCCTGCTCTCCACGCTCCTCACCTCCCTCCCGCAAACACGCGCCGCCACCCTCCCCGCGCCCCCGACACCACGGACACGCACGCACAACCTGCACTCGGAGGTGTTGTGTGCGCTGTCGCCGAACAACAACATCAGCGACGCGATCCGGCGCTTCGGCGTCGGCGGGGACACGACGCGCCTCGTCGTCGTGCGGTTTGGCGGGGCGCGCCCCGCGGCAGACGTGTACGCGTCGATCGCGGACGTCGTGCACGGCCGCTTGGAGAGCGTGGATAAGCTCGACGAAGTGCATGTGCCGTGGGCGCGGGTGGATAAGGTGGGCTGCACATGGAATGGGCTGACGGCAGGTGTACAAGGTCGCGGAGATGAACCAGCTCAAGATCCCGCCCGCAGAGCGCGAGGCCGCCAAGCGCGCAGCCATCGTCAGCGCCGTCGCTGTCAAGCACGCTATGTAGACTCGAAGGGGTTCACGTTCATGATATACAACTTGTTACTCGCTGCTGACAAAATTATAATCATTCACCTCGCAGCACCTTCTGCTTGATGAGCTCGCGGCGGACGACGAGCGACGCATCCTGCGTTTCCTCGCCCGTCTTCTCGCCAATCTCCCCGCCCGTCTCCCCACCTACATCCTGCGTCCCCATCTCATCTACCCCTTCCCGTGTCTGCGTCTCCTGCGCCTCCGTCTCCTGCGCGTCGTCTTCCTCTACCTCGAGAATGTCTCCAGCATCATCCTCAGCAGGAAGACGAACCTCCTCGTCCACGCTAATTGCGCGCGCCTTGCCCTGACGTGTCCGCGAGGAACCAGCGTTGCGTCGCGCCACGCTCCGCCCCTGATGCACTTCCTCTTCCTTCACTGGGGCCGGGGATGCGCGGGTGCGCCGCCCCATCTGGCGCGGCACCTCGTCCTCAGATAGAGCATGGGAAGCACGCGTTCTCCGTCCCATCTGGCGCGCGGGTAGCTCCTGCGGAGCTTGCGATGAGCGTGTGCGCCGAGCGTTCTGTGTCGGTGCCTCAGGCTGAGCTTGCGAAGAGCGCGTGCGCCGGCCTGTCTGGCGCGTGGGGAACTCCTCGGGGGCTTGAGATGCACGCGTCCGCCGAGTTGGGCGTGCGGGTAGCTCGTCTTCAGCCGGGGCTTGGGATGAGCGCGTCAGCCGACGGGTTTGGCGCGTTGTATCCGCCGTACGTAGCTCCTCCGATGGACGCGCCTCGTCCTCGCTCCCGTCACCCTCAGCGTCCGACGACGGCTCGTACGACTCCTCCGGCGCCTCTACGCCGCTGTATCTCTCGTCGGCCCGCCTGCGCCGCTTGTCCGTCTCGCCGCCGGCTTTATCGTCCGCCGGCTCGGCCTGTTTGTAGGACACGACGTGCTTCGCGCGCCGGGACAGAGAGGGCGACGGCGCGTCATGTGGCGGCGAGGAGCGCGGGTTGGCGGCGCTGCGCGTCACTCTGCGTGCTGAGCGGGTGGACGAGCGCGGCATGGCTCTCGGCGGCGCAGGCATGCGTCGGCGGGAGGCCTCCTTGTCAGACTGCTCGGGCGCCTCAAAGTACGGCGTCTCATCGCGCGGAGGAGGGGCCTCGTCTTCCTCCGACTCGAGGTCGGGCAGCTCCGAGAACCCTCGAATTTCGTCCTCCGACTCCGGACGCTCAGCAGCCTGCTCTACCTCAGGTTGGGCCTCGCCCTCGTCGCTCTCTTCCATGAGATCGTCGAATGCTGTTCGCCGTGAGGAACGGGGGCGTGCTCTTCGCATTCGTCCCGGTGCGGACTGGCGGCGTGGCGGCTCGGGCTCGGACTCGGGTTCGAGCTCCTGCTCGGATGGAGTGGCCGATTGGGGCGGGGAGGGCACATCGAAGGGCGGGAGATGGGCAAAATCGGCATGCTTGCGGCGGTAGAAATGCAGTACATTCTTCTCAGGTCGCTGGGCGCGGCGTGATGTACCATCGTCTCGTCGCGAGCCCCGGGATCGATCTTCATCTCTGGCGGCGGGGCTACTCACGGTTTGTCTCCGCCGGCGAACGGGAATCTCAACGTATGCGCGGTTCACTGGCTTGCGCACACGCTCACGATCACGTTCACGCTCGGCGCGGTCTATAGGCATGCGCTCGCGCTCGACACGCTCCATGTGCTCACGCTCGTGCGGGTCTCGCTCTACGCGGCGGCGCTTGGGTTGTGGTGGGGGTGGTGAGTCGTCCAGCTCGTCCTCCTCCTCTATGCGGAAGTCCTCCTCCACACGGAAGTCGGCTTCACCGCGGAACTCGTTTTCGTCGCCGAGGTCGTCCTCGTCGCGGTCGTCCGTCCTTCCGCCGTCAGACATCATCTCCTCGTCGCTCGACTCCTCCGCCTTGATGGCCAACCGCTCAGCCTCAGCGGCCTGGTATGCCACCTTGTCCTTCTCATACTCCATGCGCCTGGGATCGGAGCGCGGCAGAAACATGCGCGCACGCAGCTCGATTGGCAACTTGCGATTCACGCGGGTCTCGCACATAGTTACGAGGCGCGAGCGCATGTGCTGCTTGTTGTACCATGCGAGCGACTGGTTGCGCACGCCAAACTCGCCGTAGAAGTAGACGACAACATCGATAGGGTTCTCGACGCTCATTGGCACCTGTTGAATCGTGCGCCAGAGGAGGAGGGACTCGGGGACCGTCCAGCGCATATGGCGCCCATTCAGGCGTGAGTATCGGTAGACATGGCCGTTCTTCTGGCCGTGGATCACCGACCTGGGCGGCGCCCAGTCGGGGGGCACGACATACGCCTCGTTGGGGCGGAGCGGCCGGCCGCGCTCATCGACGAGATACAAGTCTTCAGGCACGCGCTGGGAGGGAACTTGGAGCGGCGCGGTGGCCGGGTTATTAATATCCTCGTCGGGAACTGAGTTGTTGAGCCGCTCATTGTCTCGGCGCGCTCCATGTTGGGCGTCACGGGTGGCGTGGCGTGGCGGTCGGTGAAAGCTGTCCGGAGGAGGATCGAAATCAGGCTCCAGAGCGTCCCGCCGCGCGTCTTGAAGCTCTACGTCATATGCGTCAATCTCCATGAGGGGATGCTCCTCAGAAACAACTGGTTCAGGTTGGGTGACGTGAGTTTCCAGACTTTGAACGTCTGTCTGCCGGCTGCGTCGTGGTCGACGGGGACCGCGCAGAACGCCACGAGGCTGAGGGGTCTGACGCACTTCACCACGCCGCTCTGCCTCTGTGAGATCCTCCTCATCGGGTGGGAGGAATTCAGTTGGGTCGTCGCGGTCGCGCCTAACGCGGGCCGAGACGAGCTGAGGGACAGGCGGGATGGGTTGAGGAGCGGCTGGAGCAGTCAAGACGGCTCCCGCTTCAGGTGATCCTGGCTGAGGATCATCAACAACACCCTCGACCGGTGACTCAGGTCGTTCGAGAGGCATGGCTTGGTCCACCTCAATGCGCTCGGGGAGCTGCTCTGCAACAACTTCGACGCGCTCGGTGAGCTGCTCTGCAACAATCTCAACGCGCTCGACCCGCGTCCGCTCGACGGCTGCCTGTGCCTGCTCGTCGGGCGCCTGCTCAACGGGCGTCTGCACCATCACAGTCTCCCCTTCCTCCTGCTGATCCCCCTCTCCCGCCTCGGTGCTCAATACCGCCTCAGTCGCAGCGATCTCGGCGCTCTCGCCCGAGGTTTTCTGTCGTTGCCTCGGCTGCTCCGCCTGCTCGTTCAGCGATTCCGCTTCGTCAAAGAGCAGCTCGTCGTCTGGCTGTTCACGAGCGAAAGTCTGTTCAAACTGCGAGTCGGTGGGGTCCGGAAACGAGTCTTCCTCGTCCTGCAACTCTTCTTCGCGAGAGACAACTTTGGACTGCGAGTCAGAGGGGCTAGACAGCTCATCCTCATCGTCCTCATCGTCCTCAACGCTGCGCTCGGGTCTTATGCGCGTTGTCTCTTCAAACTGCGAATCGTTGGGGCTCGGGAGATCGTCCTCCTCTTTGATGTCATCGGCCTCGTCCGAGAGGCCCCGTTCTGGCCGCAAATCCGGATCGTCCTCCTCGAAGTCTGCGGGGTTATCCTCCTGGTAGCTCTCGAACTCGGCGACCGAGAACCGCTCATCCTTCGGCCGGGGCGTTCCCTCCTCTTCTTTGACCTGCACGCTGGCACGGCTGGGAAGTTGGTCTTCTTCATTCTCGGTCGAGTGAGGGGTGCGGCGGGGATGTGGTCGTGTCGTCTCTTGAAACTGGGAGTCATCCACCTCGGGCAGGCCGTCTTCCCCCTCTAACTTATCCTCGTCGATGGTCTCGGGCAAAGGAATTGCACGACGCCGCGGTCGAGCCGTCTCGTCAAACTGGCTGTCATCCACCGCTGGGAGCGCATCACCAAACTGAGAGCCGCTTGGGGAGGGAAAATCTTCCGACTCTCGATACGGCGCGAACTGCGTGTCGTTGGCGCTGGGAAGGTCGTCATCCTCCCATTGCTGCTGAGGTGTGCTGTCTTGGGTATGAGGACGGCGCACGGGGGTTGTCTGCGAGTTTGGCTGGCTTTTGCGCGGAGTGAGCCGCTTTCGACGCTCATGATCACGCGCAGTCTTTGACAAGACCGTCGCGAAGAGGTCCCAGTCGACGCTGCCACTCCCATTCGCGCCTTCCTGCGACTCGGGCGAGAGTTGTGACGGCTGCGATAGTGACAGAGGTTGCGCCTCGACCAACGCGTTCAACGGCTGCGATGGAGGAGGTACCGATTCCAAAGCCCTGTGCTTTGCTTGTCGTGGTTGCTGGGCTCGCAGCCCCGAGGGCTTAGGACGTGGCATGGTAGTGGGTGTTGTTGTTTCACGAAAGTGGAGGTTGGAATGGGTGACGATGTTGTTCTTGGTCACGTGACTTTGACCAGGACTTGGGTGGCAAAGGCCACCAAGCTAAAGTGATCCCGTGCTTGGCTGAACGCCATTGTCTGTGGGTGCAATGTTCTGGCGTCGTTCTGACCCGTAAATTGTCATCTCAAGTCTCATGTAGGGCGTCACGCGTCGCATCGAGCACATCCAAAATCCACAAAATACAGTGGCACGGCTACGTTGTGCTCGTCCCGGGTCGTCAGATCGCTGCGAAGGTGAGAACTGGAAGTGGGACTGTCGCGGCCCAAGCGTACCCGACATCGCCTCACCCGTTGTGTGGAGAGGTTGAGCTTGACTGCCCCAGGCTCTGAACGCTTCGACTCGCTCAAGATCGCATCGAGATGCGGGAAGATGACCGGCGCCCGCTGGGGACGGGGCACATTCTCGACGCATGTCTCTCGCTCGGATCTGCATCGCCATGATGACGCTGAACATGGACCGCTGCGGGACAGGGTGAGCGGCGAGTGCGAGAAGGGGTGACCGGCTCGCGCGGAAGACGCACCCTCGGGGGGAGCGAGACCGGGCGGGCGAAGGATATGATGCGGCCTCACCTTTTGCAGGTTGCGGGCACGTGTAGCGCCACCCGTCATCTGCCTGGCCCGTGCCGAGCCGTCTCAAGCGCTGTGGCGCTTGGACCTCGGTGAGCATCTCTCCGAGCACATCACTCGAGGAGGGACAAACGGCGTACCTCGCCAACCCGGATCCCGCTCCCGAGCGATATGTTTCAGCGCCGATCGCGACATCTTCAAAGTTGCCTCGTCTCCGTCAATGGCGGCAATGTTTCGTTTTGTCCCGTCACCGCAGGGCCCGGACCCAGCCTGTACGCAGCCTTAGCTGCATCTACATGTTACACGATCAAGATCTACACACTCACACGCTCGGCGCCACCGCACGCCCCGCCACCTTTGTCTCCGACCTCGCCACAGCTTCCATCACACGCCGCACACATGCGCCAAACCAATGACTGACGCACTCACTCCTCATAAGGGCTCGCCCGTCGTTCTTACTCCTGCTTCTGATCACCATTGCCCGACATGAACGATCATCGCCCGCTGCCAGTCGTACCACGCTCCCCACGCTTCCAATTTACCCCACTCTCTCCACTCTCTCCACTCTCGCCGCTCTCTCCACTCATGCCTCTTTCTCCACTCTTGCCCCTCTCTCCACTCTCTCCACTCTCGCCGCTCCGTCCACTCCAGCCGCTCCAGCCGCTCCAGCCGTCTTCGCCACTCTTCCCCTCTTACTTGCCGCGCAGTACAAGAAGGCGGCGCTCCACCGCTTCAGCTCCACCTCCCGCCTCAAGGTCGCCACCTGCGACGTGCGCCACTAGAACCCACTGTCACAGACAAGCCGACTCCATGATCATACTCCGTCCACGCATGCACGAGGCTGCGCTCGGAACGCTCGTGGAGCTGGACCTCGATGACGCCGCGCTCGAAATGGTCGGGGGGACGAACACAGGGTACGTCATGATCTAAACCATCAGACCCTCGCGCAGTGGCTTGATCACGACTAACTGCAGCACGCACTACTCACTCCCTGGGCGTGTGCGCGTCACTTTTCCCGCGCTCTCTGCCGCCTTCGGAGGCCGCTACCGCCTCCTCCACAATCTGACAGTGACGTTCGAAGGCAAGTCGGAGTACGTCGACCCGGAGCGGTACATGCCTCTGCGAGTGCACCGCACTTCGCTGTCTCTCCTCACGAACTCGTACACCATCTCCCCCATCTGCCCGACCTACGGCACCATCACGATCGACCTGCCCTTTGACCTGCGCGTGCCCGGCTGGCTCCCGCCGTCGCATGTGAGCCGGCACGCCACGACGAGCTACGGCCTCGTGGCGGAGGCGACGGTGGGCTGGGCGAACGAGACGCACTACTCGCGCGTGCCCTGCGCCACCCCGCTCATCGTAGACGGCGCCTTCGCACCGGCACGCACCACCCGGTCCGCATACACGCCCATCCGCATCAAGCGGCACCGCCTGCACCAGCCCATGCCGGCGGACGAGTCTCCGCGCCGCCACTGGCCTTTCAAGTGCAAAACCCTGCCGGTGGACCTGACCATCAAGCATGCAGAGTACGTCGACCTGGCCGACCCGAAAGGCATCAAAATCGACATGCACTTGCGTGCGAACTCAAGTGCGCGGTGCGAGGGGCACGAGGCCTCGGGCGGGCGGCACGAGTGCGCCTCCTTCGGCGCAGGGGGCGCCGAGGGGCGCGGGTTGTCTGCGTCTGCGTCTACCTCCGTGTCTGCTTCCGGGCCTGCTTCCGAGTCCGCACCCCACACCTCCCCCGACGACGACGTGGCAATGCCCTGCGACCCCGAGCCGGTCGCACACGTCGTCCACATCGCGATGGAGATCGAGGAGCGCGAAGACGTCCGCTCGACGCCGTCTGCCGCGTTCCTCGCGTCCTACCCCCTCCCCAACCAAGACGGCGCCCTCCTCGGCCCCAGCCGTGCGCCCGCCGCCCCGCCCCCCACCTCCGAGCCCACACGGCGGCGGATCCAGCGCGCCTGCCTCCTCCTTCCCACCGGCCAGCCGCAGAGCCACACATTCGACAAGGCCCGCCCCGTCGGCCCGACCACCAAGCGCATCAAGGGCGCACTGACCTTCAACCAGGTGGGCCGGTTCCCGCAGCCCGACATGAGCGGCCCGTTCGTGCGCATCTCCCACTAACTCAAGACGCACGTGACATTCCAGCGCGGCGGCTTGTTCTCTGTGCGTCGAATATCAGCATGTGAGGGGAGCTGACGCCAGACCGAAACGTTCAAGACCCCCGTGCGCCTCGTTACATGTCCCAGCCCCGACGTGAGCGGAGCCGTGCCCCCACCGTACGTCACGGTGTTCTACGAAAACGGGGACCAGCGCGATTGCGATCCCCTCCCCCTTTATGTGCCGGCGGAGGACGACGTCGAAATGGTCGAGAGCCTCACTCGGAATGTCACCTCGGCCCCTGAGCAAGAGCCTGAGACCATGCTGGAGACCACCCCCGAAGCCACGCCCGAGCCCCCATCGTCCTCGCAGCGGCTCGGTGAGGAGCATCGCCGCGCGGCCGACAATCTTTCGCCAGCAAATCGCAAGCTTTTCGAGCAGTGGGCTCGCGAGGCCTCCACGCCTATTGAGGACGGGTAGCGCCCTCATCCTTCCATATGTTGTCACCAACTGTCAGCTCATACTTTATCTGCCTGTGAATGAGCAGGTGTGTACTATCATGTAGCCATGCGTTATGAATTACGCTCACGACCATTTGGGGATAAGTGAGGCCGCATTTACGAAGTGCAAGGATGAGGCGTGTAACAATCACGCGCACTGCTGTCCAAAGCTCATATCAGTAGCATAGCAGAATTGGCGTGGATCAGGCGTCATGTTTGGGCGTGGAGGCGTAAGCAAAGATGGTGGAGTCTATAGTGTATGGGAGCGAAGTGAGTGTGGGTGGGGCCTACGCCAGGTTGTTGGCGCTGGGGCGGTGGCTGAGGAACCGCGAAGGAGCGGAGCGGTTGCCAAAGCCGAGCGATTCGACTTCGAGCATGGCGCTGCGGACGTCTGGGTGGAACCTTGAGGGCCCGAGCTGACGTCAGCTGCAACCCAGGTGCCTTCTGCTGCATAAAACTCACCGTCTCGGGGATGTTCATGATGCGGAACTGCTCGAGCTGCTGCGGGTGGAGGTGGGCGAAGTAGATGCCCACGCCGCGCTCCTGGTACGAGTACACGAGCTCGGCAAGAATCTGGAGAGCGCTAGCGTCGATCTCATCGACCTAAGAGGGTCAGCCACGCACAGAGGTTTGACTTACATCGCCCATGTGCAAGATGACGGCCTTGGCGGACTCGCGCCGCGGCGCGTCAGACGGGTGGCTCTTCTTCGGGCCATAAAGTTCGAGCTAAAGTCAGCATCTCAGGTAATAGCAGGCACGTACGCGGCGCAGACGCTCCTTGAGTCCACCAGTGTTCGCAAAGGAGAGCGGCTCGCGGATGCGCACGACGAGCTAAGATCAGCTGGATTCCACTTGACGCTTGCAGACGCACCACTCCTGGAATCTCTTCCTGCGCCTCCTCGTCCTCATCGATCGGAACCCAGTCGTCTGAGTCAGGGCGGCGACCGATGATCTTGATCCGCGGCTTGGTCGAGTGCTGAATGACGAGAAGAAGCGAGAAGCCGACGGAGGCAACGACGCCAACCTCGATGCTAAACAACAGCGTCAGGAGGAAAGTGCCGGCCATCTGAATGAAGTCGGGCCATGCGCGCATCCTCCAGTAATATATAACGTCGTGCGGCGCCTCGTTGAGGACTGGAGTCAGTTGCCCTTGGAGTGTGACTTGAAGCGTGAGCTCAACTCACTGCCGTACACGACCGTAGTAATGATGGACGCGAGCACACACTGACGTTAGCTCGACTTCTGCAGCGGTAAGAGCTCACGCGGGGAAGGAAGAACAGCCAAGGCATGAGGAAGAAGATCGACAAAAGGACGAGGGCGGAGGTGATCAGTGAGGCCATCTGAGTGCGGCCGCCAGTGTTTCCGTTCAAACGCGAGCGGGTAAGTGAGCCAAAGATCGGGAGGGAGCCGGTTGCCGTGAGGGTCGACGCAACCAAGTTCGTGGCGCCATACGCGACCAGCTCGCGGTTAGGGCTGACGGGGTAGCTGTACTTGGTCGCGTTCTCACGCGCAGCAACCATCGAGTCGACAACACCAACGAGCGCCATAACGAAAGCAGTAGGGAACTGACATCAGTTATGCTCCAGCACGACTGCTTAGCCTACCGTCGCGTTGAAGTACTTCATGGGGCGCGAGGTGAGAGGGAGGCCAAACGGCATGCCGGTCGACGTCTTGACCTTGCCGAGGATGTCGACGCCCTTGAGGTCCCATCGGAAGATGGAAGTGAGCACTGATCGTCAGCAAGGCAAGCGTCACTCTTACGGGTAGTGAAGACAACGACGAGGAGGATCTCGGGCACGAAGCGAAGCCATGCGCCTCCCGGCGTCTTGGTGACGCGCTGCTTGACAACCTTGGCGACGATCAGGAAAGTGAGACAGCACGCGGAGAGGATCGCCGTGTACGGGTTAAACCGCGTGATGTGCTTGATGATGAAGATAAGCTTTGGGATAGGGAGCGTGGGCGGGTCACCGGCCTCGTGCATGACATGCGCCAGGCCGAGGAGCGGGATGCTCTGCTCGATCGAGATGATCTGCGGTCAACTCATGCAGTCCGAGGAACTTACAACACCGATGGCGGTAATAAAGCCGCGAAGGAGGGCGCGGGAAAGCACGACGTCGAGGAATCCAAGGCGCAGCAAGCCGAGGATGCCGGTGATGAGGCCGACCTGGAACGTGGCCATGACGGAGATGGCTGCGGCTTCGAGCTCGGGGTGCGCTGGCGCATTGTGCGGGTCACCCCAAACGAGGTCGTCGATGAGCTGGCCCAGCATGAGAGACAGTGACGCCTCGGGGCCCATTGACAGCTGACTGCGGTGTGAGCGGGTTGGCCAGGGTTGCGAGGATTGGGGAGGTGGTGGCGTCCAGTATGTGCCCCGGGAGATGGGGGCGCAAGTGTACGCCACTGCGCACGATTTGCGCAGTACTCACCGGCTGGTACCCAGGAGTCCGTAGAGAAACACGGGCACGGAGGACGACCACAGTCCCGCGACGGGGGTGAGCTTGGCGAGGCTCGTCGCATACGACATGGCCTGGGGTCAGCGGAGTCGACTGCACGAGGCTACTTGAGGGACCATGAGACATGCAACCTGGTGTTAGCGCCGTTACGGTACTCATTGCGTGAGTTGCACGCATTCGGACTCACCGATATGCCCGCCACGACGTCGCCTGCAAACCTGCCATCAGCGGTTGTCACCCAGCGACTAACAGGGACCAGGAGTAGGTCGGCAGCCACTCCGTGACCTGGCATCAGCACCGTCCTTTGTTCCTCTATGCACGGGTACGCACCGGGACGTAGTACTTTGAGCGCTGGCGGATCTTCTTAGCTACGCGCGTAGCCTTCTGGAGACGTTGGGCACTCGCTGCCGACGCTATCGTTCAGCTCCGTAAATGGCGCACGTTCCCTCCACCTTCCTCGATGATGGTGCTCTGGCCTCCCTCCACATCCACGGCGACATACCGGATCTCGGCGCGCTCGACGTGCTCTTCCCGCCTCTTCCTCTGTCCTCCGTGTCGCTGTCCGTGGCATCCCAGTACCGCGGGTGCTTGGTGGCCAAGAGGCGGCTCGTCTCGCTGGGGCCTGCCTGCGGGTCCGTTGCCGCCCGTCCCAGAGGACGGGCGGGCGTTGGCGGAAGGACGGTGAGATCCCACCGCGACGAAACGGGAGTCGGACCACCCGAGTCTGTGGGCGTGCTGGGCTGATCTGGGTTGTTTGAGCTCATTGTGGACGAGGAGGAGAAGGATGTTGAGAGCCAAGTTGTTGGTGAGTATGACGATCTGACGGGGTGATATTCCGGCCCCGCATCGCCCGTCAGGGCAGAGGCTGTGACGGGATGACAGCACGAATCATTTCACCAAAATAACAGCGCAGGCATCCGAGGCTATCCTGGAGCCACGAGAGACACGTCTGTGCTAATTGCAACATGCAAGGCATCACCACTCACGGAGGTCGGAGGACCGAGTCACTTCGCTGCAGACGAGGGCCTGGGCCTGGTGTCCAGAGGTCATTCACGAGAATGCAGGCTTGGCGGCGTGGGCGGCGTGTCGCCGGGTGATTAGTTGATCCGGGTGGCAATTCGATGCCAGATGAGCATGTCAGTGTCTGAAGCGTTCTACATCGTGCATCCGACACACGCTGGGGCCAACATGCTCGACGGCAAGTAGGAATCGATGCGGGAGCGTTGCTGAGGTGCCGTGCGGATATTACTGCGACGGCATGTCAGAAACATCGACGTTTGCTCAACGCGCTCAACTCCCCACATCTGATAATGCTGCAGCACACATACACGCCGTCGATCACTGCCGTGCTCCCTTCCTGCACGCCCCACTCGCGCCACTCCAACGAGCAGCTCCAAGAGACAGCCATAAGCAGGCCTCTGCTCCTTCATACTGGCTCCGATACGCCCTATGCATACAGTACAGTGTCCTCACTAGGTCAGCGGTCGCGCGCTCGCCATCTTGTCTACTAGTAAGCCTTCTCCATCGCATCCTTGACCCGGAGACAGCACTCGAACAGCTGCAGCTCCTCGTCGCCTCCCTCACACAACGCCTTGTCACACTCGGCGATCGCGATCGCGGCGTTGGCCTTGGCCATGGTCGGGATGCTCTCCATGGGCACAATCGCGTCGTGGATCTGCTCAAGCACCTGCCCCGCCGACCAGCCCTCGCGCCCGACAGAGCGCACAGCGTTCCGCACGCCCTCGAAGCCGGATGCAGCCGAGGGACTGATGCCTTCTCCGGGCTCGATACCCATAGACCGTACGAGGCGGTCGATCACCCCGTCTGGAACCACGCCTGAGATCTCGTGCACTGCAATTAGCGTCTTCGGCAAAGATAGCCTTACCAGACATGGTGGTGATAGGCGTTGGCGGGTTGGACGCGCTGTGTAGTCGTTGTGCCGTTTGCAGGTATGTGATGGCTTTGCGGAGGTCACCGTTCGCGAGCTTGAGGATGAGCTCGAGGACGCCAGGCTCGGCGTTTACCCCCTCGGCGGACGCGATCATTTCAATGCGTGCCTGCGAGGAGCCGGCCGCCAGCGGGCGGAAGCGGAACTTGGAACAACGCGACGCCAAAGGCTCGATGATACTGCCGTCAGCTTTCTCATCGTAGATTGGTGCATACCGAGTGACATAATTGCACACGAGGCAGAAGCGGGTGATGCGCGAGTACGTCTCCATGATACGGCGGAGCGCCGACTGGGCATCCTGCGTCATCGAGTCGGCTTCGTCAAGAATGATAAGCTTGTACGGCGGCGAAGGGTAGACCTTGCCGTCGGACGAGATTCCGACGTTGCGCGGTGTTTCGCGCGCGAAGGTCTTGATCTTCTCGCGGACGACGCTGATGCCGCGTTCATCTGACGCATTGAGTTCGAGAACACGCGAGCGGAAGAGGTCAGGGCTGGTGTAAGCTGTAGGTTGCAGCGCAGGTGTGGGATGGCAAAGGTGTAAAGGGGAAGGAAGGCAGTGATGACAACGCGACGAGCACCCACCCAAACAACTGCCGCGCGAGCGCAAGGATCGTAGATGTCTTGCCCGTTCCCGGCGGCCCATAAAAAAGCATATGGGGAAGCTGTGGTCAGCGACGACCTGACGCTCTCTCACGTTGGTGGATGCAAGCGCCTTGCGCAGCACTGCGACGGTGTTCTCTTGCGACGACACGTCGTCGATCGTCTTGGGCCGGCTGGTGTCAGTCAAGCTCTCGTTGACCGGTGCACTCAACGCACTACTTCTCAACCCATGGCTGCAGACGCTGCTGCTGCTCGGCGGTGGCTGCGGGGCGGGCTCCGAATGTTGTTGCCATGATGGTGTGGGTGGAGGCAAGGGACATGGATCGGATTAGGAGACGCGTCACGCGTCCAGTCGCGTGGGATCGCGTGGACTGAGGCCTGCAGAAAAGAAGCCGACTATTCCGCCTTCCACGCCTGCCGCATCCCAACCAATCGACGCTGACATCATGCCCTCTAGAGTTTTGCATGGATTCAAGCAATTATGCAATGTGCAGAACGATATGTGCAATAACTCGGCCTTCCAGCGCGTTGCCACATGCCCACAAGTAATCATCTAGCTACGTAGCCGTAGCGACGCTTGAGCATGCCCAGGCGGACATGGGGCCCAGGCACATTGCCGGGTTGTTTGCATGTTATTAGCAAGTGTAGTTCCGAGTCTACGCGACGGTTTCCCTCTCCTCGAGTAGTTGCGGCTGAGGTGCTTCTGCCTCTCTGTCTCTCTGTCTCTCACTCGATCACTCAGCTACACCTCGTTGCCATTACCTCCCGTCCCCACTCATCGCTCCGCCATGCCCTCAGCCCACCCCTTCGGCCTCACAGGCAAGCACGTGCTCGTGACCGGCGCCGGTGGGGGACTTGGCCGTGCCATCGTGTCTGCGTTTGTCGCGGCGGGCGCCCTGGTGTCAGGCGCCGACCGGGACATGGCACAGCTCTCCGATATGCCGCTGCATCACCGTCTTGCGTTCGACATCACCGACGCCGCAGCGTGCCGGGCGGCGATTGCCGAGCTCAGCGGCGCCGGAGCAATCCCTGACGTGCTTGTGAACAACGCGGGTGCGTCGCGGGCCGACTCCCTCGCGTCGCTGGAGGAGCAAGGGCTATGGGATAGTGAGCTCGCGACCAACTTGACGGGGGCGTACAACGTTACGGCGCCGGTCACTAAGCTCTGGGGCGAGCGGGGAGGTGCAATCGTCTTCACAAGCTCCGTCAACGCCCTCACGCACTACGGCAACCCAGCGTATGCTGCCGCCAAAGCGGGGCTGATCGCGTACGCGCGCGCTCTGGCTGTTGAGCTCGGCTGCAAGGGTGTGCGAGCGAACGTGGTGGCTCCTGGATCAGTGCGCACCGCGGCGTGGGACCATCGGGACGCCAAGGTCCTCCAGGACGCCGCCCGGTACTATCCCATCGGCAGGATTATCGCGCCCGAGGACGTCGCGAACACGATCGTCTTCCTAGCTTCTCCGCTGGCCGCCGGGATATCGGGCGCTGTGGTGCCCGTGGACGGGGGACTCATGGCAGGCAATGTGCCCTTCGTGCGAGAGATCATTGGGTGCGATATTTGAGAAGGTATGGCTGCGAGCCCACGAACAGTCAGCGGCAGACTAATGCGTTGGGGGGGCATATTTGAAAGGTATGACTGTGAGCCCACAAACGGTTAGCGGACTAATGCCTCCTTCAAATGCAATCAGGCCATGAATCTGGTCTGAACCTCAGATCTATGCCAGGTGATATCGAGGCGCGCTCACAGTACTCGCGTTGGAAAGCATGCTGCCCTCTACTCGCCTGACCGTTGGCGAGTGGGAGAGGCTGACTCCAAGGTCGAGAGCCAACTCACTTAACTTACCCCCATCACCTTTCTCTTCGCAAATGGGATGAAAGGAAAACTGCCAGAGGTGACGCTGAATCCTCTGACGTGCATATGATGCACTCAGGAGCCGGATTTCCGTCCAGCTCCTCTTCTAGAGCGGCAGCAAAATCCCCAAGGTCACAACAACACGCAAGACGCACGACTCGAAATCAATATCACGGTGTCGATGGTCGAAGAGGACAAGAGTGGTGACCAGCATTTTCGTTCCACGGCACCACGCGGGCATGCGCTAGCTTGTATGGAAGGGCGAGAGGTAAAAGCAACACTCTACAGTGACTCATGTGATCACGTACGCTTACCGCTTGATCGCTTGCGGCTCACCCGCCCGATTCAACAATTCAACAGGATTAAAATAATGCAACAAGGTCAAGCCTCAGTCTGGGTACGGATAAAGCCCTGAATCTAGGGGTCTGCAACTTTGGGTCAGGGTCCAACCCGGTCCGGAATACTCACTGACACAGGACAACGTGGCTCCCATGCGCTGCTCGCGAGTCGTATCAGTCCAGGCTGATCATCATCTCTCCAGCGAGCGGAGTCTCCTTCGTTCTCCGTTGTCATTCCGCTCATCCCACCGCACGGACCCCTCATGCACGAAACGGCTCTTTTCGCAGACCATCCCACCACTTCCAATGCGTACCATGCGTTCTTGCGTACGAGTCTGCGAGGTGACACCGCCGCGAGCAAAGCTTTGTGGCAGTCCCCACGGTCCGCCGGACCGCCCACGCTCACACGTGACGTAACGAATCAAGTACCTGAAATAATACCAGGTTTAGCAGACGAGTCATTCGTCATTGTGGTTTTTCGTCATCATCCTTCCTAGCCACCTGGCCTCAGCAAACGGCGGCCAGCCCATCCCACTCATCCCACTCACATGCTTTGACGTCGCGCACGTCGATATGTCTTGGTCGACTAGTTGGTGCATGCTCCCTACTGCCGTGCATCTCGGGGTTGAACGAATATAGTGACTTACTGCGTCCGTGCGTCTGATCCCGTCTGATCCCGTCAGTACGCCGCCTTCTTTCGACGACTTGTCAGCGGTCTCAGCGTCGCCACACCACTGTTCTTTGACGCTATTCACTCCATTCACGCATGCTCAATTTTCCCACACGGTCCACCCATCAACGGCGCAATCCTATGGCAATTCCGCGGGTCACCTCTACTCGGAGCTCCGCCATCCTCGGCAACCGAGGCGACGTACCGCCCGTCATCCAAGACAGGGGCTCAGCCCCTTCACATTCAGAGCTCACAATTCCCTCGCCTCGCCCTTCCCTCAGCCCAGAACAGGTCTCGTCCCTCCGCACCGCCGCTACCCGCGCCGCACGCCAGGCCACGGCCGAGACACAGTGGCGGCCGACATATGTGTGGGATGTCTCACAAGCTGCCGTGTTCCCTCCCTCGCTAAATCACGAGGTCCCGCCTCAGACGAGCGCCTCCAATGACGATGCCTATGATTTCCCACCCCCAAGGGAACGTTCGGCGGTCCGCATCGAAATCGGCTACGGGCCTGTAGCACCTTCGCCTCCTGTGTTGAATCTCGCGGCCACCACACACTCCATTCCTCACTCGGCTATGGCTGTCGGTGTTCCTGGCTTGCTTGAACCGTTGTCCCTCACTATCGTTGACGGCGTCGCCGCCGACACCTACCCATCCAATCCTGACTCGCCAGTGACACCCACTGAGGTCACCCGATTCCGGCTTGGTGGCGGTACCACACCTGCGGCCCCGCTCCATGAAGTATTGGCGTCCCGTCCTGTGCCAGACGAATCCCAGGAGAGCGGACCGTCCCTCGGCTCTCCCACCCCGCACCTGGATGGCCAAAGGTTGGCTGCCTTTGAGGGCTTCGTGCACCCAGGGACAAGCGTGATTGTAGTAGACCACACGGTCGAAGCAAGCCTCTCAGAAGACGCTGAGACGCGTAGCTCCAGCAGCGAGCCGCAGCGAGAGACCGGAGAATGTCTTGGTGACGCAGCAGGCAACAACCGACAATGTGTGCATCCATGGAACATCTATGGCATCCGCGCTAACACTAGACTTTTGCTACGCGCGGTGGAGCGGAGGATGGCGGTGCTACTTTTGTCGGCGTGTGATGTGATCACGCGCAGCACTGTTAGACGTCGCCCTCAGGAGCGGACAAGCCAAGACAAGCCAAATTGGGTGGTGCAAAGCGTGCGTGACCGCGAGAGGTTGAATGAAGATCTGGGTCCCGTATTGATGTAGCTAGCGTATTGTCTAGCACGACCACACTAGCGGCCATTCACCATTCACGAACGCCTGTCAAAGCAAGAGTGCACAGCCCCGTGGACGGCCTGACCCAAACAATGTATCCACTGCGGCTTACAAGACTAAATTGTGTCGCCTCAATTCGACTCGCAACTGCCTTCACCAGCCACTCACTTGCTTCACAACCGGTCCACAGCCGGCCTCGCATCCCCAATGACCATCATCGCAATGGTATAAAATTCTCGCGTCCACTGTCCATCCCCCTTTCTCTCATCCACTTTGTCGGCTTTGCTCTTCACACGGATACTGCTGCGCCTCGCCCGCATCCGTTGCCTGCAATCAGCACATCCCAGCTCTCCGCACAGCTGTGCTACACCGACACCGACAAAGCCTCCTTCCATACTTTCATTGTTCTCTCACATACTTCTGTGAAGTACTGTGTGCGGCCGCACCGGCTCCCACGCCATCCACCCATCAGACGCGCACAGCCTGCCGTCTCTCCCATCCCCACAAACGAGAGAGTCTCTCCCAGCCTCTCACGCTCCCATTCTCACCCTCCCCTCCCACCCTCGCCCTCTCCTTCCATCCTTATAAATACCCTCTCGACTTCGTCCTCGAAACCTCACCAACGAGGCAAGTCACTTCTCCTCTACACCAGACTCCGACATCCAACCATGACCTTCGACACCTCTGCCCACCGCGGCCACACTGCCCCCCTCTCCCCTCCCCCATCCCCCCTTCTCAACTCGACCGACAACACCTCTCGCCCTGTCCCGTCGGATGTCGGTCCCAACTCGAACAACCTGAAGGTGGCCACTGCAATGTCCGCGGACGACACCACAGTCCACTCTTCGCCCACGACTTCCTGCACCGACGACAGCACTCTCGACCTCGAGGCCCTCTCGCTCGGTGGCTCCGGCCGCGACCTCCGTGCGGACGCCCCCTCCCCCCGCTCCCTCTCCCTCCGCTCCGTCGACGAGGTAATGACGTCTGTCGACGCTTCCCAGTTGCCCACTCCTCCAAGCTTGTCCGCCTCGCTCTCGAGTGGGAGCTCCTCCTCTTTCGCCGCCTCCGCTCCTTTCATCCCCGCTCCGGTGTCACCCCAGAACGCTGCGGCTGGCCACCAAAACCAATCCAGCACAACTGGTACGGATGTCGTAGCGGGGCGGTCCCATGCTCGCCGCCTCGACCGTTTCGCCAACAATCTGCACAAAGCGAAACCTTACGGACGCCCCACCTCTCGGGAAGGCTCGAGCAAACAGCGCCACTCGCAGGTAAAGGAGGATGCCAAGGAGGCAATGCGGGAACTGCGGCGCCAGATCAACAAGATGGCCGTTGGGTTCATCCTTTCTGGTAGCGACGAGGAGCATATGATTGATACTGCAGGGGACGTCAACCCTGACAGCTTCAGTTCAGCGCCTCTTAGCAGCCCCATGGAGGACGTAGCCGAGAACGCGGATGACATGGAGCGCCAGGTGAGCCCACTAGCCAGTGCGACATTAACATGCAGATCGCAAGCATGCAGATCTCGGCGGAACGCGGGGAGGTCGACCACAGCGCCCCCATCGGAGTCGACGCGGAAGAGGACACCCTCAAAGAGATCCTCTTCAAGCCCGTCGAAATCCCGGTGAGCAAGCTCCTCCCAGACGTACACGCGTTCCCCGACATCTTCACGGTCAAGCCACGCGTCCTTTTCGCGCCCGTGGAGATTCGGCACCAGTCTGTCATCACTTTGGCTGAGGTCTTCCCCCCCTACTGGAGCGGCCCACTCTTCTCGGGCAACGCCTTTGCGGACGTCTTCGCGAGCGACACCTTCCCCAGTTCGTTCCCACAGGCCGGGAACGCCGCCGACAGCTATGGCGGTTTTGGCACTTACGGTGTGCCAGAGAACACGGGCGAAACGCAAGACGTGTGCATGGGACTCGCCGACTCCTCCTCCGAGGCCGATGTGGACGATGCCATGGATTTCGATACCGAGGACGACATCACCACATTCAAGTCCTCAATCCATGGCCTGCGGTCTCACAGCATCTTCGGATCAGCCCACCCTGCCCCCCTGCCCCACCAGTTGGCCGCCACGACTTCTGCGTTCGGCTCGAGCGCGCCTGGTCACACTAACCAGACCTGCACCAGCCAGCAGTCAGGCTTCGCTGCTTTCGCCACCAGTTCCGGCAACGCTTTCTCAGCGTACAGCCAGAGCGCGCCAGGTAACAACTACCTGAGCCGCGCCGGCTCACAGTCGGGCTTCGGCGCCTTCGCGAACGGCAGCAACGGCAACGGCTTCTCGTCATACGGCCAGAGCGCGCTGGGTTACAACTACCTGAGCAGCGCCGGCTTGCAGACTGGTTTCGGGCAGAGCGCTGGCTACAACCCCACGACATACGACAACTACCCTGGGTCGCCGATGCCAATCGACGAGCCCATGTCGTGGGGCCACAGCTCAAGCCACGCCCACCAGGCAGACGAGGAAATGGGCTCACCAATGCTGGTCGACGAGGACTTGATACCCTTTGACTCGTATCAGTCCGCCAACCAGGTCGACAGCAACGAGGAGTCACCGATGCTGATAGACCTAGACCTGGTCCCCTCCGCCTCTCCCGATACGCCCGACTCCGACACCCCAAGCGGCTCCAGCAAAGAGCAGCCTGCACCAAGCACGCCGGACGTGCCTCTAGTGCCGGCGCCCTCCAAGCTGGAGTCCATCATGAAGTTGGATCCGGAGAGCCGTGCCGGCCGCGCCCTGCGCTCCCTCAAGCGCCAGTCCTTCCCCTCGACGCCCCTGTTCGAGTCCTATGACGGGTGAGTACCTTGTGTTTTTTTTTTTTTTTTGCGTTTTTTTTTTCTCCCCTTTTAATCTTATGCTTAACTCAGCCCTGTTACCGAGGGGGCGGTCCGGACCCTGACCGAGTGGGTGTACGACATCACGGGCCCGTCCGAATTCGCCGCGCCGGAGAGCGAGCTCGCCAAGCTCCGCCTCGTCATGCCGCTGTACTCGAAGAAGGTGATCGATGCGCTCAGCACCCGCCTCCGCGGCTACCGCCCCGGCCGGCAGACCGTCAAGGCGCTCGAGGTCGTCTACTGGCTCGAGGAGGATGCGGCGAGCATGCGCGCCCTCATCCGCAACTGCGAGAGCGGGTCTGTGGTCGCCGCGCGCGAAATCGCCACCCGCATCACCATGAACCTCGACAAGACAGCGCCCATCAAGGGATACACCCCCACGAGTCGCGCGGAGATCCGCTCCGCCAGCGTCGCTACCAGCCAGGCGGGCGGCGTCCCGAACCCGCGCCCAGACAGCGAGACGGACCGCGACGCACAGGGGCAGGGCAAGGCAGCCAAGCGCAGGATGGAGGTGCAGGGCAGGAGGTAGTCATCATGGGCAAGGCGTCCAAGCGGAGGATGGGGGGACAAGGCAGGAGGCAGGCATCGTGGGCAAGGCGTCCAAGCGGAGGATGGGGGGACAAGGCAGGAGGCAGGCATCGTGGGCAAGGCGTCCAGGCGGAGGATGGGGATACAAGGCAGGAGGCAGGCATCGTGGGCAAGGCGTCCAAGCGGAAGAGGTGCAAGGCAAGGTGAGAAGGCATTGTAGTGGTCTAAAGTTCTTAGTCTGGTTTCGGATGCATCCCAGTTTCCAAGCATGATCGCGCGAGGCTTGTGCGACCCCCTATTCACTGCATCTAGAGCTCTATAGGCATGGCACGAGATCCATGACTTGATGTGGCACATGTTCCGCACTTCTCCCGGTCCTGCCTCAGCCCCTTCCCACACGCTTCCCTCCGCCCCGCCTCCGCCCCCGCCTCCGCACCCTCGCACCCTCCTTCCCACGGTTCCGCATATGTCAGGCAGATTCTTCATACAACCTACTACCTTACACCACCCCCATCTCCAATGCCGCACAGCGTGCACTGCTCGCGCTCACTCGTTCAAGCCGCCCCCGAACGTCCACGCCTTGATGCACATACCCAGCCCGTCGCGCGCCTCAGGCGGGGACGACGTCACGCCTCCGACCCCAAACTCGCCAAACTCCCCCGACGCCCAGTATGTCACGTAGATGCTGCGCGCGTCGGCTTGGAGACACGATGAGAGCTTCATGCTCTGCTGGTGGTTTCCGAGGAGGACGTGGCAGCGGAGCGTGGGGCGCATGTCGTCGCCAAAGCGGTCGCCCGCCTTGGCCTTCCTGTCGACGCTGTCGACGCTGTCGCTGTCTAGAAGGGGCATGTCTTCGCCGCCGCTGTCTGCGTCGGACGGGCGAGCCCGCCTTGCGGGCGTCTCCCGCTTCCTCTCCTCCGGTTCGTCGTCCTCCGACTCGTCTTCAGACTCGCCATCATCTTCGTCATCGTCTGTTGAGTAGTCGCTCCCCTCGTCGTCCATGACTCGTGTCTCATCTTGCTCAGAGGCAGTCTCTGCGCCGCCAGCTCTCAAAGCACGCGCTGGGATGTCGGGAATGGCGCGCCCATCCAGAAGGAGGACATTGAAGGACGTCGCGAACACGATGTGGTCGTTATACGTCGTGAGCTGCTTGACCGTCGTCCCAAGGCCGATGATGATGCTGTTGTCCGCGACGTGTTTGGCCCGCTTGGCAGCTGCCACATGACGATACGGGTAGGACGCGAGGGGCGGGTCCAGCTCCTCCATCCGCAAGCATTGTGCGAACACGTCGCGATAGTTGCGCACGATGAGCACGCCGCCAGCCTCGGTCGTACAGACGAGGTGGCGCGAGGTGAAGTGACAACTGGTGTAAGATTAAAACAAGACGATAACTCACGCAGAGAAGCCGTACGTAACGGCACCGCCTTGGTGTACGGTCCGCATCATGGCGATGGAGCGCTCGATCACGTCTTTGAATGCACGTTCGCGAGGGTAAACGCCACAAGCGATGGCACGGCCAACGGGTGCGGCACCGGCGGCCCGCTCAGAGTCGGGAATCGCCTTGAAGTCATCGGTGATGCTTAGCGGGAAGCCGAGGCGCGCAATATCGGCCGGCGGCCCGCGCATAGGCGGGAACGAAACAAGGTGCGCCTGTGTTTCGCGCAGGTACACGTGCATCTGCCAGTCGTCGCAGACGAAGACGAAGTTGTCGTCCAGCTCAATGTACTGCTGTCAGCGGCTATCTCAGGTTTAGCTGTGATACGGGAGTCGAGAGGACGTTCAAGCGTGATAGCCCTGCGGGAATTACCGCGTGTGGCGGAAATAATGAAAGTAGATGCTCACATTAGGTGTTCCCTGGTCCTCAATTCCACGCTTGATAGTCTCCATCTCGATGGCCTCATCGAGGTGCCAGATGTGAATGGCCGCGGTGGCGCAAGAAGCCAGCACGGCCGCCGCAGTCGACGTGCCCTCGCGATCAATGTGCAGCCGGTACGCACGCGCAAGGGCAGGAGGCAACAGCGTGCGGAAGTGCTCATAGTGGCCGCGTGGAAGAGGCGAGGTAAGTGATTCGGGATCGTACGTCTCGTCCGCGAAGCTCTCGCCGGTGAAGTTGCTCACGCCGATTTTGGGAAGCACGCTACGCTTGCGGGCCTGGTCATTGCGCCACACTTCGAAGGCGCCGTCCGAGCTCCGCCCGCGGTTAATGACGAAGAAACCGGCGCCAGCCTCCAAGTGACTGTACCCCTGCAGGTCTGGGATGCTCCAGAGCGGCTGCGATGTGCGGCGGTCCACGACCTGGAGGCCGGGAACGTCGATTTCATCGTTGAGCTCTCCAGTCACGCGCGAGGTGGCGAGCATGGTACCGGACTCGGGGTCGCTCTTGATGCGCCAAACTGTATTTGGGAACGGTGTGACCCACTCGACGGTGCAGGCCGCGCGGGCCCAAGCGTCCAACAGCACAAGGTTCTCCTGCACGATTTGCCGCCACCGCCACCTGCCGGGCTTTAGGCGGGTACGGTCAGCGATGGGGCGCATGTCGTGCTGAGGCCACGGATATTTGCTTGTTGCGGCGAGGGCGTTACCTACCGCAAGGTCGACGCGCTCTACGCCAACGGAGTAAGCTTGAGTGCGCCAAAGATGTGAAGAGTGTTCTGCGGCGCACAGACGCCACGCTTTGGAGACTAGTTCTGCTGCAAGGAGATCGCGCAGGTTGAGGTGCACTAGGACCTCGACGAAGACGTCGGTGCCGAGACGAGTAAGAGGATCCTGGAAGGACATGTTAGATTGGATGGTGAATGGAGAGAAGAGGTGAGGTGAAGTGAGTAGTGGTGCGACAAAGGCTGGGAGATGGGGGGAGGGGGGTTGATATGTGAGATGAGACGGGCAGTAGTGATGGGGAGGAGGAGGAGGAGGAGGGGGAGGAGGGGGCGAACAATGAAGACGAGGAGAGGAAGGTGTGTATTGTGCATTGCAAGTGATGCGTCACTGTCGGAGGTTGGAGTATGACACACAAATGAGGGATGGGATGCATAAGACCGTGGGAGAGTTGGGTTGGTTGGAGGAACTGGAGGAGATAGGAGGTAGCATTACGTAAGAGAGATGAGCGTGGGAACGGAATGTGGACATGGAGCCTGGGCTCTGACCGGCTTTGGACCGGGTGGACCGGGTATCCACTGTATCCACCACACGCCATCAGATCAAACTCGCAACTCTCGCTCGTTCTCTCCCCACGCCGCCATCATTTGATATCTCCCAGTCACCTCGACGTGCCCTCTCCCCACTTTCTCTGTTCTCATCACTCACTCACTCTCTCTCTCTCTCTCTCTCTCTCTTACTCTCCCCACTCTCGCACTCTCCTCACTCTCCACTCTCCACTTTCCACGTTTCACCCTCTCTTTACGCCTCCCTCCACCATCCACCCCTCTCCACCCCCCTCCACCTCACCTCCCGTCCCAATCCGGCCATTCCGCATCTACCCCCTCTTGTCACTCTCATCCTCCTTCTCGCTCATCCTTTATATCCATCACCTGGCAACCAACAACTCTCTTCAATCTCCCCTCCCCATCCTCGCGCCCCTCCCATTCCTCTTCCCGCGCCCAAGGCCCTCCCTCCATCCCACATAGACTCCACGCCAAAGCAAGACATGCCCATCTGAATCGGCAACTCATCCCGTCGTCACAACCCGCGACAACACCCGACATCCTCTTCCCATCAAGTTCCTTATTATCCACAGCATCGACACACGACCACCAACACAGTCCCATCAGCTCACTTGACACTCACCATGCCCTCGGCCGTCAACGAGAAGCAAAGGCACAACGGCCACCCCCACCACAATGGCCATCATCACAATGGTCACGCTTCTCACGAGCGGCCGTCCCTCGCCCTTGTCCCCGCATCAGGGTCAGTTTCCCCACACCACCGCTCGAACGCGAGTGCTCTCCTCTCCCTCTCGCAAGACGTGACGGCGCTCGTTTCGCTGTCGATCGAGACAGCCGCTTCTCTAGTCAATGACTATGCGCGCTCCGCCCTCGCCACCATCGGCCTTGGAGAGCGTCCTCCCACCCGCGGCCCGGGACTTGCAGTGGTCGTAGTCGGCGCAGCGGAACGTAAGATGCCGTCCCGTGACACTGAAACTGACATCCAGTTTCAGGCCAGAGTCTCACCCTCCGCCTCGCCAAGAGCGGCTACACCGTCTTTCCTTTCGTGCCCATAGCTGCGGCGCCTAGTGCGGGCACTGCGCCGGTCTCGGCCCCGCTGTCGGCTCTACTGCTTGCTTGGTCGGGCGTGCAAAAGCGTCTGCGCGCGCGGGACCCCGGGCACACGGGCGCAGTAGTACCCGTTGTTATCGACGACAGCGGCGATGCTTATCTCTCCGCCCAAACGTACCCACACTCTGCATTCCCGCCCTCGCCACCCAAGCGCGGCGGGCGTTTTGCCCATGCAGGCGACACGGTCCGGCACTATTGTCGCGAGAACGGTCTCACGCTTGTTGCCATCGTATGCGCCGCGCCCACAACCAGTCTTCCATCAAAGGACGACCTCCCTTCGCCTCTGCCGTTGTCACCCGCTCGTCGTCCTCACCCTCTCATTCCGGGTGTTACTGATGCGGGCTTGGCACACGCAGATGAAGATGCCCTCATGGCGTTATACCGCACACAGGTCATCGAGCCCATCTCTGTCATCCGTGCGCTTGGCGACATGCTCGCTGCGCCTCGGGGCGTGAATAGAGTTCGCGGGCGCGTCCTCTTCGTCGAGTCGACGAGCATAATAGACGAGTCGGAACCTGGAGACGTCTTCAGCGGCCAGTCGAGCCCGATGCGTATGATTGCGGCCGCGCGTGCCGAAACAGCTCGTCTGCTTAGAGCCGAACTTGGTTCGGCCGGCATTGACGTATGCGAGATTGCAGTTGGTGAGTTTTTGATGTGAGAAGAACGTGACTAACCGGCAGGACCCATGGCGCCCCGCCTTCCTCTGCCTCTGCGCTCGTCCTCTGGCGACAGCGACACGGACCGCGCACTCGCAGCGGCAGCTGACCTGCCGACGCAGCCGGCCAGCGATGACGCGATTTCGCTGCGCCTACGTGTCCTGGCGCGCATCTTTGCGGTCGACGACGCGCTCGTGTACTCGTGCGTCCGCCGCGCCATCGAGGACCGATACCCCCGCGCGCGGCACCACGCGGGGCTCACACCGTTAATCACCTCCATTGTCAATGCGACGCCGGGCGCCGGGGTTGTTCGCTTCCTGGGGCGCTGGGTGCTTGGCCAGCTCTTTTCGCCGCGTCGGCGGGCGTAGCAGAGTCGACGTGAGCGCCCTATGCGCATGGAGGGCAGGAGCCGCCTTGTCAACATCGTGTTTTGCTATCTGCGCTTCGCCATATCGTGCTTCGCCGCTGCCGCTGCCACTGCCTTGATCCAGTCTGTTATCGTGTGAAAATGCTTGCGCTCAAGCTCTCGACCACCCGCCGAACACGACGAGATATTGAGCGCTCAACCACTCTGTTGTACCCTGCCTATGCCTATACGCCTAACGATGACTTTCCTGTGTTTGCTTGTAGATCCGTATAGATGTACCTATGTTGCTGTGCTCGCGGCATCAGCGTAGCGGGGATGCATGTGCATGCACGTCTCCTCCTGCACTTGCGTCAGCTATGTCCATCTCATCTGATCTAGTTTGAGATTGCGCATGCGCGAGGTGCGCAGTCCATCGTCGCTCGCAATGAGAATGCGCTAATAGCAACGTACACGTTCGTGAGCGTGTCAGTGGACGCATGTAAGTGGCATGTGGCAGTTGCACGATGGGTGGACGCGTGGACGGCGGAATGTGGACGATCGCCAAGGATAGCACGGGTGTTTATTCTTGCGTGGTAGCGCCACGCCGGAGTCATGTTGGCTTTCCAATCCGCAGTGGCGTGCGATAAGGCTGAGTGGTAAGGATGGCCGGCGCTCATCCCCGACACCGCTATGCATTGAGCAGGACGAGGTGTTCGCGCCGCTCCTGAGCCCACCATGTACATATAATGTTCGTCCTGCCCATCTGCTGCTCATCAACTCCTGAATTACACCACATGCTGAGGAACTATCTGTCACACGCACGGCTGAGGCGGACCCACATCTATTTGGTTCTTGAGGGAGCGCATTATCCCTCTCAGCACGAGCTTTGCTCGGCCAGCGACTTTGGCTGCCTCCCACACCCCATACCCCGTACTCCGTTGACCCGTGCCCGTGAGCGGCGAGAGCATCCCCGCTGGCCGAGCTGGCCGCTAGCGACAGACAGATGCCAAGTCCATGATCGCGGAACGACGAAGAGCACGAAAGCACAAGCTTCAAGCATGCCGCCCGCCATCCGCCAGAACAAGGCACACACCTATCCTGCACCCATCCCCATGGTCCAATCATGTCGTGTGGCGGGAACACCCCACCCTGAGATCCCCGAAAGTTGAGGGAATAGCACTCACTCAAATCGCGACAAGGCTCTTCTTGGACTCAGGGATGCCGCTTGTGGCGCCGACATGCCTGTTGCAGTAATCTTCCCTTCTTTCGGTTGCTCTGCTCCCCCGCGCCCTCCGGTGGAAGTTGGACGCGCATGGTCTTGGAGGCACGGGCATGCAGGCACACCAGGCACAAGTATAGAGGATGGCAGAAGGATCATGACCCTCCCTCCCCCTTCCCCCCCCCCCCCCCCGCTTTGTCTTGGCCGCCTCACTCTCCCATCGATCCCATCCCCCGCTCGCACCCGCATCCATCTACCCGCCCCTTGTTCCTCCCCTCCTCCCCATCTACTCTTCTCTGCTCCCCATCTCTCTATCTCTCCCAATCGTCTTGCTCTTTCCTCTCATCTCTGTTCTCTTCACCCCTCCATTCCTGTACACAATGCTCCGTACCCTCGCTCTCGCCGTCCTCGCCGCCACCGCCGCCGCCCAGGCGTCCTTCTCCATCACCACTCCTGTGCGTCCCACCCTCACTCACTGACTATGCTGACTCCAGCCCGCGCTCGTTGCCTGCCGTACGTCTACCTTCCCTCACCCCGAGGACGAGAACGGGCTCACTGAACCACACACTGACCCTCAGAGCCGTCGAGAGTCTCGTGGACGGGTGGCGTCCCCCCTTACATCCTGTGAGTACCGAGACCAAAGACCAGAGACGGGGCGTTGAAGGGGCACATCGGCTCGGAGCACCACCGGGCGCAAACCCGGGATCATAGAGGAGGAGTCGCAGGCACTGTTTGTCCGGATTACCCAATCGTCCATTGAGGCCGTGCGAGAATGCTGTCCGCTGGTGGCCGGGCCGCTTCACGCGGACTGCTTGTCCGCCTCCCCCTTGCTCGAGTCTCGCCGCACTCGACGCCGGGATGAACCTCCTTCCTTCGATGTTACGCACAGACCCTCCTATCTCTCAACCCTCTTTTACACCCACTGACCCAAGCTCAATCATCCCCGGCGGCCAGCCCGGCGCTGCGGCTCTCAAGGACCTTGACACAAACCTCAACGTCATGCAGTACACCTGGAACACTGACGTTGTCGGCGGCACCCACCTGACCTTTAAGATTGTTGACAAGAACGGCGACATCGCCTACTCTGCGCCCATCACTGTGCGTCAAAGGGGAAGCGAGCAAAGCTCAGCCTTCCCTCCACCATGGTTGAGCAGCGGCGCTAACCCCAGGTCCAGGCTGGCTCTTCGGACGACTGCCTCAAGCCCGGCGCCTCCAAGCCGCCCCAGCCCTCGTCGCCCGCCGCCACGGGCGGTCAGCCCGCTGGTTCGGGCTCCGCCGCGGCCTCTGGCTCCGGCTCCGCCTCGGCCGCTTCGGCTTCCAGGCCCGCCGCCTCCGCTACGCCTTCCGGCTCGGCTGCGTTTGCCCCTGCCGCCCCGGTCGCTGCCGTTGTCGCCGTCGCCGGCGCTGCCCTCCTCTTCTAATTGCTTCTTCTTCATGACCCGGCGCCGGTCATTGCTTAACTCTTATAGCCCATCCCTAATACAACTCTTCCGTGTTCGGTTATGAGAAACGATGCATTACGTGAAGCGAGTGCGTGTGTGATGAGTTTGTTGCAATGTGGTTTGCCGCATGCAACCGTCTGCGGGCGCTCCCCCTCGCTCATACACGATGGTTGTTGGTCCTTCTGCGTGGGTACCGTGGGAAAGTGGACGTCCTCCACCGGCAACAGGCACGACCAACACTGTTGTTGCGGCGCGCCATCCGCATCTCCTCATCACCCACTGTCCATCGTCCAGCATGGACATTTTATCAGGCGAAAAGCTCTTCATCGAAGATGAGCAGATATTTGACTCGGCGCACGTGCTCACCGAGAGCATCAAGGTGTGTCTGCCCGCCTCCTCGCTAACGCAGGCACTCGGCGGGCGCGTCGTACCATCTCGCGACGACGCCACAGGCATCCTCGTAAACCCAGGCCACAAGTCCTACACCCCCTCCGCCGCGCAGATTACCTACACCTGGCCCGCCCACTGCGCGGCCGCCGGCGCCCGCGTCGACCCCGCCTCCCTCCCGCCCCCCGTAATTCTAAATCACTGGAGACCGTCGTACGAAGGCCTCCCCGCGACCGTGTACGTGTCCGTCAACCTCCGGCGGATGCACGTCGGCGAGGAGCCGCGCGCGACCAAGGCGGCGGTGGAGGCGTCACTCGCGCGTCTCGGCGCGCTCATCGTGCCCAAGCGCAGCATGGCGGACATCATGGTCATCGATCGCAAGGCCGCGTTCTTCACGGACAAGATCACGAAGGAGGTCCGCTCCGCCGGCCGCGATTGGCAGCGCTTTGCCGAGCGTGAGTGGGTCGAGGCGGTCGTGAGGGAGGGGCGCATGCTTCCGCTCCAGAACTTGGAGGGCGAGATCATGCCGGGCCCAGAGGAGGGCGAGCAGGCTGCGCCGACGCCGCCTGCGGACGCGGCGAGCGAGGCACAGCATGTCCAGGCCCCGGCGCCCGCGCAGTCTGAACTGCCATCCGCTCAGCCCCTACCTCCACCAGCTCAGCTCGCACCTCCACCTCCTCAGCCCGCACCACCGCAGCCCACCGACGACACCGACGTCGACATGGATGGCGAGGGCGCCGCCGCTGTCGAGCCGCCCCCCACCTTCATCCGCCCGCTCAGCCAAAAGGAGAAGGACGAGGAAGCCCGGCGGCAGCGTGAGGACAGCTTCGCGGAGGAGGACGACGACCCAGATGCCAAGAAGGCGCCGGGGCGACCGACGGGGAAGTAAGTCACCTTCCCTGCATCTGCTCACGCAGACCTCGCAACGAGTACACGCCAGAAGATGACGATCTCCTCTGCCGCTACTTGGCGCGGTACCATCCCGGCGGATCGTGGAGCTCGCGCAAGACGTATCAGATGATGGTGAGCATACGCACAACATCGCTGATAGCAGGAATTTCGCGTCAGCCGGCACAAGTGGGTGGACCGGCACACGTGGCAATCGTGGCTGGAGAGGTTCAAGAAGAATGCGGTTGCCTTCAGCAAGCGCGTGGAACGATACACCAAGGCGTCGCTCGACGACGATTTGAAGACGGCGGCGGAACGGCAGGCCGCGATTGAGCGCCTGGCCAGCTCGCAGGACAAGGGGATTGCGAACGGCGCAAACGAGGCCGGACCATCAAAGTGCAAGGAGAAGGAAACGACTTTGTCTAAAAGCAAGGAGAAGGAGGGGACGCTGAACAAGCGCCGTTTGGTGGACTCTGATTCGGACGACGAGCCGCGCAAGAAGGACCCACCACGACTAGCGCTTGGCCGCAACCGTCCGGGATCGAGTTTCCCAACTCAGCCACTACGTGTGCGCGAGCCTCTCTTCCTCCCGGGCCCGTCATCTCAGATCGATGGTCCAGAGACAATAGAGCCGGTTGCGACGCAACCGCCTGCCGATGGACATGCCGAGGAGACGTCTGTGCCCGACGCTGTGCCGTTGCCAGCGGAGATGCCGACTGTCGTGCCGACGGTGGTGCCGGCCATGGAAGTGCGGTCCGAACAGCCGATCGAGCCGCAGCTTGGGACGGCATCGGAGCAGCAGCCTGAGCAGACAATGGAGCAGCTGCCCGAACAGGCAATTGTGCAGCAGCCCGGGCAGCCTTCGGAGCAGCAACCGGAACAGCCATCCAAGCCTCAGACTCAAACTGAGCAGGTGGAGCCACAGTCCGCGCAGACGTCAGAGCTGCAATCTGGGCAACACCCCGAGCAGCCCACAGAGCAACAAACCGAGTCTCCACCGGAACAGCGGGCCGCGCAGCCGCTTGAGCTTGAGCTTGACCAGCCGCAACCTCCGACAGAGCAGCAGAGTATGCCCACCGAACAGATAGAATCGGCCGCACTCTCTCCGCCGCAAGCACCAACTCCACCGTCAACAACACATCCACCTCCCCAGGCACCACCTACAGCCTCGCCTCCGGCACACTCATCTCCGGTTGTGCCTGCCCCGACGAAAGCTCCGCCAGCAGGCGTACTCGAGGAGCCATCATCTCCGGCTCCTCCCCAAGTTACGTCAGCTCAGCCCACCGCGTCACCCGGTGCCTACGCACCTCGTTCCAGCGCAGTGGCAGACCTAGTCGAACGCCGTCGCATGTCCAAGCGCCGCCGAACGCTCGCGACAGTCGCAGCTCCGGACGAGAAGCCCTCGCTCCGACGGATAATTGATACCGTATCCGTCTCTCCAGGACAGCTACGCACACCACCTCCACCGCCGCGTGAGCCGGGGCCTTACGTTCCTCCAGCACCACTCACACCCGAGCAGCTGCAGGCCAAGTTGGACGCTGGTCGCAACATCGTGGCGTCCGTGGCGCAGACATACAGATCATACATCAACCGGTGGCTGGCGGTGTACGGCGTCGGCCAGGCGGAGATCATGGCGGCTGTGGAGGAAGTGCGCGCACGCACAGACCTCACGCGCGCCCCCTTGGTGTTCGGCGAAGTGGAGCGCGTGCTGGAGGAGCGGTATGGACGGGTGGAGGAGGGTGCGTAGAGGGTAGGAGGTGTATGCGAGTGCAGCTTGTGTCACGTGTACGGTTACAGCGACCCGAGAAGTGCTCCGGTGCCGCTTGCGTGGTCGGGACGAGTAGAGGTCGTGTGAAGCGGCACCAGGTACCGGGGATAACAAAGTCTGGTTCACATGATAAGGGCTCGCAGGCGAGCGGAGACCAGCGGGCCGGGACTGGCGCGACCATCCAAAAGTGCATCCAGACGCTCGACCGACCAGCGACCGAGATAACGAGATGGACGCGTCGATCTTGCCGAGGCGCGCGTATACGCCGGCTGCTTTCTGTGCAGTGCAAATCGCCGTCGCGTGTCCTCCGACAGGCACTGGGTGGCTGGCGAGTCGCTCGTGGCGGCTCAAATCACCTGATTAATGCTCCGAGCGCTCATCTAAAACTGGCGCCGGCGTGCGCGGCGTCTCGGAGGACCCAGTCTGGACCTGTGCAACGTATCTGCATGCAATGTCGATCGCAGCGCCGGGTGGCGAAAGCGGCACGGGGGCGGAGTGGCTCAATGTTTGCCGTTCAAGCGACAAGGATCCGTTCAGCCGATCGGCCTCCGAAACCAGCAATGCCGACGGTCGACGCGATGGATGCGATGGTCGATGGTCGATGCGGGGATGCTGCTCGCGCGTTGCTGTGCGTGGTACGCAGCGATGGGCACGCACGCACGCCGACAGACGTCGCTGGAAGTGCCGCAGCGTATATCCGGATATCCCGGATACCACGCCGGCCGCCGGGCGGCATGAATAGTGCGAAGGCGGCCAGGCGGCCAGGCGGCGCGGACAGATCCATGCCACAGTGCACATGAGCCGCAGTGATCGCCATGGCGGCTGGCTGGAGCTCGCGCTTGTGCTGGTGCTCGGACGTCTGTGGCGAGCGCGAGATTACAACACAGGGCCAGACGGCAGACATCAAAACGGTGTCGGATGGCCCGACGGCGACGTGTTCGTCGAGGTCTATCGCGCCGGCACCTATTCCCATTCCCAGAAGCTCGACCCGACCTGGATCCAGCTATCCAGCTATCCAGCTGGCTGCTGGCGCTGGCCATCGGCCGCAGCCAACACGATCGCCCACGACGCCTCAGGGAGACGTGGTTATCCATTGTCCTCAGGGACAATACATGTCTACGAGCCAGAACCAGAGCCAGAGCCACCTCCATCCCGATTCTCCAACCACCCCCGCCTGAACGGCAGCCAGCGAAGGCACGAGGCGCTCGGTGACCTCTGCATCCCCGACCTACGCTGTCAAGCACCCAGCTGCTGGTGCTGGCAGCTGGCAGCTGTGGTGGCTGGTGGCTGTCGACGATGAACTGGCTCGAACAACAGACAACATGATCCCAACACATATAAGCCCACCGGCGCTATCGTTATCGCCATCGACCATGCAGAACCGCCCGCCACTCTCCCACCGCCTCCGACACATGGAGGCCGCCACATCCTCCGCCTCCGCCTCCGCCTCCACCTCCACCTCCTCCGCCGCAATCACACCCATGCCCCCCACCCCGGCGTCGGCGCCCCTCTCCCCCTCCCTCCCCGCCCTCCCGGGCCTGCACTCCCCCACCTCCCCCTCCTGGCCCACGACACACACCCCCACGTCCCCCCGCCCCCGCCCCACCCCCGTGCTCTCGTACAGCGTCACGCAGAGCCCCGAACTCGAGCCCTGCTGCGGCAACCCCCTCGGCACCAACCGCGGCCGTACGTCCCTCGCCAACCGAGCTCACACCAGACGCATGCTGCCCCGCGCGCTTGCCCGGCGGCGTGTGGGTGTGCCGCTTCTGCACGGGCATCCAGCGCCCGCCGGACCAGCGGCAGGGCTCGCTGTCGCTCCCGCTGTCGCCGACGAGCGACTGCTTCGGCCTCCCGCTCCCGCCCTCGCGGCGGGGGAGCGACGAGAGCAAGTAATGTTGTACCAGTATGCACACGTGCGCTCTGTCAGCCCATGCATCTACAACAGGTATACAACGTCTAGCGCAACTCAAACGTCCCCGCCGACGTGGACGGCACGTGGCGGAGGAACAGCTCTTGGAACTCGTTGTTCAGCGAGTGGAAGTAGTAGCCTCTCAACGTGGGCTCTGGGGGCGGCGGTTGGGCGCGCGACGAGCTCATCCGCCGCCCGGCTTCGGGGCGGGGCCCGGACGTCGACACCCGGCGCGCCGTCAGCGTCGTGGACGACATGCGCCGCGGCGCATCGGGGCGCGCCACGCCCCCGCTGCTTGGCCGCCGTGCCGTGCGCGTCGGGTAGTACTCGGCACGCCAGTCCGGCTCGGCGTCCGTCGGCGCCATGTCCACCATCGCGTAGTAGAACCCTGTTGTCAGCGAGGCATGTCATGTGACGGCCAGAGATCTGCCCCCACCCCCGCTAACTCCCTCCCCCACCTTCCCACCTCGGTGCCAACACCCAGACTCACCCGCAAAGCTCGCGCCCGAAATGTCCCGCACCGTGTGGTCCGGCACGAGGAACTTCTCTTTGATGCGGAGAAAGACAAAATCACGCTCGCGGGGTTGCGTCTCGCCCCGAGAGATGTTCGGTAGGGGGTCGCGGAGTAGCATTTCGGGGCGCACGAGATCCGCCTTTGTTGATGCGCGGAGGTAGGGTTCGAAGCGCTCCCAATGCCGCCTGTCGTCGACCTCCGTGGCGCCGAACCGCGCGCCCGTGATGAACCCGTACTTTGGGCCGATGATTTCGCCGTCAAAGAACGTCGTGAGCTCGGGATGCGTGTCGGTCAGATTGGCGATGGTAAGGTATCCGCAGCATGTCGACTGGGCAAAGTTGACCTCGAGGAGGCGGATCTCGACGTCATACGCGCTGCGGCCGGAGCGTTGTGTGCCCTTGAAGATGGCGCCGGGGTAGAGACACCCGCGGGGGTCGGAGCGAAGGCGGGCGCGTCCCACGTCCAGGAGTGGGTTGGCGCCGGACTCTGCGGCCGGGGCGGGGAGGGGGGTGGGAACGGACCGGGGCGCGGTAGTCGCTCCCCAGGGGGACGTGCGTGCGGCGGGGAGCGACTTGGCGATCTGTGGGTCCGCGGGCTCGGGTGCCTCGGGCGTGCGCGCGGGCACGGGCATTGCAGTTGCCTGTAGCTCGGAGGGGACGGGGAGGGATGCGGAGGAGCTCGCGGGCGAGGGGGTGGGCGTAGAGTCGCGCCGGCATCGCGGGCGCAGTCGCGACGCAGCGGCAAGGTCGATGACGACGGCGCGTTGCGGGCTCACGCGCAAGCCCGAGATGTCGAGGTCGAGGTCGGGCGCGGGTGGCGGGACGCCGGGGACGAATGCATGAGTGCCGCCGCGGGCGCGGACGCAGGCGGCACATACACGCTCCATCGTCTCGCCGAGGATGATGACGCCGTCCGTCGGACCGAGGGAGGCGGCGCCGCACTCGGCGCACTTGAGGGTCGCGGGCAGAGGGGGGTCGGGCCGGTCGGCGGTCTCGGTCGGCATGATACTGCGGATGGGTGGATGGAGGATGGCTGATGGCTGATGGCGAGGACACTCGGAGGCGGAGCGAGGAGGATGTGGTGGTCGGGTGAGTTGGTGGAGCCAAACCGGAGGGGGTGGCAGCCCACGGAACCAACATGGCTCACGCTCACACGGCCGCCACCGCCATGTCACAGTCACGAGGCCTTGCTTGCACGCTTGGCTGTTTGTTCTTCATCAGAAGCCACTTTGTCGGTATGCATTGGTCTCTGATGGTGCATGCACAGTGCTCGATTGCCCCCTTCTCGTCAACTTGGACGCCGTCGTCGATGTGAGAAGAAGCCGGTTTCCCCGCACTGAACCCCGCAGCCCCAGAGGGTGAGGAGCTTCTGTCACCCTGGGTCTGGACTGGGTGGATGAGAGCCAGGCTCCGTCGCTTATCGGACACAACCTCCGCCGCCACTCGAGTCGACTGGAAATACTCCCGTCATTTCCCTCGACTGCCACGTGGTGTGAGTCGACTCGCGTCGAATTATCTCTCAAAGTTGAGTCGATTAGAAATCGTAATGAGACGACACATCCGGCAGATTACGGGACGGGCCGAGAAATATCTCCGCATCAGGCCCCCCTGGTTTACCTTGAACCGAAATCCGCTTCCAGTCGACTTTTCCTGCCGCCCCCTATCCACTCTCTCTTCTCCACTCTCTCTCTCCACATCATCTAATCATGTGCGGCATCTACTGCTGCTACAACTACAAGGGCGACCTCGCCGCCTTCCGCCCCAAGGCCATCGCTTGCTCCAAGCGTCAGCGCCACCGTGGCCCCGACTGGTCCGGTTGTTACCTCGCAAAGGACTCGATCCTCGTCCACGAGCGTCTTGCTATCGTCGGTGTTGGTGAGTGCTGATTAAGGTGACGAGTGGCGAAGATTTGGGTTACCATGCACGTACGCGCGCGCGTCTTGACAGACGCGCCCTGTTCTTGTCTCAGCGTCCAAAGCCCCTCGCCACCTATGTGGCGACTACCCCGGCCTTGAGTTGGCCCTGCTTTCGACGCGCGTTGGCTGACCACCAGACACCGGCGCGCAGCCCCTCACCAGCGAGGACGAGTCCCTCATCCTTGCCGTCAACGGCGAGATCTACAACCATGTTGCGCTCCGCAAGGGTCTCAAGGACAAGAACGCTACCTTCAAGACCCACTCCGACTGCGAGGTCATTATGCACCTCGTACGTCACGCCAAGCCCGCACGGACACGCCACTAACCGCTCAGTACAAGGAGCACGACACCGGGCTCTGCAACATGCTTGACGGCATGTTCTCGTTCGTCCTCGTTGACCAGTCCGTGACCCCCTCGCGCGTTATCGCCGCCCGTGACCCCATTGGCATCACCACCCTCTACATGGGATGGCACTCGTCGGCGCCTGAGACCATCTACTTCGCCTCGGAGCTCAAGTGCATCCAGGACGAGTGTGACAACCTCAAGGCCTTCCCTCCCGGGCACTTCTACGACTCGAACAAGGGCGAGCTTACCCGCTACTACAACCCTACTTGGTGGAACACCGATGAGGGTGAGCCTCCTCACAACCCCACCGACTACACCAAGATCCGCGAGACTCTTGAGATGGCCGTCAAGAAGCGTCTCATGTCTGAGGTTCCCTACGGTGTGCTTCTCTCCGGTGGCCTCGACTCGTCGCTCATTGCTTCAATCGCCGCAAGGGAGACCGACAAGCTTGCCGAGGCTCAGGAGGCCAAGCGCAAGCGTCGCCTCTCCGTGTCGTCGAACGGCTGGGTTGGTGACGACGAGGGGTTGCCTCTCGCCTCGTGGCCCCAGCTCCACTCGTTCGCCATTGGCCTCGAGGGAGCCCCTGACCTCATCGCCGCTCGCAAGGCCGCCGACTTCCTCGGCACCGTCCACCACGAGTACCACTTCACCGTTCAGGAGGGTCTTGACGCCATCCCTGAGGTCATTTACCACCTCGAGACCTACGACGTCACCACTGTCCGCGCCTCGACCCCCATGTACCTTCTCTCGCGTAAGATTAAGGCTATGGGTGTCAAGATGGTCCTCTCGGGCGAGGGTTCTGACGAGATCTTCGGCGGTTACCTCTACTTCCACGCGGCGCCGAACGCCAAGGACTTCCACCAGGAGTGCGTCAAGCGCGTGAAGAACCTTCACACCGCCGACTGCCTGCGTGCCAACAAGTCGACTATGGCTTGGGGTCTCGAGGCTCGCGTGCCCTTCCTCGACAAGGCATTCCTCGAGGTTTCCATGAACATTGACGCCAAGGACAAGATGTTCACCAAGGGCGGTACCCAGCAGATTGACGAGGACGGCCGCCCTCGCATGGAGAAGTACATTCTCCGCAAGGCCTTCGACTGTGCCCCGAACGGCAAGGCCTACCTTCCCGATTCGATTCTCTGGCGCCAGAAGGAGCAGTTCTCGGACGGTGTCGGCTACTCGTGGATTGACGGCATGAAGGAGCACTCTGCTCAGGTCGTCTCGGACGAGCAGCTCGCCGACGCCAAGAACCGCTGGCCCATCGGCACCCCCGAGACCAAGGAGGCCTACTGGATCCGCGAGATCTTTGACCAGCACTTCCCTTCGGACGCTGCTGCCGGCACCGCCGTGCGCTGGGGTGAGTTTATTGCGTGGCCTGAGCGCGGGCAAGTGTGGAGTTCCAGGGGCGATAGCGGGCAAAAGAAAATTGTGGCCTGTGTGTAAGGCACACACGTGTTGTGCCTGATCCTTAGCCTCTCTTTCCCTATCTCCACACTTGCTCATCCGCGTCATAATCTCTTGGCTCTATGCTAACGTCAGTCCCCAAGCAGGAGTGGGGTGTCAGCTCGGACCCCTCGGGCCGCGCCGTCGCGATCCACACGGCGGCCTACGACAACAAGGCCTAAGGCCGCTCGGTGCGCCGGGACGCCATTCTGTCCAGATCTTAGTCGGACAGACAAAACACCTACGCTAGTCAGTACAATGGGCTACGGTATAGATAGCATTCGCGTGGGGACTTGGAAGATGCATGCGATTTAGTAACGCGATGCCGAGGGCGTGGGATATGTGTAGGTAGAGCGCGAGGGCAGGGTCGGTTTAAGTACAGAGTTGCTGCTCAAGGTGGTGGTGCCACTGGCGATCGACGGCTGTGGCGGCTCTTGCACTGGGGTACATTGCCCTGTGCAGAACCACACCATAGTCAAGAGCTTGGATTGGGTATGGTGGGACATACCTACTTCGGACAGCGAGTGTGCGCCTAATAACTGTAGCCGTTCCATCCGGTTGTCACCGGACGACAAGCTTCATGGATGGGGATGGTCTTTTCAGGCTCTAAGTATTGAGGTAAGACCGCCTAGAACTTTTGGCAGCAAGGCACGGTTGCATACAAACAGCTTTCGGTGTCTCCATCACGAGCAGTCTACAGGATACAGAACATCTACGCAAACCTGGAAAATCATTGCAGCAGACACTCAATTGGCGAATCGTAGCAGAACTCCAATCTGTGTGAACTCAGCCTCGCGCGCACTGACTTTGTAAACTCACTCTGCAGGCTTGCGATACCTTAATCATTCCGACAAAGGAGCCTCCGGGTAGTCGAAGACGTAGTCCTCCTCGTCACTCTGCCTCAAGTATCGCCGTAGGGCTGTCGCGAGCTCCTCGAGAACACCCACGCTTTCGGCACAGAGGTTGTCACAGTTGTCGAAGTAATCCTTGGGGTTTTCGTTAGCAGCTCCCAGGGCTAGAATATGAGCTTGAGCCCGTAGAACAGCATTCCGTGAGGTGCCCTCCCGGCTATCGCTGACGGTATCGGCGCCACGCTGGCGACGCGCTCGCCTCACTTCCACCTGGTAAAGAAGGTTGGTAATTGCCGTAAGACTTTGGCGGGTAAGGGAGATGAACCGCACCAGGCTGCTTTGGTCGGGATGACTTGCCGCGGAGCGCAGAGCCCCCACCGTCCTGCGGGCTGTTGCTAGCCGCTCCACTGCCCTCCCCCGCCACTCGCGAGCCCTCTCGTCTGTGTGGAAATGAGTCTCACGAAAATTCGTTCCTGCGATGGCTGGTGTCTCGCGAAGGTCGACGATGGGAACGATTTGTCCAGACGAGGGCGGTGAACGATAGAGGAAGAGGGAAGGATGTCGCTGCGACGTGACGCTGATTGTAGTGGTGACCCCGATATTGCTGCGTTCCGCTGGTGCCCCACGTAGTCTGGGTGAACCTTGAGCATTGGATTCCGAGGTTTGGCCTGAGCTGCCTAAGTCTCGAATGATTGTTTCGACTTGCAGCCTGTGTGTGGCCTGCAACTCACTTATCCGCTGCCGAGTTTCAGCTACGGCACCGGGGGGCCGCATGTTGTGGCGGTGCAGGCGCTCGATGTCGTGTTCGGTGGGTGGGACCTGGTCCCGTTCCATCAGATAGCGGCGAAGGTGATGGCGCTCAGGACTCCCCAGAGGCTCAGCCGGGTCCCCAGTCAAGCTGGGTAGGCTATCGAGCGCTGCGTTCTGAAGTTAGCAAGGAGCAGGGATTGTTGCTCGCCATGACATCGGAGGACGGAGGAGCATCCAGGTAGCGTCTATGCGAAGGTGAAGTGCGGTTGGGAGGCGAGGAAGATCGTCGAGCCGTTGCCCGTGGTGTGGGCGTGAGGCTTGCGTGAACAGTTGTGCTGTCGTGGACGAGGGAAGCCCTCGAGCCAGTCATGTTCATAGGCTGGCTATCTGAGTCGTCGAGTTGGCATGCGGTGTCTGGCTGAGTCCGCGCCCAAAGGCCACTCTCATGCTGGGGTCAACTTAAGACGTTATACGACTGACCTGAGTGGAAGCATATAGCTCCTCATGGGACCTTGCGGAAGTGATCCCACTGGGACCGGCCTGCGTTGGGGGAAGGTTGACCGTGATCTGTCTCAGCAGAGACGGAGGGAGGACTCACGTGCTGGTGGTAATCTTGACGCCCCGTCTCGCGCTCGGTTGAGCTGGCGGGTGTCTCATCTTCGCTCGGTGGAGTGACATAAGCTTGCTCATCCGCAGAGCGTCGAGGCTGTTGGTGTGGGCTGGACATGGAAAAAACGGATAGTGGCACGGGTGACTCGATAGGGATAGGGAGCAGCGAGCAGAGCAGGAGGCTTTGGAGGAGGAATGGGACGGCGGAACAGAGTACAGAGGTGTAGGGGTGCTCCTTGTGTGAGTAGAGGTGCACTATTACAACTGGACGCTAGTCGGAGGGGATTGATGAAGAAGAGGAACACAGAGCGATGGAGTGGAAAGAAGAGCGACAGACAGACAACATGGCGATGCAGTCCGTGGCTTCGCACAGCTAGCTCAGCCTTCCTTGCCTCGCACCAATAGGTCACCCAGTACTCAGTCATACCCTATGACCTACGTGCCCCACCCAGGCTGGCACCAGCAAAGTAAGTCTTACATCCCCACTTAGCAGAGTATCTATATCTTTTGCATCAGAGCAACCGGCGGATTGTGGTCGCTGTAACAGGAGGAGGTTCTGCGACGGACGCTTCATGCAGAGCGGTTCCATCGTAAGCGGTGACTACTACTGCTCAAATTGTTTTACACGACAGCCGTCGCTTACAGTCAGTCACTGCATAGATGCTCCGTCCGCTTTTGCAGGGACCCAGGCATTGTGGATAACGGGTGTCTGGTGGATGTTGGGTTGGATGAGCTGCGTGTTACGACTGCCAGAGGGAAGGTCATAGAGTTCATTCGCAAAGCAGCCGTTAACGGTCCGACACTCCTAGAGCGTCGCAGCAACTTCTTAGTTGCGAGTTTCTCAGAGTTGTTTCAATGGCGGTGCTGATCGATATTCGATTGAGCATTTTGGCGAATTAGCTGCATTATCAAGCATTTAATTCACATGAGCTCCGCTCTGTCACTGTTCATGCAACTAGCTCTGGCTGTCCCGAGGAGCCTTCCCTACTGCCTTCTACATGTCACCCAGGCAAAAGTAACAGCGCCACCCCACTCCCGTCCAGCTCGCGTAGCAGTGGTCTGGTGGTGTTCAGCTGGCTCGAGGACGAGACTCACAGTCGCGATTGTTCCCACGGTGGTTGCCAGGGCAGTCTCCTTTCTCAGGCTTCTGCGTCGAGCTGCGCGTTGAACCAGCGTCCGAAAACCACTGTTCTCGCTGGTAGACCTCGAAGCCATTCTCTTGCTCCTCTTCGTCCTCTTCGTCCTCTTCGTCCTCTTCGTCCTCCTCGTCCTCCTCGTCCTCCTCGTCCTCTTCGTCCTCATCCTCCTCCGCGTCTTGATCCTGGTGGTCGGCGTGATCGGCGTCAATCGCCGTGGTTCCGAATGTGGGTGATAAGTTTGGTGAACCGGCGCGGAGACGTTGAACAGCGGCGGCTATCTGATCCACCTGGTCGATGCTAACATGTGAAGCCGACTCGTCCGATCTCTCCACTTCAGCGAGAAAGGCCAGGAGGACGCGTCGCGCTCTGGTCATCACTGCATGAAAACTCGCAACAGCCTGCTCCGACCCGCGTCCCGCCAGAGGGGGTTCGCTGTCGAGGCGCTGCTGCTCCATAGCTCTCAGGACGAGTCCCGGCTCCATGGAGTGGACCTCCAGCTCCATTCCCTCGGTAACTTCTGAAAATAGGCTGCGCAGGTGAGTCGTCCTTCCGACATGGGGAGTGGACGAGTCAGGTAAGGTTGGGACAAGAGAAGGGGAGAGTGGTTGAAGGGGCTCTCGTGGGCGCCGGCTGGGGAGGAGCCTGTCGGTGACCGTCTCGCGAATCTGGAAGCTGAAGCCGAAAGGCGGAGTGTCGTTTAGTGTGATGGTCTGATGGAAGTCGCTGCGCTGATGTTAGATGACAGATTCAAGGAAGGCTAACTCACCAGCTCGTGGGTGGCGGCGAGTGGCATGTTGACATCGCGGACGAGCGGCATAGAGAAGTGCTGAATGCAGCTGTCGGTCGAAGATCGATTGAAGAGGTCAGAGTCTACACAGAAAGGTAAGAATCAGCACAGATTGTGATGATGAGGGAGTGGAGAGATGTCGAAATGGGAAAGAGAGAGAAGTTACGAGAAGCACGGCGGCACAGAGGATGCGAGGAAGGTGGTGTACTGACCATTAGAGTGGCATCTGTCACGCTAAATTCACCCAGCATTAGTTGATGTTCAATCACAGCCATCTCGTCACCCGACGCCGACGTCTCACTGCATCCAACAGGCCGCCCGTGCCCGCCCGCGCCCGCCCGGTGGATTGTGGTCGATCCGTCGGTCATCCGCATCGCAAATGTAAGCGTGAACGCGCACAGGTAATACCGCTGTGAGTGTTTTTCGCTCGCTCAGTCACAGCTGCTTGTTCCTTGCAGTAAGAGAGGGCCCATATTAGTCGATCAGTAGACAAAGTGCCACAGGCTCAGCCACCTAGCATCTGTAGTTGTACAGAGTGACATGCATCGCCACGCGGCGCGGTACAATGGAGAAGAGCGAAAACGAACGAAGAAGATGTAGGCGCTTAGGCGTCCTGCGAAGGCTTGCCACCCTTGCCCTTGGTCTGAGGTCAGCGCTGCGACCTGTAGGGGTTGACTCACCTTCTGAGGAAGGAGCTCTGTGAGGATGTTTGGCAGCACACCACCCTGCGAGATGACGACGTTGCCGAGGAGCTTGTTCAGCTCCTCGTCGTTGCGGACGGCGAGCTGCAGGTGACGAGGGACGATACGCGACTTCTTGTTGTCACGCGCGGCGTTGCCAGCCAGCTCGAGAATCTCGGCGGCGAGGTACTCGAGGACGGCAGCAAGGTAGACGGGCGCGCCAGAGCCGATACGCTGAGCGTAGTTGCCGCGCTTGAGAAGACGGTGGATACGACCAACGGGGACTGCACGTCAGTAAGAGCGGGCGAGCGGGGAGAAGATAAGAGAAGGAGGATGAAGCTCAAACTCACACTGAAGACCGGCCTTGGACGAGCGGGTCGACGACTTGGCCTCGCCGCCAGACTTGCCACCAGACTTGCCACCGGACGACATTGTTGCTAGAGTGTGTTGTTGGGGGGTGTGGGAGGGGTGAGGGTGAAGTTGGGCAGGACACTAGGTGGGCAATGAAGGATGAGGAGATGCACGAGGTCGACGACTTGAGCTACTTATGGGCTGAGGCGTGTGTGCGCACAGGCAGGCTGCATACAGAGGACCTGCTTGGGAGCGTAAACAGCGGAATCAAATCAATGCCAGTATGGATCAAGGATCATGATCTCGGATGAAGGGTCACGTGATGGTCGATCACCTGTTCACGATCCACGATTGTGTGCTCGGCATTTTGTGGTCTTGTCTTATTATCAGAGGGAGAAGCTTGTTCATGTGACTGAGTACCACTGTGAAACAGATTGAAGGTATCCGAAGCAATACAGCTTCATGCACTATGAATATGCATAGAGCTCTACTCGCAATCGAGGTGGTGAAGGAGTGAAGGAGACATAGAGGAGCGGACATGGTCAATCTCCGTCCCACCCCTCCTGAAATAAACGTACACGTCACCGTTAAATGGTTGATCGCGGCAGCATTCCGACACCTCCACCTTTATCCGTGCGTAAACATCCGCAACTCCTCCCTGACGACTGGGACATGCCGTTCAGGTCATCCATAAGAAGGCTCGACGCGTCGATCCATCCACTCTTTCATCCTCACAACTTGTCTTCTACTCATTGTCTACCTGCCACCTAGCTTTACCTACTACCCCCACCACCACCACCACCACCTCGAGCTACCATGGTAAGTTGCTCTTGTTTTCGCAAGTTTGCCCGTGCCCGCGCGGTCTACTCCCCCACCCGGCCTTCCTTGCCACCTCGTCGCGCTCGTTGCTGACCCCAGCCCCCCAAGTCCGCTGTCGCTTCCAAGGCTCCCGCCTCGCAGGCCTCCAAGGCCCCCGCTGCCGCTTCCAAGGCGCCCGCCAAGGCCGCCAAGACGTCGAGCTCAACCAAGGAGGGCGGCAAGAAGCGCACCAAGAAGCGTGTCGAGTCGTACTCCTCATACATCTACCGTGTCCTGAAGCAGGTGCACCCCGACACTGGTATCTCGTGAGTTGCGCCGACGTGGTCTTCTCTTGTCTCCGCTCGCCGCTTACACTCAGTAACAAGGCGATGGCCATTCTCAACTCGTTTGTCGCCGACATCTTCGAGCGTATTGCCACCGAGGCGTCGAAGCTCGCGTCGTACAACCACCGCAGCACCATCTCGTCTCGAGAGATTCAGACCGCTGTGCGCCTCATCCTTCCCGGAGAGCTCTCCAAGCACGCTATCTCTGAAGGCACCAAGGCCGTTACCAAGTTCTCGTCGTCCAAGTAAGCGGTGTAGAGACCCTTCGCTGCCTTCTGGCCTGTTTTCGCTTTAGCCTCTCCTATTGATGCAGATGTATGTACGATGTGTCTTGTGATGTTGAGACAGGAGTCAAGGCGACGGTGAGTGTAGGGACTAGCTGATCATCCTGGCAAGGAAGGGGAGTCGCGTCGCGCCGCGGGGACTGACTATTACTGATACCTCACGTCTGACCGCCTGCCGCCACTGATACCTCACGTCTGACCGCCTGCCGCCAGCCGCCTGAGAAGTGGGAGCTAGGAATTTCAGCGCGCTATGGGCATGGCTGAAGCTTCAGCAAGGCAGATGCAGGTCTGCACTGAGGGCACTCTGACCAGACATACTCTAATCGCACTTGTCTCTCTCAACGCCGACAGCAGCCCTCAGGCGGACATGGAGACTTCACACGCTGCTGTCGGCACGTGTCTTCTCACGCCGTCCCCCCTAGGGTGCGAGAAGGTGAGAGATGGTGAGGGGCGGAGAGATCACGAGCGCACGCCAAGTCTATAGACGGGTCACGCGTCTGACTGCTGCGCTGTTGCCTATCCCGCGACTCTTCCAACTCTCGGCATCCGCCACTCCGAACTCGATACATGAGGCGCTATCCGCCATCCTACAAGCCAATCAAGGCACACTTATAAACATATGCTAGACCCTCCGGGGCCTAGTGCTTTTCGTCCGGCGCGTCCTCGTGGTCCCACGGCAAGACGAGGTTGAGGAAGACGCCGACGAGCGCGGCGATAAGATACGCCTCCTCGACAACAAGCACGAGGGCCTGGAGGAATCCCTGCAGCGCCTTGTTCTCGCCCTTGTACGTGAAGATGTAGCTGAACCAATCCGGCGAGACGAGGGATGCGAGGCCGAGCGCGAACGCCGCGGTCGCGATGAAGCGGTCGCGGCGCGTCCACTCCGCGAACGCCATAATCCGGATCCCCGAGACGGCGACGGAGCCGAAGAGGAACGTCGTAAAGCCGCCGATGACGGCGGGGGGCGCCGCGACGAAGATCGCCCCGAACTTGCCCACGACACCCATGACGAAGAGGAGGAATGCGCACATGTACCCGCTTTGGCGGGAGGCGTTGCGCGTGAGGGCGATGACGGCCGAGTTCTGCGCAAACGTCGTGAGCGGCGTGATGGTGCACAGGTTCGCGAGGGTCGCGGACACGGCGTCGGCGAGCATGCCGCCCTGCACGCGCGTCATGAAGTCGTCCGTCTCGATGTCGAGGTTCGAGGCCTGCGCGGACGCCGTGATGTTCCCGATGCTTTCGGCGACGATGACGGCCCAGCTCGCGAGCATGGGGAGCACGAGCTGGCCGCGCAGGCCGAGCGGGAACGTGTGGATGAACAGAAACGTGCCGCCGGGCGCGGCGCGGATCACACTCCCGTCGAAATAGCCTGTTGCGGCCGCGATGATCATGCCCGTCACGAAGCCGATGAAGACGGACGCAGACTTCATGAATGCGCTCCCGAAGACTTCGCAGATGACAATAACGGCGAAGCATGAAAAGCCGAGGCCGAGATACTGCGCCGAGCCCCAGGGATGGCTCTGCGAGCCGGACGAGCACAGCAGCGTGTGGTCCGTCATGCATGCGCCTGAGCCGCCGCTGCTGTCAGCCGCCAATTTCCTTGCCTCTTCCCCGCGATGCGACTTACGCCCAGTTCGTGATGCCGGCGGACACGAGCGATGCGCCAATAAAGCAGATCATGGTGCCGATAACGAGGGGCGGGAACGCTTTGCGGATAGTCTTTGGCGGCACGAACGCGAGCGCGATCGCAAAAATACCCGTGAGCGCGCCAGTCCCGAGGATCGCCCCGAACTCGCGGGGGCACGGCAGTCGCGTGCCGTCCTCGGCGGTGGGACAAGTACCGTTGTCGTACGCCTGCGCGAGATACTTGAGTGCGACGTTGGCGAACGTGAACGACGTGCCGACGACGGAGATGAGGCCTGTGCCGAAATAATAGCGTGTGCGGGGGATGCGGTGGCGCGCGATTTGGACGGCCGTGCCGACGGCACACCAGATGAGGCACGCCGAGATGAGGTACTGCTGCACGTCGGGGCCGAGATTCGCGCCGGCGGACCCGCCGAGGAGGAGGGGCGGGACGACGAGGCCGCCGACCATGGCGAGTGCGTGCTGCAGGCCGAGGATGAGTTTGAGGAGGTGCGGGAGGTCGTCGTCGACGCCGTAGAACGGGAGCGAGCGCGCGCGGCACACCCACGGGATGTTCGGGATGAAGAGCGACGCGTAGTCCTGCCGTCAGCGCGAAGGGGACGGACGCACATAGTCCCCGAACCACGCGTGTTTCGACACGAGGCTGCGCGCGACGCGCGCAGGCGCGAACCGCCGCCGCGGCGTGTGCCCCAAGCTGCCGTCCGGCAGCTCGATCGCGATGGCCGTCGATGCTTCTTTCGAGTCGTTGTCTGACATTGTGGATGGTGGTATGGGAGTGTCGCGGCGGCATATATACCCGTGGCTAGCTGATAGCGCTCACTTCGCAGCCGGCAAAGTTATGGAATGAGGTGCTTATCGCCAGGAACGCACAGGGTCTGATACGCCGAGCCTGCGCCACCGTCACATGGTGCACGCTGCTCGGCCAGCGGTTGGGCGACTGCGGGGTTCACGGCCCCTTAGAGGCTCTGCGGGCCGTGGGAGGCTCGGTGGTGGGCGGCCCCGCTATCACGGCCGAGTTGGCTGGCGTAAGCCATCTCCGGTCTCGTCGGCGATGGAGGTGTGCGAAGCTGCCCCGATCGCATCGTATCCTGCTTTCGGAGGGCCGATGATTGCGGCGAGTGCAGCTGTGAGCGCGAGATCCGTGCAACGCCGACAGTCACAGGAGGAGGAAGAGGTAGAAGGGCCGGGCGAATGGTGGTTGTCAGTGCTGGCGAGTGGTGTACGGCAGCTCAGGCTGACGTGAGCATCCCAGACTGTCTGCCACACAGTGTCACAAGCTCCACTGATGAAGGAGAGAGACCACAATTGAGGCACAAACACCCCCCGCGAGCACCGCCTTGTATCTCCTCCGGATCATCCCATCGACAATTATGCAGCTGCAGTTAGCCTCGAAAAGTGACACTCCAGCGGAGACCCCACCGCCCCACGACCCGCCCAAGACGCCACCACACCACATGCGCACGGAACAGCTCGCTCTGGCTTCGGCTTCCGCCAACATCCCCTGAGCGGCGCCCGACTACCCCGGAGAAGGGCAAAATAGTTGTATCTCTCCTCTCGGCAAGAATGACGCTTGTGTGGATTGAACACACGACCGAACGAATGGGACTACTAAAGCTTCACTCGCTCGCTCTCCCACTGAGCTAAAGCGTCTGGAAGAGGGAGGGGGAGGGCCAGATAAGTCCCGCGGCCCGATTGCCGCTTATTCTTAGTTTCGGCAGTCTGGAGCAGATCGACCACGATGACGCTCGATCGCCAAGACATAACATAGGTGTCCCACTCCCGCATCGGCGAGCCGGCAGAGCTGGCATCAGCTTGTCTCACCCTCCGCGCTCATTTTACACCTCCCGCTGATGGATCGCCACGCTATGCGCTCGCCTTGTCGTACATAACCTGGTAGCATAATTAATGTATAGTACAAACTCACACCCTCCAAGAGACCGTGACACACACAAGTGTGCACATATTAGCTAGATGTCCTCTGCAATCGAGTCGAGGACGTCGTACATGACCGTCCGCGAGCTCATGAGGTTGTGCCCCTCCTCCTGGACGACGATGAGCTCGGCGTCCATCGCGCGCTCCATCCACCGCATGCTCTTCTCGCTCACGCGCTCGTCCTCGGCGCCGTACCAGATCTTGCACGGGTGCCGGATATCCGTGTAGCTGAATCCCCAGGGCTTGGCGTCGCGCCCGAGCACGACGGATAGCAGGTCCGCCGTCGTGCCGGAGAGCGACTCGGCGTGGTTGGCTTGCACGAGAGCGTGCGCGAACGCGGGCGACGCCGTGATCGGCGACACGGATGGCTCGTACTTGCCCGGCAGGGCATGCGAGAGGTCGTCCGAGAACCCGTCGAGGCTGTCGGCGGCGCGCAGGTCGCTCACAGACGAGCGCGAGCGCATCCCGTCCGTGTTGAGTGAGGTCGAAGACGCGTCGCCCTCCCTTCTCCCTGACCCATTTGTCCGGCCGTTCGCCTTGCCGTTCGCTTTGAGCGATGGTGCCTTGCCGAGAAAGTACGACTCGAGGCGCCATTCGGCCGCGAGCGCCGACTTGATCACGCCGTTTGGGACCCATTTGAGCCACTTGTAGCCTGCACGTCAGCTGCCGTTCACACGTCTCAGCTCACCTTCCACATCGCCGCCGACCCATGGGGACATGAGATGAATCTTGCCATGGATGCGGCGCTCCATCTTGAGCGCGGTCGCGAGCGCATACGGCGCCCCGGCACTGTGTGCGACCATCTGGAAGCGGTTGATGCCCAACTCGTCCAGCACCTGTCGCACCACATCCGCCCAGTCGAGCAACCCGCGGCGGTCCTGCGGCACCTGGTCTGTCTTGCCCAGGCCCCAGCGGTCGATGCAGATAAGTCGCAGGCCGAGCGCACGCGCCAGGTCGTCGTAGAGCGCAACAAGGTAGCGGACCGATCCCAGACCGAGGAAGACGACCACAGGACGCCCGTCTGGTTTTCCCAGGTCGGCGAAAGACACCTGCAACGGGCGTTCGGGGAATGGCCGAGGGAGGTGCATGATGCGATTCAGTTGTGGAGAGCGCAGGTACATTGCAATCTCCCGGGCGTCGTCGTCGGACGTGTTCGGCCGCGGAGACGCCGAGTTGGGGCGCAGCAGCGAGGTAGCGGACCGCTGTCTCGACAGCGGGTCTGGGTCAGGACTGTGCAGGTTGCGCTCGCGGCTATGCGCGGCCCGGGGCGAGTGATCAGGCGTGGGGCCGAAAATGTTGCTGCGTATAGGGGTGGGAGGGTGGATGACGGGAGGTGGGGTGGCGCTGGACGCACCAAGTTCCTTGGCGGCCAATTGGTCGTAGGCTGCTTGTGCCAGTCGAAAGTCACGGACAACGCTGTCCGCGTCTGACGAGTTGAACGATCCCAGCGATCCTCTGCTGGGTTCACGACTGTGGAGGTATCGCTGCTGCTTGGGCGGTAAAGGCGGAGGCGGGGCTTCCTGATCGACGTAGTCGTAGGCTTCGTCGTCAATATCCGAAGGTTCTTCCCTAACAGGAGGTTGAATCGGCTTGGGCCGTCGAGTTGGCTTGGGAGGTGGGGCGACCACGCCAGGTTTCGTAGCAAGTTCTAACCTTGCGCGATCCTTGACGTGCTCCTGCGCCAAAGTGAGGGCAGATGAATGCCTTCTAACGATGTCGTTGATCGACTGCACTGGCGTGCGAGCGCTGGAAGTGGTGGACGAGGAAGGTGAGGCGGGGGTTGACGATGTCGCGCCCACGAGCGCGACCGAAGCAGGTGGTGGTGGTTTGCCGGTGATGGGGCGCGGCCGTTGACGAGGAGTCCCGTTCGGCTGCGGAGTTGGGGAGCTGGCGGTGGAGCTGGGGCCAGCTGGTGGCGAGTCTGAGATGGCGGCGAGGGGAAGCGGGGTCGTATGTGAGCGCGAAACTGTTCGCGGCCGAGGTGGTGGCCGCAGCGATTCGGGTGTCAAGCCTTGCCGGCGTCGCCTCCTCTCTTCTGGGTCGAGCTCGACAGCAGACTGTCTGCGGACGGGTGTGGCCACCTCGAGAATGTCTGGGATTTGAGCTGACGATGAAGCGGCAACTGTCAGAGGGCGCCCTATTTCGAAGGCGCGTCGCTCCTCCTCGTTGTCGGCCTCGAGGCCCATGAGCGCCTGCTCGCCATAGACACTCGATCTGGACCGAACCCATGCCCAGGTCCGTTCGATCGACTTGACTCTGCGCGTTGGACGGCGCGTCGCTCCGGGTGGACCTAACCCCTCGAGCAAGTCGAGATGGTTGTCCATCTCTGACGCTGACATGTCGACGACGGCAGCTGCGCCGGAGCTGGTGCTTGCGGAGAGGCTGGCGAGGCTAGCAAAGCCACTTGCGCTCGAGCCCGTAGCCGAAGGAGGCCCGGGCGCAGGGCTGGTAACTGGGCTGAGCTGGAGGGGAAGTGGTGGGGTTGTGGGAGGGGTAGCGAGCGTGTTGCGGTAATGTGCCGGGCGCCTCGGAGGCGGCAGAGACCTGCTCATGTCTTGAGGGCCTCAAGACCTGGCCTCGCGGGCAGAAATAGGGTGGCCAAAACACGGACACGAGGTGGGTGCGGGGGGGGGGGGGGGGGGGGGGGGGGGGGGGGGGGGGAGCGGGAGAGATGTTGAGGGGCGTGGGGTTGAGGGGTGGGAGGGTGATGGGAGGGGTGAAAAAGATGGATGGCGAGTTGGGACGGAGAGTGAGGGTGGTGTTGAGGTGGGAGAGATGAGATTATGATGGGATGGAATGGAACAATCGTTGCGAGGTCGTCAAGAACTGGAGTGGTGGGGAGGAGAGAGTGAGTGATGGAGTGCTGGAGTGCTGGAGTGAAGGAGGGAAGGAGTGAGCTGTGGTGGGTGGGTTGGACGCGACGGGTGGTGGGAGGATCAAGCTGACACGCGAGAGGGCAGAGGGAGGGAGCACACTGTGATCTGTGAATTATCGCCTCCCCCGGTGAGCCAAAGGTGAGTCCAAGGTGAGTAAGGCAGGGGAGGAGAGGATGACAGGGTGTGAGGGGGTGGCGGAGACAAGGGAAGAAAGGGGCGGAGGAGGAAAGCCACTCACTCAATCATCACCCAAAACCTCGAGTTCCAGGGTTACCTTTGGCTTGAAGGATGTACGGCACCAGGGTCAGACTTGCTCCTGCAGTGTTCCACCGGCCACCGTACGATATGACCACCGTAGCTACTCTTCTGCCTGCCAATGCTGCTGCTGGCTGCTGGCTGCTCCGCTGCTCCGTGCTTGCTGGGCGGTGCCTGCCAATTCAATACGGGATCCATCATTTCATCGTCGCTGCCACACTCCACACTCTGCCGTAGCCACACCCGCTCGGCTGACCGCTTGGGCCTGTGTATCCTCACCGCCACATGTTTTTAAAACCTCGACGACTGCAAGGCCCCACAACAATTCCCACAAGCTTGTTGACAACCAAGGCCTTGAGTGAGTGAAATGCCGCCGGGAATGATTTAGAGTCTGCAATGTACCGAAAGCCCGTGGACTGACCCAGAACGCTTCAGTCACGCCAACACTGACTAGGGAGCCCATACTCGCTCCGCACCAGGCAGCTAGGCGGATTGCTAGAACTCCGTCATCGTGTACTCGCGGCCGATGGCCAGTGCGTCGACGGTGCCCAGGAGCAGCGAGTGCATGATGAGAATGCAAGTGCAAGGCAGAAAGCACTAAGGTTAAAGACTCGCAAAGAGGAAACGAAAGGAAATCAAAGGGTCCGGCACGATTCCTGCCTTCCGAGTGCCTGTGCCAAATGGACATGCCTGGCAGGTGTTTGGGAACGGCACTGCCGCGATTCAGTGTCCCATCATGCATTCCTACGATATACTGTACGATACTCATGCAGTCAGAGGTCGCTCATCCGGATGTCAGTCTGGGTCAGTAGCTTTATGTACGGTACAACTGCATGTGCACGCTCGCGACGTGTCAAGTCACCTCCTCGCGCTCCTCGCCTCCAACACCTCGCGCAAACTCAAACTCGCTCTCGTGACATGAAACGTGACACGACGCGTCGCGACACGCGTCCTGACGGCCGACGGACAGACCAGCGTCGGCATCCTGCGTCCTGCATCCACTGTGCACTCCTGACGCCTCTCCGATTCTCCAAGCGCCAATCGCAGGATCGCAGGATCGCAGGCTGCCACGCGTGGGGCGTCGGGAGTGGGCCGTGTACGCCGTGTGCAACGACGTCGACGGATGATGGGCATCCCGCATCGCGGCATGCGGCACGCGGCACGCGGCAAGCGGCATCGCGATGCATCACTCGCGTACTCGCAGTCACCATGGAATGCCGGTGCTTCGTGAGATCTGGCTGTGCGCTGAAACGATGGATCTGCCCACTTTGTCTGCGTTCCGGATGCCCACTCGTTTGAAGTTTGAAGCATAATGGATTATGGTGTCAGGCATGTCAGGGCCGGACGCGTCGGGGGGTGAGGGTGGGCGTGTGCGTGATCGAATAGCGCGAATGGGCATGTATGGGCGAGTGGGTGAAGGAGGGAGCGATGCGGAGGGCACGTTCCACTGACTCACGGCCTCACGGCCCACGGACGTTTGGAGAGCTGGAGCTTGGTTGGCATGGTTGGCCTGTGAGTGTGGGTCATGGCCAGCCGCTGCCGTCGCAGCAAACTACACAGTATAGCTTTGACGCGTCGTACACAGTGTGACAGGGGAGGAGTCAGTGACGGAAGATTGGAGGACGGTGTACTGTAGTAGTTTATAGCCTAGCGGCTGCACACATGCCACACACACCGGCACACCGGCAATGGCATCTCTTATCTTTGATATTTGCAGGCACCATGGCCGGCCCGGTTGCCACGCAAGTACGCAAGTATAATGACTTGATCCGATCACACGATCATGCGATCAAGCTAGTTTGGGCTCCGTGCTCCAATCCCCGGCATGCCCGGCATGCGGCAGAGTAAGAAGCAAGAGAGCGCCCAGGCCAACAAGCCACAGGTGGGACATGTCCCCGCGGACATCCGCCCAGCGGCGCATGCTAGATGAACTTGGACGCTCGGGGCGTCGGAGACAGCCGATCCGAGGCGGAGAGTGAGCCACAACTCGGTGAGGACGCCGACCGACTTCCGCGTCCTCCCGACATGCGACGACCAGCGGAGGGGTGTTACCGGTGTCAAGTGCGAGCTGGAGATGCTGGCACGTGGGGTGAGTGCCAGTGGTGGTCGGCACAGAATAGAGAGATTACCGGGTCTGCGGAAAGTCGGGTAAGTGATTTGTCGAGGACCGGAGCGGCGATGAATCGGACCGAAGCTCACTGGCTTGCAGGCTGACCTCCACCCACCCACCCACCCACCCGACAGCCCGATCACCCTGCCGATCACGCCCCGCTCGAGCCAATTATCAACTGCGCACACACGCCACACACCGCTCAGACGCATCAGACAGCTGATCATAGAATAGAAATTTTTCTACTTCCGCACGGCGGGCCATGTGACGCTTGCCCGCTCCGCCGCTAGCTTCCACCTGGGCTAATTGAATGGATCTGCGAGCGCGTCTACATTCCGAATGCAAGCGGGCCACAAGCGAGGTGGATGAGACGTGAGACGCGAGACGCCATGATCAGGACTCGCAGAGCGACGAGTGCGATCCGTTCCGTCGCTCGTCAGGAGATGGAGGCCTACGGTGGTGGTGGTGGCGTGGTGGGCCCCGGCAATGATTGGGGCGCGATAAGCAAGTTGTGTGCGATGGCGGGGGAGGGACCAATCACAGGCAGTGCCTTATGGCAAACCACTGACGTCTGGAGTAGGCGGTCAGGGAAAAATCCGACCCAGGATGGAATGGGCCGCCGGGGTTGAGCATCTCATCTCCCACCGTGGGTGCCTCCGTCCGCCTACGAGACAAAGCACCCGCTCACAATAGCCGCCGTCAGTTGCCCGCGTCGACCGCGTCCCAATCGCCATCTCCTCACTGGCCCAGTACCCCCCCCTACCCAGCCCCCCCCCCCCCCCCCCCCCGCCCCCGCCATCGCATTCACTCTCCCATTATTCTTACACGCTATCTCCTCTTCTCATTCACCCATCTCATACCAATCTACAAACTACTCGTGCACGGCCGGCAGTCCCCGTCCCCCACTTCTACAGTAGACAGCTAGCACTCTCTCTAACTTATCGAGGAGGCACACGCGCCTCTGCAAGTCTACCTCGCATCAAGTGAGTACGTCGTCACTGCTGCTCCCCCCGCAGCGCGATAAGCACTCTCCACAACCCCCAGATTCCCACTCATCCCAGCGCTCTAGCCCTCACACCATAGAATGTGTGGTGTCGGCTTCATCTGCCACATCAAGGGCCATGGCAACCACAAGATCGTGAGCGATGCTCGCAGCATCCTCTGCAACATGACGCACCGCGGCGCCAGTACGTCCCGATAAGGCCTTGTGGATGGAAACTAACGGTCCAGCCGGCGCCGACGCGCGCGATGGCGACGGTGCAGGCGTCATGACCGGTATTCCGCACGAGTTCTTCGTCCGCGAGGCTCCCCACTCGTTTGCTGCCGAGATCCCCGCCGAGGGCACGTATGCCGTCGGCAACGTGTTCCTCTCACAGTCCGGTTACGAGGCCCAGCAGCTCGAGTTTGAGGAGACGGCCCGCGGGCTCGGTCTCCGCACCCTCGGCTGGCGCCACGTTCCGACCGACAATTCCATCCTTGGCCCCGCCGCCAAGGGCCGCGAGCCCCGTATCATGCAGCCCTTTGTTGTGCTGCAAGACTACTACGGCGACGGTGTCAAGTGCGCCGGCGGCAACTACGACGAGCGCTACTTCCTGCGCCAGCTCTACGTGCTCCGCAAGAAGGCGACGCACAAGATCGGCCTCAAGTCGGGCTTTTACATCTGCTCCCTTACCCCGAGCAACATTGTGTACAAGGGCCAGCTCTCCCCCGTCCAGGTCTACAACTACTACCACGACCTCAACCACGCGCTCTACAAGTCGCACTTTGCGTTGGTGCACTCGCGCTTCTCTACCAACACCTTCCCTTCATGGGACCGCGCGCAGCCCATGCGCTGGGCCGCCCACAACGGTGAGATCAACACGGTTCGCGGCAACAAGAACTGGATGCGTGCCCGCGAGGGCCACCTCAAGTCGGAGCACTTTGGCAAGGAGCTCGAGCAGCTGTACCCGATCGTTGAGGATGGCGGCTCGGACTCGGCCGCGTTCGACAACGTCCTCGAGCTGCTTGTTGTCAACGGCGTCCTTACCCTCCCCGAGGCCGTCATGATGATGGTCCCCGAGGCATGGCAGAACAATGACCTTATGGAACCCGAAAAGAAGGCATTCTACAACTGGGCAGGCTCCCTTATGGAGCCGTGGGACGGCCCCGCCCTCTTCACCTTCTCCGACGGCCGCTTCTGCGGCGCCAACCTCGACCGTAACGGACTGCGTCCGTGCCGCTACGTCGTCACCTCTGACGACATCATGGTGTGCGCTTCCGAGGTCGGCACCATCAGCCTTGACCCCGAGCGCATTGTGCAGAAGGGCCGCCTCAAGCCCGGCCGTATGTTGCTGGTCGACACCAAGGAGGGGCGTATTGTCGACGACCGCGAGCTCAAGCTCAACACGGCCAAGCGCCAGCCTTTCGAGGCCTGGATTCAGAGCCAGGTCATGACGCTGCCTGACGTCGTGCGCCGCGTCCAGCGCCGCCTGGACATTGCCCCCAAGTTGGACACCACCACACTCTCCAACGACCCCAAGCTGCTCGCGTTCGGCTACTCGCTCGAGTCGCTCAGCATGCTCATGCTCCCCATGGTGCAGGAGGGTCACGAGGCGCTCGGCTCGATGGGTAACGACGCCGCGCTCGCGTGCGTCTCCCAGACGCCCCACAACGTCTACGACTACTTCCGTCAGCTGTTCGCTCAGGTCACCAACCCGCCCATCGACCCAATCCGCGAGGCCATCGTCATGTCCCTTGAAACGCTCGTCGGCCCCGAGGGCAACCTCCTCGAGATGAACGCAAAGCAGGCACACCGCCTGCGTCTCAAGTCTCCCATTCTCACCATCGAGGAGATGAACGCGATTAAGAACTACACCGAGGCGTTCTCGGACTGGCCCACCCTTACCATCGACATCACCTTCCCCAAGGGCGAGGGTCTCCCCGGCTTCCGTACCGCTCTTGAGCGCGTTCGCGCTGAGGCGCTCGACGCGGTGAACAATGGCTACAAGATTGTCATCCTCTCGGACCGCAACACGAGCCCTGACCGTGTCGCGCTCTCGGCGCTGCTTGCCACCGGTGGTGTCCACCACTACCTTGTCAAGCAGAAGAAGCGTTCGGACGTCGCCATCATGGTCGACACGGCCGAGGCGCGCGAGGTGCACCACATGTGTGTCCTCACCGGCTACGGTGCCGACGCCATTTGCCCCTGGCTCGTCATGGAGATGATCTACAAGATCGAGCGCGAGGGCATGGCCAAGGACGGCCAGAGCGCTGAGCAGCTCATTGAGAACTACATCAAGGCGCTCGACGAGGGCATCCTCAAGGTACTCTCGAAGATGGGTGTCTCGACCCTCGCGTCTTACAAGGGTGCACAGCTCTTCGAGGCCCTCGGCATCCACGAGGAGGTCATTGACGAGTGCTTCGTCGGCACCGCCTCGCGCGTGCAAGGCGCGACGTTCGAGCTCTTGGCCATGGACTCGTTCGAGTTCCACGAGCGCGCGTGGCCTTCGCGTTCGACCGTCCGCATCCCCGGTCTGCCCGAGTCGGGTGAATACCACTACCGCAACGGTGCTGAGCTGCGCATTAACGAGCCCATCTCCATCGCGAACCTCCAGGACGCGGTGCGTGAGAAGAACCAAAAGGCGTACGACACGTACGCCAAGAACAGCCACGAGTCGATTAAGCGCGCCACCCTCCGTGGCATGCTCGACTTTGCGTTTGACGAGGCCAAGAGCGTGCCCATTGACCAGGTAGAGCCGTGGAACGAGATCGTGCGCCGCTGCGTCACCGGCGCCATGTCGTACGGCTCCATCTCGATGGAGTCGCACACCACGCTCGCCATCGCCATGAACCGTCTCGGCGGCAAATCCAACACCGGCGAGGGTGGCGAGGACGCCGAGCGCTCCATTCCCATCCCTGGTCCGGGCAAGTCGACGGGCGAGGGCCCCTACCGCCACGCCATGGAGCTGCAGCCCGAGTGGGACTCGCGGCGCTCGGCAATTAAGCAGGTCGCTTCGGGCCGTTTCGGAGTGACCTCCAACTACCTCGCCGATGCGGACGAACTGCAGATCAAGATGGCGCAGGGTGCCAAGCCCGGAGAGGGCGGTGAGCTGCCCGGCCACAAGGTGTCGCAGTCGATCGGCAAGACGCGTCACTCGACGCCGGGCGTCACTCTCGTATCGCCTCCGCCGCACCACGACATTTACTCGATTGAGGACCTGAAGCAGCTCATCTACGACCTCAAGTCGTCGAACCCGCGTGCGCGCGTGAGCGTCAAGCTTGTGTCTGAGGTCGGCGTTGGCATCGTCGCCTCCGGTGTTGCCAAGGCCAAGGCCGACCACATCACCATCTCGGGCCACGACGGCGGCACTGGTGCCGCCAAGTGGACTTCGATCAAGTACGCTGGTCTGCCGTGGGAGCTGGGTCTCGCCGAGACGCACCAGACGCTCGTGCTCAACGACCTCCGTGGCCGCGTCACCGTCCAGACCGACGGCCAGATCCGTACCGGCCGCGACATTGCCATTGCGACGCTTCTCGGTGCGGAGGAGTGGGGCTTCGCCACCACCCCGCTCATCGCCATGGGTTGCATCATGATGAAGGCATGCCACAAGAACACCTGCCCCGTCGGTATTGCGACGCAGGACCCGGCGCTCCGGGCGAAGTTTGCTGGCCAGCCCGAGCAGGTCATCAACTTCTTCTACTACATCATCGAGGAGCTGCGTGTCATCATGGCCCGTCTTGGTATCCGTACTATCAACGAGATGATCGGCCGTGCCGACCTCCTCCGCGTCGACGAGAGCTTGCGCACCCCCAAGACGCAGCACCTCGACCTCGGCGCAATTGTGAAGCCCGCCCACCTGCTCCGCAAGGACGTCGCGACTCACCGCGTCCGCCAGCAGGACCACAAGCTCTACGTGCGCCTCGACAACAAGTTCATCGACGAGGCTGAGCCGGCCCTCACCAAGGGCCTGCCCGTCGAGATCGACTGCGACGTCGTCAACACCGACCGTGCGCTCGGCACGACGCTCTCGTACCATGTCTCGAAGCGGTACGGTGAGGCCGGTCTGCCGCGCGACACCATCCGCATCAACATGAAGGGTTCGGCCGGTCAGTCGCTCGGCGCGTTCCTCGCCCCCGGTGTCACCATCGAGCTCGAGGGTGACGCCAACGACTACGTCGGCAAGGGCCTCTCCGGCGGTCGCCTCATTGCGTACCCGCCCAAGAAGTCGAGCTTTAAGGCTGAGGAGAACATCATCATCGGCAATGTGTGCTTCTTCGGCGCGACTAGCGGCCAGGCATTCATCCGCGGCATTGCCGCCGAGCGCTTCGCCGTGCGTAACTCGGGTGCCACCCTGGTCGTTGAGGGCACCGGCGACCACGGATGCGAGTACATGACTGGCGGCCGTGTCGTCGTTCTCGGCCTCACTGGCCGCAACTTCGCCGCCGGTATGTCGGGCGGTATCGCGTACGTGCTCGACATGAGCCACTCGCTCGCGCCCAAGGTCAACATGGGTACAGTCGAGCTAGGCAAGGTCTCCGACCCGCACGAGATCGCTGAGCTGCGCTCGCTCATCGAGGAGCACCGCCACTACACGGGCTCTGAGATGGCTGACCGCGTCCTGCGCAACTTCCACCACATGCTGCCCATGTTCGTGCGCGTCATGCCGCTCGACTACAAGCGCGTGCTGGAGGAGCAGGCCGCTGCCGCCGCCGAGGCCAAGCGCAAGATGACCAACATCGACCTGATTCCGTCGCAGACCGCGTCGCAGGTCGACCTCGTTGCTACCGGCTTCGACCCCGTGCTTCCCCGCAGCATGAGCAGCATGGCGATTACGCCGCGCGCGACGGCGCCGTCCAGCCCGCGCCCGCAGGAACCGGCGCTGCTCGACATGGAGGACTCCATGATTGACGAGGACCTGGCTAAGAACCGTGCGGCCAAGCTCGACAAGACCCGTGGCTTCATGAAGTACAAGCGCCTGAACGAGGCGTACCGCCCGCCGCGCAAGCGTGTCAAGGACTGGAAGGAGATCAGCGCGGCGCTCACCAAGGCCGAGGTCACACAGCAGACTGCGCGCTGCATGGACTGCGGTATCCCCTTCTGCCAGAGTGCAGGCTACGGATGCCCGATCGCCAACGTCATCCCCAAGTTTAACCAGCTTGTGTTCGACGACAAGATCAAGGACGCCTTCTACCGTCTTCGCCTCACCAACCCCTTCCCCGAGTTCACAGGTCGCGTGTGCCCCGCGCCATGTGAGAGCGCATGTGTTCTCGGCATCAACGAGGCGCCGGTCGGTATCAAGTCGGTCGAGCGCTGGATCGCCGACCAGGGTTGGAAGAACGGGTGGATGGTCCCCGCCATTCCCGAGGTGCGCACCGGCTACAAGGTTGCGGTTATCGGCGCCGGCCCCGCTGGCCTCGCTGCCGCCGACCAGCTCAACAAGGCCGGACACACCGTCACCGTGTACGACCGCAACGACCGCATCGGTGGTCTGCTCATGTACGGCATCCCCAACATGAAGCTGGACAAGGAGCTGGTTCAGAAGCGCGTGGACCTTATGGCGGCTGAGGGCGTCAAGTTTGTGACGGGCGCGCACGTCGGTGTCAACCTCGACGCGCTCGACATCAAGGCGGAGAACGACGCCGTTCTCGTCTCGACGGGTGCGACGTGGCCGCGCGATCTCAAGGCGCCGGGCCGCGACGCCAAGAAGGGCATCTACTTCGCCATGGACTACCTCCAGGCAAACACCAAGTCGCTCCTCGACTCGAAGCTGGAGGACGGCCACTTCCTGAATGCCAAGGGCCTCGACGTCGTGGTCATCGGCGGAGGAGACACTGGTAACGATTGCATTGGCACGGCGATGCGCCACGGCGCCAAGAGCGTGACCAACTTCGAGCTTCTCCCCGAACCCCCCGTGAGCCGGCCGGCGGACCAGCCATGGCCCACGATGGCACGCCTGAAGAAGAACGACTACGGACACCAGGAGGTCATGGCGCACACGCACCGCGACCCCCGCGAGTTCTGCATCTCGACCAAGCGCTTCGTGCTCGACGATGCGGGCGCGCTTGCCGGCATCGAGACTGTGCGCGTCGAGTGGACTAGCTCGGGCGGCCAGTGGAAGATGGAGGAGGTCAAGGGCAGCGAGGAGTTCTTCCCGTGCCAGATGGCGCTGCTGGCGCTCGGCTTCCTCGGCCCCCAGAAGGAGCTCGTGGATGCGCTCAGCCTCACCACCGACCCGCGCTCTAACATCCGCACGCCGGAGGGCAAGTACGACACGAACGTCCCGGGCGTCTTTGCTGCAGGCGACTGCAGGCGTGGGTGAGTCATTTGAGGGGGCTATGAGTTTCAGAGGATATGTCCGGTGAAGGATGGGAAGCCGTCCATCGCTTATATCCCTGCATCCATCCACATCTGCCTCCGACCACATGAGTATAGAGCACCAGCTAACGCAACAGTCAAAGCCTTGTCGTCTGGGGCATCCGCGAAGGACGCGGCGCGGCAGAGGAGATCGACCGCTTCCTGATGGGCGACACGCGCCTGGCGCACCAGGGCGGCCTGCCCGTGCGCTCGTGGGTTCCGCCGCGCGTGACATGCGGCTCAGGGTGCCAGGGCGGAGAGTGTGCCAACGGCAACGGCAAGAGCGAGTGTGACGAGGATCTGAAGACCGAGGTCGGGGACGACGACGAGGAAAAGCCGTGGGCTAACGGCAACGGCGCGGTCGCGGTCGAGGCGTAGGTCAGCATTGGTTGTAGAAGTCAAACTTGAATGTAGTGATATCTCTATGGGGTGGGGCGGGGCTATGTGGGAGTCGAGCAGGTCCTCCAGCGCAAATGACAATGATTGACGCCGTTTTGGGCTGTGAGCTGGAGGGCTGTGAACACTTCAATGTCTGCACAGACTTACGCTTGTTGTGCGTCGCAACGCTCACCTTGGCTGCTGCATTGCCACCATCCCACTGACGACCAAGCGCCCCATCGTGTCTACTCGCATGTCGCTTCTCTCGATCCTCTTCTGACGATGGCTGTATTCACAGCATCGCTAGCGATCTGGTTACGAGTGACACAGGTCATGTCTCGACCCAGGCACATCACAACAACCATCACAGGCGTCCGGCCCGCAGAGAATCATAGTCGGCCCATCGCGTCTTGTCATAACCACGTGATCCTTCTGCCGAGTACTCGATCGGCCTCAACTCCCTCCTCCATCCATAAGACCGTTTCGGCCTTAGGCCATAAGATGACGAGAGCTTGTGGAAAGTAGACGCCATAATAAACTGACATGCCAATGATACAGTACAACACTACTCCTCCTCGCTGTCCGCCGCAAAAATGTCGTTCTCCTTGAACATTGCCCTGGCGTCAGTCTCGTCATGCAGAGCCTGGGCCGACTCACGCTGCAGACTTGGGACGCTTCGCGGGCCGTCCATTCTGCTTCGCGGGCGAGTGTTGGTGCTGCACTTCGACCTTATCGGAGAACGACACCTCCTTCTTCAACTCCGGGCTTGGCTCCTTGCTTCCCGACTTGCCTCCCTGCTCTTTGGGACTTGCTGCTCCCGGGCGCTTGCGCTTGGCCTTAGCAGCCTCATCTTTGCGGCCCCACTTCTTCTCGTTCCAAGGCCTGTACTTGTCCTTGAGCACCTGCCGTTAGTTGATCACGCTCGCCACTTCAGCTCACCTTGACGTTCATCACAAGCTCGGTGGGCCGCCAAATACTCGAGCGCACACCTGACGAGTGCTTCGAGTCAATCCTAAGCGCTGTGTAGAGGTCGCTTTTGCAGGCACTGGCCTCGATGCCATGGTCCTCGAGCAGCGACACGAGCACCTTCGTCATCATGTCCTTGTCGTAGACGTTGTCAACATAAATGATCACCACATGCGTGCCCATGGTACCGGCTTCGGGGTCACGCGTGGCGACCTTTGCGGTGGTCACGCCCAAATCGTGCAGTGGGCCATACGCAACGGACTTTGCCACTCTCGCCCATATGGCGTCGACGTTCTCGGGCCGGGAAAACGACATCCTGTGGTCAGCTACCTCTGGGCCAGACGCACCATTTCCCATGCGTGTAGCCCGTCTCGAGTGAGATATCTTTCAGCGCGTCCGCTGCCTTCTGCTGGGCCTGTGGTCAGCCAGAAACGGAGGCCACTCACCTCCTCACGCGCCTGCTTCTTGTTTAGACCGCCTTTTTTACCACGGACCGGGATGTTGGGGTCTTTCCCAATCTCTATCAGCCGTTTGTAAGTCTCGTCCAGAACAACGGCTCCTTTCGCGACCGCCTCCGTCTGAGCGCCGGTCTCAGCTTCCGGGTCGACTCTGGCGTCACTGGTGCCAATCCAAATCCACTGAGTGTGAGCAGACTCCGATGCGGCGCATAAGGGACAGTATCACGCCCGCATACACGTTCTGATGGCAATAGACACTTACTGGCGCGTCGCCCTGGTCCAGGATGGAAGGCGTGTACTGGGGTCAGCGGACATCTGGAGACACTTCCTCACCTTCTTAAGGAAGTCGTCGATGGATACGCCACTCGACGGCGTCCAGTAGTACTGCGTAAGGTCTCCCATCTCAACTGGATCAAACTGGTGAGGTCGTGAGGGCAATGTTGTGGTGAAGATGTTGAGGAAGGGGCTGGACGCGTCCCCGCGCTCCCCGCGTCGCGTGAAGGTGAGTGGACCAACACATCTCACCTCCACCTCCACTTCATCTCAGAATGACGCTTTCACAATCAGACCACATTTGCTCCCGCTCTCGAGTCGACCCGAGGAGTGAACGTCATGGGCTTGAATTGCCAGAGACCAACCTCACCACTTCTCTCGTCAGCAACTTCTGCACTGCACACACGAACCTCGCACCATGGGCCGGGGACAAGTGACCATGGGCAAAAAGTCCTCCTCAGCATCCGCTGCGACGCGCAAGAAGCATGCTCGCAAGGCCGGCAAGGACGAAGACGAGGTTTCCACCGCAAAGCCTCAACGCGGCCAGAAGCGCGGAACAGACGGCAAGAAGCTATCCAAGAAGGAGCGCAAAGCGCTAGCAAAGATCAAGCAGTACATCCCCCCACCGAAGCCGCCTGCACCCCCAATCCCCGATCCGCTTGACGGGCAGGGCCTCGCACGCTCCCTGCCTGCGGAGCTCGTCGTCGTACTCCGGCGGCTTGGGAAGAAGGACGATGTAACGCGGCGGAAGGGACTCGACGAACTTCGCGAGCAGTGGGTCACCCCATTGCTTGAGGAAGGAGGTGGTGAGGAAGCGACGACGCAGCGCGATATCACTGCTGCGGCAGTGGAGGCAGCGCTGCCTGTGTGGCTGCATAACCTCGCGAGCCTGCTGCAGTCCCCCTCTCATCGCACCCAGGCCCTCGCCCTGCACAGTGACCTACTTGCCCTTCCCCACCTCCGAGGTATTATCCTCGACACCCTTGCTGGCGGATACCTCCCGGGCACGCAGGACCGGGATATCATCGGCTCTTGGCTGGTGGCGGCGCTCGAGGAGGGTCGCCGTGCCGGTGGCAAGGCGTTGGCCGTTTGGGACTCGGTCGCGCGCTTTGATCCGCCAGTCGTACACGAAGGCGTGCCAACTTCACAACTCGATCTTGTGCCCCACCTCTCGGCGCTCGCTGAGTACTTCTCCCTCGCGACGCTTGACCCTCAAACACTGCATCGCGACATCCACCCCGCACCCGTGCAAGTGGCCTTCGAGAAGGAGAGACCGCCCACCAAGGGGAAGAAGGGCGCGCAGCCCAAGAGCAGAGCTTCTCCTGTTCCAACGCCCACTCCACCCGTCGAGGAAGACGCCGAGGTTGCGGAAGAGCGCTGGGCGCGGTACCGCGTTGGTGGGTTGGTGGGCCTGGCGTGGATGGTGTCGAAGCTGCCAAGCGCCAACTTTGAACGACCACCAGAGAAGTTCGCTGCACTGCTCAACAACCCTGTGTTGTGGAGCGCTCTGGGCACTGCCGTTGCCGTGCCCGACGTCACACCGATCGGGAGCCAGCCACCTATACGGAGGGCAGCGTACAACCTTCTCTCCACACTCATTGACGTGTACCCAGCTGAAGTGGCACGTGCAGAGCTCCTCGAGACTATCTCGCTATCCGTGCTCTCCAACTGCTGGTTGGAGAAGGAGGCCGTGGTGTGGGAAGCAGCGGGCTCGGCCCTGCTCAAGTTCCTCACCAAACATCGTTCTTCCTGGCTGGTGGCGCCAAAGGCGGACTTTGAGGATGATGACGATAGCGATGATGACGAAGACGATGAGGAGGGTAGCACCCAGCCGACATCTCGCGCCGAGACACCAGCAGGACGGAGTTCTGTAGGCGATGAAGCGATCTCGACTCGAGCATTCGACAGCTTCCTCGATTTCGTCTCGACCATCTGTCCGACCATTCCTCACCTCACATACCCTCTCCTCGTCGTCATTGTGTCGACCGTTCCATCAGCCCTTCTCCCCCTCTCCTCGCCCCCAAGCCCAGCCCTCCAGAATCTCTTCACCCACCTGTGGTCGCCGGCCGACGCACGGCTTCTCTCAACCCACAGTCTTGGCGGGCAGTCGTCTGCCTTCCAGGCGTTCCTCCAGTCTGCCGCCGACATCACAGTGTACCTCCTTGAGAAAACGACGGACGAAACGCAGGCCTGGCTCGTTAAGGATCAGCTCGGTTCGCGCGTGTGGGGCGAGGGCGTCGTGGAGATGGGCGGCAAGGGTGTACGCCGCGGTGCACCGCCGATTGAAACCGAGGCCAAGATCGCTTCCAGAGCGGTTGGCAAGGTCGCCGAGATTGCGCCGAACACTCTGCCTGCGCTCTTGGACGAGGTAGAGCGCACAGCACTCCACGGCAGTTTCCACGAGAGGCATGCCTTCCTCGCGCGAGCTCTCCCTGCGCTTATGTCTCTGCGCGATGCGGGGCCGAGCGTCCACCGGCCTGTCGACGATATCATTGTAAAGCTCGCCGACGGGTGCACCGAGCTGCTATTCGAGTTCACTGAAGCCGCGCCTGGTGTAGCCAAGGCCCTGGTCAACATTCTGAAGACCCGCGCGGAGCTCTTTCCGCCAGAGCGCGTGCACGTCATCTCCCAGGGGCTGCAGGCGCATATTCGCGAGCTTGTATCTGCCCTTTCGCCACCCCTCGTCGCCCAGCTTTTCAACGCTGTTGTGGCTGTTGCGTCCGCGGGCGAGAAGGAGGCCCTCCTCTCCGCGTTGTGGGACTTCGTTGCCTCCGACGTAGAGCAGGAGCAACGCTTTGCGTTGGCTCAGGGAATCCTACGGGATGGTCCGGACCTGGTTGGCGCAAAGCGCCTCGACACCGTTGCTCGTGAAGCAGTGCGCGCGGCTCTCATTTCCGATGACGCCGAGGCCGTGTCTATCGCCTCGAAGGCCGTAGTTAGCACCGACTGGCTTTCGGATCAGGCACGGGACGAGGTGCTCGTCTCTGTTGCAGCCGCCGCACAGGACGCCGTCGACGACCTTCTCACAGAGGGTGCAGATGCCGCCGTCCCTTCCGCGCCGTTCGCTATTCTCGCCGCGTTTGCAGAGAAGCATCTGGAAAGACTCGTCACAGCGGAGGGCTACATTGGCGCCGTCGTGGCCGCACACCATCTGGTTGTACTCCTTCCTCGTCTCGGTTTGGACATCTCCATCCCGGATTCGCCGTTCACAATCTGGACCGCCGCGGCCCGCCTCCCAGAGGAGAGCAAGACCATTCTTTCGTCGGCCATTTCGAGATCGCTTGCTGGGCTACTTGGGCGCGTATCCTGTCGTGCGAACCCTGACGTCCTCGTCGACGTCGCTCTCATAACCGACCTCGGTACTAGGCCAACGCCCATCACTGTGGCCAGTACCCTTCTCCCACCTGCGGAAGAGATGCTGTCTCAGCTGAACGCGCACACTTCTCAGCCACCGCACCCTGCCCTTCCCGTTATCGACCCGCAGGTACCGACGGGCGGTGTCGTGGAGCCTCTAGCCCGCGCGTCCGATTTCGACACTGACGGCCGTTCTCGGGCGGCTCGCTTCGTCGAGGCAGGTCTTGCCCTTCTCCGAGTTGACCGGTCCCTTGTTACGGCCCTCCCTCATCTCCTCAATGTTGCGCTCAGCGCCATGGTGCTGGCGTCCGATGCGGCTGCGATCCCCGGCGCCTCCCGAGGGATGTACACGCCCGAGGCCAGTCCGGCTTCCCTTGAGCGCGTTGTGCGTGACGCACAGGGTGCCCTCTCGTTCTCCTTGAGCCTGGTCGACGAGGCGCCACTTGCATGGCACAAGGCTACCGTCGAGCAGCTGAAGGCCGGCAGGCCAGCAGAGAAGGCTGATTATCTTCAGCGGCTGCTGGGCGACCTCCGTGCCGCGGTAGCCGACAACGTCAGTGACGTCGCGCCACGAGCGTTCTTTGCGGTTCTCTCAAGACACCTGCGCGGCTGCGAGGCTGGTGAAAGCGAGGGCGAGGTGTGGTTGACATACGCCATGCAGATGAGCGAGAAGCGTAAGTCGCTTAATCTTTGTGTGTCTCATCTCACCCCAGAACCTGAACTGGCTCAGGCGATCATCCTCGCAGTCAAGCCACTGATGCTTGAATCAAAGGCGTTTGACGTGGCACAAAATAGACTCGCCAACACCCTGACGGGAATATCAATCAAGAACGTCAACGAGAAGGGCGTTCCTGCCTTGCGACTGCTCGTCGCCGCTGCCCCGCCCCGCGACTCGCTCTCCGTGTTCCTGCCGCAGCAGCGTGCGGTTTTCGTTTTGCGCCACGTGGGCGGCTGGCTCACTTCGGAGGATGAAGCGGCTGACGACCTCTCGGATGAGGTAGACACTCGTGTCGCCGAGCTGTATGCGGCCCTCGCGCCGATCGTGCAAGACCTCTCGGGCGCACATTGGGACGGCATTTTTGATCTGATCGACAGTGGGCTCGCCTCATGCGCGCTCGACGACCAGGAATCGTACCCGTTGCTGCACGCTGTGCTCTCCTTACTGTCGGAGGTGCGCGACCTCGCCGCTACAAACAAGGCACTCCGCGACCTCTGGACCGGCAAGGATGGACACCTCGCGGGCGTCGTGAAGTTGTTTTTGCAGTGCCGCGATGCGGCAAGCGAGCCGCTTCAGCTTATCCACGCCCAATTGCTCGACCTTCTCGGCGATGCAAGCCCCAAGGTCATGGCCGCGGCTGGGTTACCTGAGCTGTGCGAGCTGCTTTCGCAGTCGTCGTCTCCTGCGATCCAGAGCACGGCCTACCGGCTTCTCGCTCAGGTCGTCCGGAAGCGTACCGCCGAGCTCGTTCTCGAGGTGGAGGCGGATGTCGTGGAGGAACCTGCCCCACCACGAGACATTAAGCTGCCGGCTGACTTGGTGGCTATCATCGAGGCGGGTCGTGGTGTCGACTGGCATGAGACACCGTCAGTGCCCGTCGTAACCGCGCAGCTCCTCGCCTGGATGAGCATACTCAATCACTTCGATGACGCTTCTCGTACCCTTCGCTGGGCGTATCTCGACCAGATCACCTCGACCAAGCTGCTCGACGAGGCGCTTATCCCCCTACTCTTTGCAATGCTTGGTGTCTCCGAGGTCGGCGCATGGAACTTCGCTGCGGCCGCCTACGCCGTCGACGAATATTATTGCGACCTTCTTGAGCCTGAGGACCTCCCGGACCTCAACCCGCTTGCTGCGCATGTGTATTACCGCGCTCTTGTGACGATCCCTAGCGCCATGCGCGCGTATTACGAGGGCCTGAAGGACCGACAGCTCTCCCTTTCAATGCTGGCGTTCACGGCGCGCAATTTCTCTCCTGTTATTATTGGGCATGAGTTCTCCGCTCTACGCGCCCCACATGCCCTGGCCGAGCTCACAGACGAGGGTCTCAGCGTCCGCATCGCGCAGGGAGGCGGTGGAACCGCAGGAGCTGGCGCCGCCGAAGCCATTGCCAGCTACACGGTGGACGAGCAGCCGATGGAGATTGGTATTCGCCTTCCCGCTGAGTTCCCGCTCAAGGCCGTGGACGTGCGTGACCTCCGTCGTGTCGGAGTGCCCGAGAACAAGTGGCGCGGTTGGCTCATGGGCGTGCAGCAGACCATCACGTCCCGCAATGGGTTGATCCTAGAGGCGCTCACAGTGTTCAAGAAGAACGTCGCGCTGCATTTCGAGGGTGTGGTCGAGTGCGCAATCTGCTACTCGATCATCTCCCTCACGGACCGCACGCTGCCCACCAAGCCCTGTAAGACATGCAAGAACCGGTTCCACGGTTCCTGCCTGTTCAAGTGGTTCAACTCCAGCCACACGTCGAGCTGCCCAATGTGCCGCTCGCTGTTTTAGGACTTGTCGCCTATCTAGATCTGTAGACGTGCATCACATGTACAAGCCTCTATAGTACACTAGTCGTCGCGCTTCTTGCCCCGGGGCTTCTTGCGACGCGCATCACTGTCCTCGTCCTCCGCCCCACGCTTGAGTCCGTCTTCCTCCTCCAGCACGAGTTGTGGCTGGTTCTGCCGCAGGCGCGCTTGGGTAATCTGATGCTCACGGTACTTGGCCAAGTAGACCTTGAGTACACCCTCGTAGTTATCAAAACCGAGGGCGCGCATCGACGTGAGAATGTCCTCGCCGTTGATTGTCTTGCGCTTCTCATGCAAGCACTTTTCAGCTGCCTCGGAGGTCTGGGGTCAGTGGCACAGAGTGAGACGGGGGAAGTGAGCGAGACAATATACGCACGATAAAGCTGATAAACTCGCTCACACACTCCTGAACACACTCCTTTGCCTCTTTGGAGACCTTGGCCGTCGTCGGCAGCGAGTTCTTCATGATGCGCGAGACATTGGCAATCTGATGTCAGCTCAAGAACCTCGTGGTGTGTTTTCGGGGTGGGTTGTCACCATGCGTCATCTAGTATCACGCTAAAGATGCTTCGCAACCTGGCTTTGCAGCTCTGCGGATGGTCTACAGCGCTTGCCAAGCTGAGCATGGATGAAGTCGCGAAGGAGTGTGGTAGAATCGCGAACATGTGTCAGAGGTTCCACCCAACCGCGCTGCGCGATCTTATCAGTGGCGCAGGAGAGATGCCGCACGCTCCTTCCAGCGTCCATCCGGCGCGCATCCAGCTCCTGCTCTCCTCCAACACACTTTTCCATCCTCCAACCCGCTCCTTTTACGCTCGTGGGCAGCTGGCGGTGTGCAGTTGGGCCCATCACCGATCTTTTCACCCACACCACCCCAAAACACTCACCGGAAGCCACCGATCTTGCTCGCGGTACTCGTCGACCTGCGCATCGGTGAAGCTCGGGCCTGCGGCAGGCGGGTTCTGGTCCGCCATGCGGGCGGTCTTCTCGGGTTTGGATCTCGCGAGCGCGACTGAAAGGATGAGAGAAGAAGTGGAGGATGATGGAGGTGGAGTGTTGTTGACACGGAGGATCGGGAGTAAAACGCGGATGAGATGATCCGAGGCGCTGGCGGTGCGCGAAAAAAGGCCCGTCAGAGCAGAGCCAGGGCGAAAAGACGAACGACGCCGAAGCGGTAGGTGATGGCGAAGAGTGTGACGCCGTATGCACAGATGGCGAAGGCTGATGTAGTGATGGTGAGCTCTTAATCCTAATACCCCCGAAAGATCCCCGCTCTATGCCCCCTGATCTGCCCCGCTCTCAAGACCTCCACTTCCCAAGCACTAAATGACGGCATGCCACGATTCCGCCTCTTCACCATCGATCTCTGTCCACCATGCCCCCGCGAGTCAACCTTCGCTCGAGCGCTGTCAAACGCATCATGCAGGAGGCAGCCGAGACCTCGGACCCGGACACGGACGGCTTCATTGCGACGCCGTTAGAGGTGCGTTCTTTCTCCTCTTTTTCCTTCGTCCCGCCACCCATTCTCACCCACTCCCCTTCCCGCCTTGCTAACCGCCAGTCGGACATCTTCGAATGGCACTGCACTCTCCGCGGCGTTCGGGGCACCGAGTATGAAGGTGGTCTGTATCACCTGCGAATTCTCCTCCCTGCCAGCTATCCTATGAGTGCACCGGATATCGTCTTGCTCACTCCCAACGGGAGGTTCGAGCTCGGCAAGAAGGTATGTCGCCTTATGGGTGGAGCTAACCTAGATCTGCATCGACGGCCTAACTAGCTTCCACGCTGGGTCGTGGCAGCCCGCTTGGGGTGTACGGACAGCGATTACAGGCTTGCGCGCGTTCTGGACGCAGGAAGGCGAGGCGCTAAGTGCAATTGGTGCGCTGGATGTGCCGAAGGAAGAGCGGCGACGGCTAGCTAAGCTGTGGGTGACAAAGGGCGGCCGTGCCGAGCCCAGCTGACACCAGATCGCGGGACTGGACATGCCCGACATGTGGAGAGAGCAATGCTAGTCTCCTTCCTGATCCGCCAGAGGGCATCGGCTCCGGTCCCAGCTCATCAGGACGGGTGTTGGGGAAGCCTGACTCGGAACTTGGGACGGGCGGCGAAGAGAATGACTCGTTACCCCGCACATCCTCACCCATGCCGGACGTCCGTCTCACCGCCAACGGGCCTGCCAACGCCGATACTTCACCCATCATCCCGCCCGACGCGGTCATTCCAGATGTTCCGGAGCACCACACCCATACCCCGGCGCGACAGGACACTGACCCGTCACAGGCCGTCCTGGGCCAATCCTCAGTCGGATCTACGGTGACACAGCCGCCTCTCGCCCATGTGAATGTGACCGCCGCGTCATCAGTCTCGGGAGCAGCAGCAGTGGCGCCTGCAACCGGCGATTCGCCCCGTCCTCTCACCCCAGACCATCTCCTTCACGTTCCCTCCACCAATCCCCACACTCCCTCCCCGGCTCCTCCAGCGATCACGACCTCCTCTTCCATGCGACTTGGCCCCGTACCCCTCGAGCCGACCCGCACGATACCTCAAGGCCTCCGTCGCCGGGGTGACACCCCTCCTCCCCCAGCCGCCGCTGGGGCTCGGCCACCGCCTCCCGGTCCAGCGGTGACTGGACGCCCTCCTCCTCCTGCGCCCGCCGCGCGTCCAATCCCACCAGCACAGGGAGCTAGTGGCCACGGCATCCCGGCTCGCTTCACGGCCCCGCCGGCTCAGCCGCAGCGACGCGCCCCGCTCTGGCTCGATGCGCTCATCGCTGTGCTTGTCCTGTTCCTTCTGTACCTCCTTACTGGGAGGGCGTAGATTGACATCCAAAATTGGGACGGATCATGACTTGCTTTGACTGTTGTACCTTGTAACCATTTGATTTTACTCTATGAGATTTTACTCCATGACAATCCGAGTGATCGCCCCTTCCATCGCAGTGGCCAAAAGCCAGTGACTGCTGAATTGGTAGAGGCTAGTCTCGAATTCCAACTCGTAATTGACTCGTTCTCTACACTTTCATACATCGCGCTTCACAGACTCGACCCCAGACCCTCATCCTTGGCTTGCAGTTTAACAACACGTACTGGCATACAGCCGTACTCCCACTATACTTCTGACACTCGGAAGTCCGTCGTGCGAACCGTACAAAATGCACAGGGAGCCACCGGTATGCAAGCGCCGTCACGTTATTGACCGCCGTGGGATACCTGCCCCACGTCCACGGCGTGAATATGGTCGCAGATGTCAACCATACGCTATCCGACACACACAAGCGATGTTTTCCCTCCGGTACTTCGCCCATGTTCCAACCAAGATAGATATGCTCCGTAAGTCACTCAGTGAAGACCGGTGAGCCTCCTTCTCGACTCAAAAGGGCTCGAAGATCCTTTGTTCCTCAATTGTGTCTCCAAAATCTTACATCATTCACCCTAAGATGTCGGCTCAGGCCGTAGCGTCTGCGTTAAGGCGCCCCTCATCTGCTACCGTTCACTTGGGCCTCGAAACCTCCTGACCGGAGATTGCGCACTCGACTAAGATTAGAAAGTGTCGTCACCCCTGCCTTGTTCTGAGAGAGTTCAAGGGGTCTGTGTCCAAAGACAAATCGGGGTTACGCAAGCTGTCGCCCAAGTTGTCGCCCAAGCTGTCGCCCAAGCTGGACCCCTAAGGTTGTGCACAGGCTGGTCTCACCCCACATGGGCTCGGAGACCGAACATTATCCGAAAAATCCCTCCTCGTCGAGGAAGGGGCGCCAAGTTGATCCTGCCCCTCTCCACAGGCTGTCCGGAAAGTGACCTTGGCCCAATGCGCCCACAGATTATCGAAGATGATATCTCGCAGTGAAATTTTACGGCGGCCTTCGTGATGTGCTGTGATGGGGATGGGGCAACAGGGCTGACAGCAGAGTGGTGTAGGCCTGACTGGGACGCCATCAGTGGTGGTGCTTCTATTGCGTACGTCAGCTTACCGTCGAGTCACACTTGTGTAGCCTCAATCGCTCGACGTCAACATGCATTGACATCAGTCAACGTCTATTGACCACACTTAGGTCAACGTGAAGTGAAATGGGGTACCTTCCACAGCAACACGGCGGGGCCCAGATGATAGGCGAATGGCGGCACCACACCTTGGTACCCGTGGTGCCGCCTACGTAAAGTAGACGTTGAGGGACATGTAAGGTCGCGACGTCGCTACACCGACTCATGCGACCCGCCACCTTCACCTTCTGTTCCAACCTTGGCCATAACGCACAGACCCTAACCGTCACTTTAGAAGGACGACTGAACGGGCCCCGCACTCAACTAACTCTCCCAGGAATGTGCACCAAGCCTCCCTGATTAGCTCCGCTGCCCACGCGTCGAAGGTTGCGACGCGCTCAGCGTCACGGTGTGTGAGTGGCGGTGGCTTCGGACGGGTGAGCACGCGGGCACGTCCGGCACGGGGATCGATTTTGATTGACTTTTGGGCATTTGATTGGATTCTGCGACGACGGCGGCGCCACTAATACCCTGTTGCCTCCGGCACCCCTTCGCCGTGCTCCTTGCGTTGTTTGATGGCGAGCTCGCTGGGGTTGACGTAGGGTTGTGGGGCTTCATGCACACAAGCACAAAGCAATGCAGGATCATGCCGACTTGTTCTTTTGCTCATTCCTCTCCTCATCTTTCTACATTCGTTCACCTCCATCTGTCGCCTGTCCCCCCGCCTGCTCCGCCCAAGATGCGGCTGAGCACTACAAAAGGGCGGGTCCCCACGCTCGTTTGTCTCCTCGGTCTCTTCATTCTCGCGCAAGCTTACAGTGCTAGCGCCGCGCCAACACATTGCCCGGCTCGTCGCTCTGCCCCAGTCTCCCCTTCTACCGCCTCCCCGCGCTTCTCTCTCCCCGCTTCGATCTTTAGGCTCGACAACAATATGTCCACGTGGTGCCGTTTTCTTACCCTAGTGGCGGCCGTGCTGCACTTGTCCGAGCCAGCTTGTGCCGCTCCAGGTGCATCTCCAGCTTGTTCTATCGTGTGGAACGGCCAAGCTGTTTCCGGCAAACTGGACGGCGGTATCTGCAAGACCACCGTGCGCTATGGCGCGGCGGCCCGGTGGGAGGACGCTGTTGCCGTCACCTCTCAAAGGTAGGCCATGTGCCAATTTATGCTGATGGTAGTGGCATTTCTGCCACCGAGAACCCGCCCTCGTGCCCCCAAATTATGGGGAATCCCACTCAGGGTGCAACCTCGTCCGAGGACTGCCTCACAGCAACGATTTACGCACCTGTCGGTGGGCGGCGACTGCCTCTCTTTTGCTGGCTTCATGGAGGCTCATATTCCATTGGCTCGGCGTCAGCTGCAGGTCTCGATGGTGCCAACCTGGCAAAGAGGGGGCGTGTCATTGTTGTCGTCCTCCAATACCGGTAGATTTGCCTGTCGAAAGAGTCTGACAGCAGCCTTAACGTCCTTGGGCTAATTCCGCCTTCTGTGGCGCCCACCGCGTCCGACCCTAATCTCCAAGTTCGCGATATAATACTGGGCCTCAAAGAAGTGCGAAAGAACTTGGCCTGGCAAGGCGACATGGACCAGGTCACCATCGGCGGACAGAGCACGGGCGCTAGTCTCATCCGAGGTGAGTCATGACTAGACCTCAACTGAATTTAGCTCTGTGGGTCGCCCCTGCAGCACAGGGACTGTTCCAGCGGATGATCCTACAGTCTGATCCTTTCGTGAGTCACCTTGGCCTTGGCATGTGGGTGCTGACAATAGAACTACGGAATGGCGCCCATGTCCGAGACCAATAACTTCCGCAGTGCGATATATAATCACCCCGCCCTCGGCAGCGCCAACACCTTCGCGGCTCTCCAAGCTGCGCCCCTGGCTAATGTCCTGGGCGCGGCCGGTGCAGTCTACAATGCTGCTGCCAATCAAATGCCGTCTTCACCCCCATCTCAGCGTGAGTCATGTCGTTAATGTTAGCTGATGTCAGCTTTCCGCCCGACCTATGGCACGCCAACAATCCCGAAAGAACCTACAGGCGAGCTCTTCAACAATCCTGGCGGACTAACCTTCTCCCCCGCCTCTGTTCCGATGCTGCTCACAACGGTGGCCGACGATGGCGCACACGTTTTCACCAACTCGGAGATGAATTTCCTCGCGTTCAGGAACATCCTGGCGCGGCTGGTGGGCCCGGCGGGCTTGCAAGTCATCCTTACCACCCCCACGTACAACATCACGGCCGACAACACCGACAAGCGCCCGGCCTTCACCAAGATTCTCACAGACGGCGCCTGGCGCTGTGCTGCCCGCGAGGTCGCTCGCAAGTGGGCTGGAGCCGGCGGGCAGGTGTACGTCGGCGAGTTCCGCGAAGGGATTCACTACCCTCTGAACGACCAGTACCCCTACTGCGCGGGCAAGGTATGTCATATGGACGACATCATGCCGACTTTCGGGCAGGGCGGCGGCTTTGTAAGTGATCTTTCGCTACCTCACGCTCGCTCTCGCTGACGTCAGGCCAACATGATCGCCGACAATTGGCTCTCATTCATCAAGACGGGCCGCCCAGCGGGCGGGTGGAGCGCGTTTGCTGCGAGCAACGGCATCGACGGCGCGGGCGTCAAGGCTCTCGGCGGAGACGGTGTTGTTCCAACCTGCCCTGCAGGCTTCTGGGGCAGTGCGGTAAAGTGGCACTGGCAGCTCTTCGCGTAGAAGTAATTTAGGACAAATGCATTATAATGAGTCTCCATGGTAACCTCACCGGGCTGGATGCAGCATAACGGCACTGTCAGCCGCAAGTACCTCCACCGTGCTGACGGCGTCATCCACATTCCAAACCCAATGACCTGACGTTTTCCCACGTGGGGTTACCGGGGTGGAGAAATGCTCCCGTCAACGCGAATGACTTTGAATCAACAACAACAAAGCTCGGCTGTTCCATTCCCACCCACTCCAACCCTTTCCATCCGCTTTCACCATTTAGCCTCGCAATGGACATGGACGCCTCCGCATACATCGCCGAACAGATCCCCCTCCTGCGACAATTGCATGCGCAGCTCGCGCTCCCGCCCACCGCCTTGGCAGATGACACGGCCCGCATCGACGCAGCTGTGCGCGCTGCCATCGTCTCCGTCGTGCGAGGACGTGAGGACGAGGTCGCGGTTTGGGAGGCACGAATTGCGGACGGGAAGCGTGCGCTTGCTGGACTAGCACGCGCCGTAGGCGAGAAGGGTAGGAGCGTGATCAATGCCAACCGCCGAGATTCGGAGCCTGAAGGACCACAGGCATTGCCGGCGCAACATGAACGGCTTGTGGAACAGACAGCCGAGCTTGAAGTTGTGAGCCGGAACAGTGGGAGCACAGTAGCTTACCCAGGTCTACAACGAACGACTAGCCCAGATCGAAGGTGAGTAGCTCACATCGCAGTCATGACTCGCCATCACACCCCAATCGCACCCGCTTCCGCCCCTCTCTGCTCTAGGCTGACAGTAGCACTCCGAGCCGAGCTCGAGAAGCTTTCCGTACTTCTTGGCCCACCATTCGAGCTACCAGCGCCTCTCACACCCATCCCGGGGTTGGCTGTGCCAGCCCGTAAGCCACGGCCATCTGTGGCAGCGACGCTCCCCCCACCTGTCAACCTGGCGCCTACGATCAACAAGCGCACCTCCGGCCGACGGGCGTCCGCCTTTCACGCACCAGTACCCGAGCCCGAACCTCCAAAGCTCGAGGCCTGGCTCGACGTCGGCGAAGACGTGCAGGCTGCCCTTCTGTCAGCCCTGGAGAAAGCGACCGAGGAGCGAGATGCCCGCCTCAGAACCCTAGAGATGTGCTTCAACGACCTCATATGGTACCGCGCGGAACTGGACTTGCCACCGTTTGAGCAACTACAACCAGAACTTCGCCCACCCCGAAGTGAGGAGGAGCGGCCAGGTGCGCACCTCCGGTACGAGGTGTTACTGGAGCATGTCATCTCGCTCAACCCTGTCAAGGCAGGCAGCTTCGGTGACGAAGAGCGCGACATCGAAGGCATGGAAGAAGTCGAGCCTGAAGTCGGCCTCATCAACTGGGCCGATGCACTGTTGCAACTCGTGAGTCATAGATGGAGTTGAGCTTACTGCAGTGGATGGAGGAGAAGGAAACGCGGGACGAGCAGATCCAGTCGCTGTACGAGCGCATAGAGCCGCTATGGGATCGTCTCAACGTTGAGCAAGAGTACATCGACTCCTTTACGGAGCGGAACGTTGGCTCTGGCCTCGGTTCAATCCAGGCGTACGAGGAGGAGTTGCAGCGCATGCTCGAGAAGCGCAAGGCAAGTCTGTCGGACTTCGTTATCAACGTGCGGAAGGAGATCGCGCAACTTCAGGATGCGCTGTTGCTCTCGGACGACGAAAAGGCCGAGTTCGGAGCCTACATCGACGACGAGTACACGGAGGAACTGCTCAGTGCACACGAAGAAGAAGCGACGCGCCTCCGCTCCGAGCTCGAGGCGTCTAGTATTCACCTCGCTAGAGTCAAAGAGTGGCTCACCCTCAAAGCCGACGAGGAGGAGCTTGAGCGCAGCGCCGCTGACCCGAACCGCTTCAAGAAACGTGGGACGGCCATGTTGCAAGAGGAGCGTATGCGGAAGCGCGTCGAGAAGCGCAAGCCTAAGGTGCGTGGGCATGATAGAGCGCATGGCTGACCCCAGATCGAAGCAGACCTTCTTGCCAGCCTTCCTGCCTGGGAGGAGGAGCACGGGCGGCCGTTCTTGGCGCGCGGGCAACGCGTCATTGATGTTATCGAGGACGCGATAGCTGCCAAAGAGGCCGCAAAGGAAGCGAAAAAGGTGAGCAGTTGTACAAGCCAGAGGCTTGCTAACATCAGCGAGCCAAGCTCGGCCTCGGCCCCACTGCGCCCGCGAAGGGGCGCGCAACGCCTGCCGTTGGGAACCGCTCGCAGCCTCCGACGTTGAGAAAGCGCGAGCTGCCGACCCCTTGCCCGACAGGAAGCACAAGCAAGCGACCCCGCCCTCTTGGTTCACGCATCCCGTCTGGATCGACGTCACGATCAGTATCCACAAGATCAGTCTCGGGCATGGGCAGATCCGTGTCCAGCAGCACGACGCGCTCTGTCTCCGGCACTACGCACGCCATGCGACATGTCGAGGAAACGCCTACCGCCTCGGCCGCTCGGCGCTTCGGCGCACCGGCCGGGTCGAGAGTGAATGCCCTGGTGCCACGACAACAGGAGCGAGCGGACGTGTTCAAGACGCCCGGCAAGACGCCGGGCCGCACACCACGTAAGAGCTTCAAGCCACGACGCAGTATTGCGGGTGGCCTTCTCGCTGGGAGATTTGTGCTGGACGAGGCAGACGAAGACGACGACATGTTCTAGACAATAGTAAACGAAAACGACGTGGATGCGGCTGGTAGCCGGAAAGTGTATTACGAGCTGCATGTACTCTATGCTATGATTGCTTGATGCCAGGGATGGCGAGATCAGAAGACAGCGAACTTGGCGGGCTTGAGGGCCGCGCGCGCATCGCGGAAAAAGCCTGTCCACAGTTCATCGCGGACCTCGGGCAGCGTGAGTAGCGAACGCTTCTTGCTGTCCCGGTGCCCGATGTCGAGCAGCACGACCGACTGTGGGGTCATTTTAAGCGCGCCGTCCGCCAGAAGCTTGGCGACGCGCGCCGGCGTGCCGACCGCAATGGAGACGCGCGTCTTAGCGAGATACTTGATCTGGTCCGCGAGCTTGAAGTGCTTCGCGAAGAGCTGATGTGAGCGAATATGCATGGCACAATGACGGGAGCTACCCTGCCAGTTGCTCCCTTCGTGTCGCCCGAGTCGTACTCACCTTCGCAACCTCTCCCGGCCGCGGAACGCTGCGCACCGCCCGCACGACATCTGCACAACGTATCCCGCTCAAGCTGAGAATGAGCACACGCGGACACCCCGGCTTGGGCTTCTTCGGCGCGTCCTTCAATGCTGCCATCAGCTCGCTTCGGGGTGGACACAAACCACCAGAGCCTCGACTAACCGTCGTTCAGGCGGCCCACGAGGCCGGCAAACTCGCCCTCGCCTGACGGCGGCACAGGCTCGAGAATGCTTGATGCTGCTGTCAATGTCTGTCCGCCGAACTATCCTAATCCGCTCCATTGCTCTCACATGCAACAGCCACGTCGTCAATCTCCATCCCGGTGGCCGCGGGCATGGCGGCGCGCACACTCGCCAGCAGGAGCTGCGCGACCGCCTCCGGCTCGAGCGTCGACGGGTCGGCGGTCTCCTCGTCACCATTGGCGGCGGCGCGCTGGGATCAGCCTCGCTCTTCCATGTATCTCACCTTGGCAGCGCGCCTCGCCTTGTCCTTGTCCCGCCTCCGCTTCTTTCGCGCCTTCTCGTCGTCCTCCCCCTCCCCCTCCTTCTCGGGTTCTTCGCGCGCCCGTTTCTTGGGCGCAACCTCCTCGTCGTCCGTCATCCATCCGTCCCCCTCGTCAACCTCGACCTCCTCATCGCTCGCAAGCAAGCTCTCGTCGAGCTCGAGCCCGTCGTCCAGGTCGTCGCCGCCGCCCTCGTGCGCGAGCGGGTGTTGTGCCATTGTGTGGTGTTTGTTGGTGTTTTCGGAACAGTTGAGTGGCGATTTGACGTGCAATATTTCGGGCGGGCCGTGATTTACGTAAGGGCGCACGTGGGCCCCGCACTGACCTCCAGCAGCGGGATGGTTGGCCGGCCCGAGTGTGGAGGTGTTCTCGCATCAACACATCGGTGAGTCACGATTGCGGAGGCGACGGCGGCAGCTGACGCGCAGCAAACGGCGGACAGAGTAGAGCAATGGTGCCACAAGACGCGCCCCGAGCCCCGCCGGGCGGCAGCCTCCTCCGCGTCCTCACGCACACCCAGAATGCGAGCGCCGCGGCCTTTGGCCTGTTCATGGGCATACATCTCGCGGCGCCCATCGCGGCCGGTTTCGGGGGGACAAGTGCAGCCGACGGCGTCATGGTGAGTGCAGAGACAAACAGGGCGATGGGGGCATGCGATAGCGCGATGGCTCAGTCCCTGCGCCTCGTTCCTGCCTGCCTCGCACCCGCCAGCCTCGCTGGGCGCGCGCTGGGACTGCTCACTGACTACACCGCAGCTCGTCGGCCGCGAGTACTACCTCTTCCTCGAGCCTTTAGCCGTCTACGCTCCACTCGGTTTGCACCTCACTGCCTCGCTGGCGAAGCGCGCTGTCCTCGTCTATCGCACGCGGCGCTTCCACTGCACTGCGCATACCGTTCTCGGCTACGTTCTCCTCCCCCTCCTCATCCCACATCTCATTCTCCACCGCATTCTCCCGTCGACTGAGGGGCCGCCAATCAACGAGCTCTCGCCGAGTGAGATGGGTTACGAGTTTGCTGGCTACGCATGCGCCACGCGCAAGTGGATGACTGCTGGCTACGTCGTGCTCACGGGCGTGGCGCTGTGGCATGGCATCGTGGGCGGGCTCAAGGTTTTGCAGTGGGCCAGAGGGTTGTGGAGGCGCGCTGAGGCGGTCAAGGACGCGGGGGAGAAGGTGCTGGAAAAGACGGCCGCCGATACAAGCAAGGCGCACGAGAAATCCGATAAGAAGAGGCGGAGGAGAGCACACATCTCGCAAACTGAGAAATTGCGCGCTATCCGCACCCTCGTCACTACCACCACTACGGCCGTATGCGTCGGCCTCGTCCGAATGACTGCCGACGCGCAGGGTTTGTCATCATTCACCGCGAGCCGCTATGATGCGGTGTTCGCATCGGCGCCGTGGGTCGCCGCTGGATTCCGCTAGCCTCCTTCAGGTTTTATTAGCGCGACGCGCGTGTTTTACATGTACAACCATCCACCGCCGCTTTAACAACTACCTGCTTACCCCATTGAAGCTACTATGTCCCAGGGCCCTTCACATTTGAGGATCGTCGGTCCATCACTTCCGCCAGCGCTTGCGCGGCGATTTCCCCCGGAGTGAGGAGCTTCTCAGCCTCGGATCAGCTCGTCTTCACTTGTCCCAGGCGCACCTTTTTGCGCAGGGCTTTCGTCTTCTCCTCGAAGGTGATTGCCTTCAGGGCAATCTCGTCCCGCTGTTCAGAGACTCATCGTCAGCTGAGCTGAGCATGCAACTCACGGATTTTCTCGAAGTCCTCACGAGCGACCTCAATGAGGCGCAACTTCTCTTTCTCGGCCGCGTCGATCTTGTCAAGTTCGGTGAACGCTTTCTCCTGGATGTAAGCGAGTTAATGGCTACGCTGCAAGTCTACCTTCAGCTCCACTGCTCTAAGTTGGGCGCTGGTTGCGATCTTGACGAGCGTCTCATACCGCAGGACTTCGCTGTCGCGCCAAGTCTGCACATGCGAGCTGCTTAAGCCTCTGACACTGGTTCACCAACCTGATCAATCCGCCATTCAGTATATCGAGAAGCGGCTGAAACCAATCCATAACGACTCTTATCTCAGCCTCAGGCCGTATCCTGGAACTGTTCACGACGCTGGTGAGCTGTTTGAGGACATCGTCAATTTGCTCGAAGTCGATGGCTCTTGACTCGTTAGTGACATCAAGATGACAGCCTACTCAGCGTCCGAGTTTTCGCTGGCGTCCGTAAGTGGGTCCGATGGAGGTGGGAGAAGGCCGATAATCTCAGGCTTTGTCACCCCCGAGAGACGCAGAGACACGTCTTGCGCCTGGGAAGCAGGTCCGACCTCGTTCGGACTGGGGGCGATCTCCTCGTAAAATGCCTTGCGCTGCGATTCTGGTAAGGATTTGATGTATCTCTGCAAAATGGCATGAAGGGCCTGCGGGTCGTTGGGGGAAGGATGGGCACCTTTGGGTAGGGGCTCAAGGTGTTGATCGCGGTCGAGAACCGGGTCACCGTCCTCGACCGATGTGTAGCTTTGACGGTGAACCCCTCTGTGACGCTTGCTTGCGGGCCCAAGTTGAGACTGGGAGCGCGGCCAGATGAGATTGGTGTCGTTATCGTTACGTCTGGCTGTGGCGCGACTGTCGCGCGGACCACGGCGGGCGTCAGATGCGGTCATGTGCGGATCGCGAGGGAAGGTCGTGTTGGCGCGACTGTCCGCGGAGAAAGCGTCGTCGGGTTGGCGGTTCTCTGGGTAGCTGCGGCGGCGGCGAGCTTGGAGGAAGGAAGAGTTGGCATCTCTGTCCTCAATGTCAGAGGAGGGATCGACATTGGCGCGGCGACGGGCGGAGCGCCCCGTCGCTGATCGCATGGTGAGCGGAGAGCCCGAGTGAGAGTGAGATGTGGAAAGGAACGCCAGAAACAGCAGGAGGGATGATGAGGTATAGGGATGGGTGAGAGATGAGAGAGTGGGCGATGAACGATGTGAGAGTCAAGGATCGAGGAAGATCGCTAGCCCAGCTATCAGCTACCTGCTAGCTGCCAGGATCTAGGCCAGATGGTAAAAACTGGACGCGCCGGCCGACCCGGGGAAGCCTTGGGAGCATGCTAGCATGGGAGGCTTGCGAAGTGGGCGCGAGCGCGCGAGAGATCACGAGAAGCACGAGTCGTATTGAAGCTTCGAAGGCGACCGTTAGTCTCGTTTGGCCGCCCGCCGCCGGCGCGTCCACCGTGAACCGGTGAACTGACGGGGTCAATGCGGAGTACCTCCTCCGCTCATCCGCTGATCTCCGTTGCCGCTCTACCATGTAGCACCTCCTCAGCGTCACCGTTGTTCCCAGCACTACACTTTCCCCCAAGACACGGACTGGCTCTTGGTCTCCCCTTGATCAATCCACGAAAAGGGCATTGTTGGGTTGGGGAGCGTACCCCCGCCACGGCAGTGAACAGCCTGCTACATAAGTGTTAGTCACCGCCGATGATCCGATTATGCCTTGGGACAAGCACATGAACTCTCGGCGCCACCGTCACCCATGCGACCCTTGAATGCGTTGAAACCTCAGTTGATGTTCAGTTGTCAGTTGATCAAGGGCGCAGAGGGGTGCCGAGGGGCCGAGGGGCTGGGAGGCTTTTGTTACACAAGATGCGTGGCCGCTCGGACCTCTTTCGCCGCCACCCAACCGCGTTCGGGCGCGGGCCGACTTGCAACGCTGTCCAGAGTATGCAGCCTGTCCATGCCGTCCAGCACATGCAACACAGCTGCACTCCCACCCAACTCCGGCCACTCCACCACGATCCACCATCCGCTCACTGCAACGCCCCCTCCCTCCACTCACCAAGCATCTCTCTTCCGCCCAACTCGCATCTCTGGCCATCACCTACCTCCCACCCACTCATTCTTTACGCACAATGGCCGGCAACCGCGCAGTCTCAAAAGTTACCATGCAGGAGCTCAAGCTCCGGCGACTCGTCGAGAACAACCTCCGCCTCCGCGACGAGCTCTCCCGCCCACGCACTATGGTTTCACTTGCCAGCCTCAAGTGAGCCATAGAACCTTGCTTCGCTGACTCAAGCCTGATCAACTACTGTTCCGAGACGCGCGACCCTCTCGTACGCACCTGCCTTCGACCTCTCTGACTCTAGCTCCCATCCGTGTGGGGACCACTCGCCAAGGGCGAGGACGCCTTCGCGCCTGTCGAGGAGGCCGCGTGCTGCACAGGTGCGTAGTCAGATTAGTCCCCGCTTACTCCCTCAGTCCAGTAAAATGCGCGCCGTCAATCCGCGTTCCATCACATTCAAATACATTGGCCTCTTCTGATTAATTCGCGCTGTCTTGACCGCATGCATGTACCTCTTCCGTGTCTTGCTTTCGGCTTTGGGAGGGGGTTGCCATCAAGGCCGTGGCCATGGGCATGGTGGGTGAAGGGGTTGGAGCAAGAACAATGGGCGGCGACCTCCCCTGATGCTCCCACTGCTCTTGCACGTGCAGTATTAGACTCCGCTTACGACTGGCAGGGTGCAAGGTGGAGGCCGTGGAGGATTGTGAGCGTCACTGCAGCATTGGCCACCCAGAAGTGGAGGTGATGCACCTATAAATGACAATCTCGCTCCTCATCGCTCATCCCCATCTCATAGCGCCGTCCCCTTTCTCACTCTCCCTCTCAACCTACTCCTTCCCCAGCCTCGCTGCCCAATACCATGCCGAACCCACTAGAATACGACGAAGAATCCGACACTGGCGACGGCCTCTTCGGTTCGGACGACGAGGACAATGGTTGCATCGACGTCGACGACATTCTGCCCGACACGCGGAAACCTGTTGCTCCTCTAAAGTCAAGCACCGCCGCCTCCGTATCTCTTACCGGTGCTTCGACGTCCCAGTTATCCACCCCTTCTGGACGTCTTAACCCGGACCAGCGTTACGAGGAGCTCACCCGTCAGCGCTCCTTCTTAGAGCCGGCACCCATCACCGGCCCCCCCAGCTTCAAGGCTATGATCATGCGAGGTGAGTCAAACTGACAAGCCAAAGGGCGTATTTGACACAACAGTCATCTTGCAAAACGCTTCTCGCATAGACGACATCGGCGGTTTGACGTACAAGCAGATGGCTATCTTCATCGACCAGCTACCACGGACGCAACTCCAAGAGGTGGAGGAGAACTGTCCGGTGAGCTGCTGTTGAGTGACTAGGAACTTACAACTAGCACCTGTACAAGGACACAGATTGGCTTTGGGAGGCCTTCCTCATCAAGGAGTTCCCTTTGTTCTACACAAAGTGCCGCGACAAGGGTGGTGAGCCGCGCACGAGCGGATGGAGGCGCAAGTTTGCAGTGGGTACATCGTTCACTATACAGCCGAAACGTCGCAAAGATTAAGGCTGACTGGCAGGAAGCGTATCAGGAAGCGGAGGAGCGTAAGACGAAGGCAGCTGCGCGCATTAGTCTGAAGTATGCGGAAGCCGAAAAGGTCCGTCAGGACAAGAAGATCCGCCTGATCGACGACTTCGTCGCACCTCCGAAAGGCAGACGCGGTGGGCACACTTTGCGTAACGCGAAGATAGGCAAGCAGTCCCTGCCCACCAACTACATGGCGCAGAAGCAGGTCCGCGGGACGTCGGCGATCAGCAAGGCGCGCACCGACTTGCAGCGCACGAGGGTCGCCCTCACTCATGCCAGCGGGAAGTATGTGCCGCCATCGTCGCGTCCGGTTGCAGCCTCCTCCACGTCGGCGTACGACAACCCATACGCGCGTTCGACAATGCTGCATGAGTCAAACCCCAAACACCCCAACTACGTGGCCCCGGAGCTGCGCGTAGAGGGACCGCGCTTGCCACCACCTCGCGTTCCCAAGCCCAGCCCCACCGTCGCGCCGGATGCGGATCCCTTCCCCGGTTCGCGCCGCACCGATCCTGCGGCTCGCGCATCTCTTCCGGAGCACATTAAACTTACGAAGCCGAGCCAGCAAGAGCGCTTCCGCATCGACGACTACAAAATGACTAAGACGGCACCGATGCGCGACATCCGCAAGCCAGAGGTGCCGAACTTCAACCCTGACACGGTCGACAAGCCCAAGGCCAAGATCGACTTCTTCGCTCGCCCTCAGATGGCGAAGGCGAAGCGCCCTCCGCCTGTCGATGAGGAAGCAGACAACAAGCGCGCCCGGAAGGATACGGGCGAGGGGACCTCAACCTCGCCTCCTGCCTCTGCGCGGCCACCTCCTCCGCATGCCACTCCACCTGCTCCTGGAGCTGCTCCATCATTCCTCCTCAAGAAGAAAACTAATCGTCATTCTGGCCCTCAGCGCATCACCACCACCGACGTTGAAGCCGTTAAGCGATCTATAGCCAAGCCTGGCAATCGGGTCCCACGCCGCCGTTAGCGGTCGATTCCCCACATCATATCACATCACTGCATGCGCATCGGTACTGCATTGCATCGCATCATTTCCAGACATTGTTCCATATGTTGTACTGCTCACACCAGATGCATTATATTGTCCACCTCACTATGCTACGCTTGTGGCAAGCTCCGCGTGTCCCGCTACTTCCGCTCATTCCCCTCCCCGATGATCTCATGCTTGGTCGAGTCGGCCATGAGGATAGACTGAAGATGCGTGTCGTTGTGCACAAATACGACGCTTTCATCGGGGTCACTTACGACATGGGGGACGCGGGGAAGCAGACTACTTGCCCGAAGTGCGAGGACAAGAGCTGCCTGAGATGAGCGTCACCGAGTGAGAACTGACCATAGCCGCAACACTAAACCAGAATGCATTACCGATGTGCCCGGTGTACTCTCCGTCAGTTGCCGACTTGACCTTGGCGCGCGTAACCTGAGATTAGCTCCGCAATAATGACATTCACCAGGATGAACGCGAGGTTGAGGGCAAACGCGAGCACGGATGAGAACGTCGCAAGAACGAGGGTGGCAAGAACCGCGGGGCGGAGGCCGGAGATATCAAGGGCCCACGCAGCAAGCAACGTGAGCATGGCAATGCCCGAAAAACTTGCTGCGAGCGGATTGACGAGTAGTGCGCCGGAAAGGCAGGGGAGGAAGCCGAGCCCCCCGACGTGCACCAGTGGCGGGGCGCTGTAACCGACCACGGGCGAGCTGCATACCGTTCTGAGACTAGGATCAGACGAGATGCAATAGGACAAGAGGGCCTGGGTGGGACCGAGCGCATGTTGTCCCTTTGCGACGCGGAGGGAAACCCAAAGGCATGTGCTGATGTGTCGAGGGATGTCACTTACTTGGTACGGGTACATGTACCGAACACGCCCAAGTCTGCTGCCCAGTGGCCGCGGTACGCAATCCGGAGAAGAGCAATGTTGCTAGTTGTCGGCACTGAAAGGGATGTCGCGAGGAGGAGGGCGAAGGCGGCGGCTCAGGTTAGTGGGAAGAGTGTGATTGGCAGTGAAATGATGGTTGGGAGTGAAAGTGGAAGCGACAATGATACCGGTGATACTCACAAATGAAGAACAGTACAAGCGGCGCGATGTACGCTGCAGCCTTAACAGAGGCAGGCGTGGTCGGGGGGAAGACCTCGTCGTCGTCGTCGTCCCCGTGACCCTGCACCGTGGGGGGCGTGACCTCGACGACCGGCGTCGTGGGTCCTAAGACCTTTTCAACAGGAGCGGGCTTGCTCTTTTGGACAAACATCATCTCGACGCGATCCGGTGTGAGAAGGGGG